AAAAGCGGAATAATCCAGATCTTGGATACTAACAGTGAGAATATTATGTTCAGTTTTTGACCAGATTAAGTCATCAGCTCTGTTGGGGACATCTGTTACAGTGTCTGTTATCTTCACTTCTCGTTTAGATGATATTGCAGCACTCAAATTGAAGCTGCCATCATACATATTTCATGCTGTGATTTTAGGATACTTATTGCTGTTTTCAGACTAGTCGTAAAATGCCTATTGACATCAATTTACTCGTATTCCGAATACTTCTTGTGTTTTGACTTGTAAGCCTCTAGTACTTTGACTTTGTACCCTGTCCTGTTGCTGTAACTGGCATTCTCTTCCAACCGTGGTCCATGAGGAATGTGCTACGACAGTTTTTCTTTGTCTCTTCAAGTTGTGTTTCCCCATCATTCTTACCCAGCAGGCGACCACATCATTCCCTCTCCTGAGGGAAGTCTTAAAATGTAACGATTGCCCACAAAAAATGCTACAGCCACCCAGCCATGAGTTGATCCTCCCAGGAGCGGCTTCCTCGGTGCAGTGATTCTTATCATCAGTGCCTTGGAGCTCTCTCAGATCACCGTTGTAACTTCTGTTGTTCCCTGCCAAAGGCTCCCCTAGACATTTCTCTCCTTTAGTACCATCTCTCTGAAATTCAGATATGCGATGTATGAAAAGCAGGCATCCCCGTAAGGTTTACAGTTCCGAATGAGCTGATTTCAGCACCATGGCTAGCTCCCCCATATTAAAAACTCAGATGGTAGCAGAAAAAGTTGTGTACATTGTGGGTTTTCCATGATAACTACTCTGTTTTTCTTTGTGTCAATATGAATGATAATTTCTAATTATGCGTCATATAGTCCACTCGGGGTCTACTGCAGCGCTAAACAACAACACTGAGCAATAAAACCAACAGTAAAAATGTTAGCATGAGGCATTACCCAGGAGCTGTTGAATCAATGCTTCATTTGCTCTGATTTGCATTTAATCACTTTGGCTTGTGTTTAGCCTGCTACATTCACAATATTTCATTACAAGACTGGTCAAATACTCTGCAACTTACAGCTAGTGAAGAGAAAACTAGCTTTGTTTGTGTAATCCTACATGAGTCTGGTAAATTCTGGCTGAGAGATGTAAAATTTTGTTTCTGTCCTGCTTTTGAGTATTTTTAGGCGCCCAGTGGTTTCAACTGTTAAATCAACATATTTTGAGTTTGTCAGTGTTGAAGTAAGGCTATCATCGAAATACCTAAGTTTTAGTGGAACTACAAATTGTGTCAGGACTATAAGATGCTACTTTAACTTTTTAAAATCTGACCGAAGACATTCAAGTCATCAGTTAAAACACATTGTCAAGCAGATAGAGGTGTCGTAATCGAGACACAAACCCCCACAGTTCTGTTACTTACTGTACAAGGCAAGGGCATAAGTGTACTTTATTGCTGTGCTGAAATTTACTTTTATTGTAGTACTGAAACCTGCTGTGATACTATGGGGAGCAGCAGCAGTTCAGTCAAAAGTGTCAGAGCAGAATAGGGCCTGACCGATATGGATTTTTTGGAGCCGATGCCGATACGGATTATTGTGTGTGTGTGTGTGTGTGTATGTGTGTGTGTGTGTGTGGGGGGTGGGGGTGGGGGGTCTGATTACCGATGAATCTGACAATTTTTTACAATTTTTTATTAAGTTATAAAAAAAATATATATATACACTACTGTATACTGTAGATATGCCGTAGGCTACTGCTCTTCAAGCCAACAGGAAGACCGACTGATCAAACTCGGAACAGAAAAGCGTTTTCAATTTACCCTTGTGAGGTAGTTAGTGGATCAAGATTGTCATGGTGTTGCTGCGCCTTTTACAGGATAAGTCAGGGAACTTTTCAAATGGTGGAACTGTGAAAGTGAAACTGAATCTTATTCTCTGCATTTTATTTCTGAAAATATCAGCAAAAATTGGTGAGTTTTGGCCAATTACCTATTAGTCTTAAACGGGCTAAAATTGGCCGATTTAATCGTCTCAACGCTAAATCAGCCAGGCCCTGGAGCAGAACAAGCAAAAGGTGAAGATTCAGTGATGTTGTTTGTGGTCATATATCACCCTTCTTTCTGCCTGCATGCCATTGTGGCTGCAATGATCATATCGAAACTGATGCAGATTTGCACGACTTATAAAGTGCACAAATGCAAACAGATGGGATTTTTATGTTTAAGACAGGCTTTGGTTATGATGCGACCAAGTTCAACCAATTGGTTGCAGCACGTCTTAAAAAATTTAGTCTAACTTACTTGGATTTAAAACTGCCAACTTGTTCATGAAGTGTTGAGTTGGTGACTGTGATTTTGACAAGGTGATGCATTCGATGAGACAGTGGCCTAAAAAGATCATTTTAATGAAATTCAGCATGTGTGAGAAGTCTGGAAAGACATGTAAAGAAGGAACCATAGTGTCCTGCAGCTGTTGGAGTTCTGTGGTGCTAAAAGCTGACCACATGCAGTGGGTTTGTTTTTCCCAGCGTCTGTCAGCCAGGGGTTCGGAGATCACAGTAAAGCAAAGGCTCAGAGAAAAGAAACTGCTCCAAATCTGTCAGAAAGCGAACGGTTTGTTCAAGTTTTTCAGAGCAAGCCTTCGACAGAGTGCGGCGCAGGATGACTGATCTGAAAAGTTTTTGTCTTTGTTGCTGCAAAAAGATATCCTGTTAGATTTGTTGTGAGAAAAAAAATGAAAGAATATCAATTAAATCATTTAAAGACATCGTTAGAAATAAGTACTCACATTTTCAGCAGGTAACAGCTTTAGGAAGGATCAATTTTAAAGGCTTGTGGTTTTTACTTTTGAAAATTATAGAAGCATTTGTCTGTACTGTTTGGTGGAACTAAACGAAAACTTGCTCTATAAATAGAAGGAAATTAGACAGCTTGGCTTGTTAAACAGGTCCCAGTTTTCGTGCCACTCATTGTTAAGTTGACTCTTTTTCAGCAAAATGACCATATCTTTGTCAGGTAGATTGGTTGTGTAACCACCTGTGTGCTTGTACCTGTCGATAAAAAGCCAAATTCTGCATTTATTTAACAACAAACTTGTCTCTTGGGTGTGCTCCAGCAGAGTTTGTTGTCTTTGGATCCAGCCTTTGTTTTCCCCTTCCGAGAGACTGGGTGGGGAGCATCTGCCTGCATGGACCATCTGCCTTGGGACTCAGGCCAGAGAAGAATGAGGGGAAGGAGAAATGAGGGAAAGAAAATAGAATGAAGCAAGAATGAAAGGGACGGAGATGAAGAGGTCGAGCGGGACAGTGATGGATAAAGAGAGGGCGACTAGAAGGGAGACTTGTGGAAAAGAGGGTCAAAGCCAAAAACTTTGGTGTGAGCTGGAACATAAGGCCCGTGTTTGATAACTGAAGGCTAAAGGAAGTAGACCGTCTTTTATGTTTGTATTTCCACCCACAGGCTTGTTTATGCCACAGATTCACTCCATTTGACTTCCTCGGATAGAGTGCCAAACAGCAGATGCCAACTGAGTGGCAACATTTGGCCTCAGCTTGTGAACGTGTCTTTCTTTGTTTGTGCCAAGGTCATAACGAGGATAAAGGATGCACGCTTGTAGCCAAAGGAAACCAGAAAAAAAGGAAACTTTGGTCATCTGACATTACTCACCTTTCTGTCCGGTGAGTGAAAAGTCTTGTTTTTCCTATGAACAGGAACCTTTAAAGTAACATTTGCTACGTCAAACCCACCCAGAACTTTCTCAAATCTGTCAAAATGTGTCTCAGTTAGTGAGTTATTTATATTACAAGGCTGCAGTTCTTTCTAACTCTGTGCTAACCACGCCTCATTAACTTGTCATTTGTCATTTTATATTCAGTGATGAGCTCCAGTGGGTACTTTTTGAGAGCAGTGGAGTCTCAGTAAATTAAAGTTGTGTGAAAGACTTGAAACTGAGTCTCTTACTACACATTAGTACTCCCAATAGAATGATAGTATACCTGTGGTGGTGATATATTAAAAGTATTTGAAGAAAGGCTTTACCCTATATTTTATTTTTACCATTTTAATTATGCTCGACTCTGCAGTATATTTCAGTCTTTGCTTATAAAATACTTTATCATCCGCTCACTTGCTTTTCTTCAGTTGTCTTTCCACACCTGCACATCTTCTCTCTTTGTCCACACAGTGGCTTGCAACCAGCTGTGCAAAACTATTATAAAAAGGAAAGTAAGGTTGACAATCACTTGGAAACTCTCACTTCAATCACTTCAGGAGGAACAAGCGAGAAACAATCTCTTTCTTTTTGATTGCCTGCTGACCATGTGTGGCCACACTACACACAATGTGGGGGATTGTGAATTCATTTTTAGATCACATATAAATAAAAAAAGCTAAAAATTACAAATTGGTTAGCAAATATACATAAATAGCCGAAATTGTTCATCTGCACTCCACTCTGGTGTATTCTACGATAAGGCAACCCAGTAGTAATCATTATCTGATGTTTCAAGGGTGGCTCTGGGAACAGGTACCAATTTTTCAGTAATGATGGTGAAAATCAGCTGTTCTTTATACCCTCAAAGTTTACAGGTGGGAAGTTTGTTGATAACATCCTGATGAAGTTTTGTGAAAAGTAAAAATGCAAACTTTTTTTAGGTCAGTCCTCAGGTGGAGAGGAAAACTTTTGTGACATTGCGTCAAACAGATTGAAAAAGTCAAAGAGGGTGTCCTCCTGGTGTATTTAATAAAGTCTTGATGTTGCTCTTCTTCACCTCATACTGTCCTCTTTCACACTACTCTCTGCATGGATCCAACTTTTCATCTTCGATCACAGTTAGAAGTAAACATCTGGTGACCACATGAGTAGGTAGTGACTCTCAGGTTCTGCAGTTGCTTAAACATTGTTTATTAGCTGAATACTGGATCTTTGCACATTCTTCTCAGTATAGATTGGATAGTTGTGACTTCACTTGGACATAGTTTCTGTTGTTTTGCATTGAGATAATTGAACTAGTCTCACTTATGTTGATGCAGATTCTGCTGTTTCCACTCTGTTCTGCTGGCAACTTTGCATTTATATCCTATTATTGAGTTTATCCCTGATTTTGCTTGTTATCTTTTGTCTGTTCTGCTGCTTGAAGATAAGACATGTTTTGATTTTAATTCTTCTTTATCAGGTATAATTATCCTAGGAATTTATCAATGCGCTGACACTCAACAGTGAACCCTAACAATGAAGGACTAAGTCCTTTTAAGATCAGTTCCAACATCGGTCATCTCCGCTGTGCCACATTAAGAAAAATAAATAAGAGGATAAAAATAGAAATATTGAGCTGCCATGACGGAATAAGCCATATGTGAAGTAGTAGTATCAGTCTTTCCAGAGAGTCCTTGATGAAATGGTGTCAGAGCTGAACATCATACAGGCCATATGTGGAGGCAGGCTTGGCATGAGCAGCCAACTGGAGGGTCCGTCTGTCTTTCTTCTTGTCCCAGTAGGGGGGGCTCAGAAAGCCTATTCCTGGCTTAAGTATCTCCAGAAGTCCATATCCAACAGGGCACAGCTTGGACTTAATATAGACCACATCATACTGAACATATCTGTCATTCCAATCACAGATGATGATATGTGAAGCAAACAAAAGTGAACAGTAGTTGGTCTGATTTAAACATGTGAATTTAAAATAGATTGTAAATGTGGCAGCAGTTTGCATAGAATAAAACTGACTAATAATAGGCCTTTTGTCTGCGGCTTCAGTAATAATCAGTTGATATTTGAAAATATTGGAAAAATGTGTTTCCTGTGTGACATACATGACAGTCATGCAGTGTGCAATGCTGACATCAAGTGGTTGAAAAGTGAAAGTGTTGGTGCAGCTGAGAAGAATCTTTTCACACACTTTTAACTTTGTTTAAAGTTAAAACCTAGCAGACAGTATGAGCATAGATATTCTTCCACTGGTTATATCAGTTTTCATGTACTTTTTCCAAAACTGATTTAAGTACCCAAGTATCATCTTTCACCTTGAAACAGGCTGATACCTTTTTTGTGTTTCCATCCCACTATAATAGTCAAAAGTGAGTAAATATGAACACACACACAATGTTAAATTGAATGAATAACTTTTTTTAATGTTTTTACTTCACCTTTCATGATAACTGGGTTTCAGTTTGTGAGCAGATATGCAGCGTTTCTTGTCAGCAAGTACATTATTGTGAATAAACCCCTCTCTGAAAAACACTTAGTATAACAGGCAGGTAACACCTCCAGTCTCTCCTCTGCATTCATTATGCAGTGTCAGAATAACTGCCCCTCTTTTTGATGAGCTGAAAACGAGTGTCTCCCCCCTGAGAAAATGAAAGTGACCTTACAACATTAACCTGCAGATAGGCTGTATTCTTTTGTATGCTTGACTGCCACACTGACACGCATCCCTACACAGAAGGTGCCCCGAATCCCACTAGGTGCTTGTATAGTCACCGGCGCAGTGTCTCTGAACACGCTGACCGATAAAGAGCCACTGTTATCTTCAGATAGCAGGCGCTGCGGCTGAATAATTTATGGAGGCATTCCAACACATTGACTCGGAAAATGACATACACCCGCAGAGGGCAGGGGAGTGGTAAAAGGTCCGGCATGTGTCTCTTGAGATGTGTGTGTGTTTCTCAGCTTTTTCTTGCTTCAAAGTGTGTATACTTACTGATATGTGCTTGCATCTCTGTATTTCTCTTGCATCTTGTGTCAAATCTCTCCTACTTTGTTTGTGGGATAATTCCTTTTAGCTTTAGAGTTGGCGGTTAGTTTGCCACGGTTCATTAAAGTTGTGGGAAAAAAAGATAAACAAGGCAAGAAGTGTCTACTCTATTCATTCCCTTCTCCCAGGAGCTTTGTCATTACCCATTTAAAAAGTGCTGAACCCTTATCCCTGCAATAATTAATACAGGTGCGTAATTAAAACATGGTAATGAACAAATGCTGTGAGTGACACAGAGCTGTATCAGCAGGATTGTTAGGTAAGTGTCCCTCCCCAGTTTTCATTATCTTAGGTGACCTTTGCAGTTCAAGCTGTTGACACTCAACCAGTTGCATCCTGGGACTGCTGATGCTGCAGGAACCCTGGCATACACCCAAACAGAAACCCCTGGAGTTGGAAAACGAAGCTGCCTGATTAAAAGAGGAAATATGCAGTTTCTGTTTAACGTTCACCCTCTTCAATAAAAAGCTCTTTAGTCCTCCTAAACACATGGAAAAGAGGATATCAAGAGGTGCTTCAAGGTTTGCCTGATTAGAATTGCACTGTTTTTATTTTACAAGGAGCTGCTGAAGATTGTTTCTATCTGAAATAAGCAATTCATTTGAAATTCAATAAAACATTGCAAAAACCGTTTTCTATCTTGAAACAGTTTGCTGAAACTCTTTACCGAGGGGTCTGCAAGCCAAGGTCATGCTAACTTATATAGCTCACTTACTTCAGCCAGTAAAATAAAAACAGATCTAAACTGAGCAAGAGTGTGGAGGGAGATTTGAAAGGTTTAAAAAATATACAGTGCCCAGCATTACTCAGTACACCCCCAAAGCAAAAGTACAATTTCCAAAGTTTCGACAAAGCTGAGATTAACATAACATTTTATTTACCATAAAATGAAATTAAGGGTGATATGGTAACTAAAATTTAGCATTGTTCCCAGAACTTTTATGTACTAATTTTGCATCCTTATTTTAAATTGAAAAACAACTTTTTTGTATGCAACTTAAAAGATCTTGTTTGCAATCAATGGCCTACATTTGTGGGAGTATTTTGTTGTATCGTAGTCTGACATAGAAAATGTTGATTTTGAAAGGAAACTAAAGGTTTTCTGACAACTCTGAAGTGCTGTACTATTTTATGCTGAGCACTGTATATTTTTAGTGTTAAGTCAACAGGAGGTATGGATGGAAAACCTGACAAATACACATCTTTAAACTGTGACACTTTGTACCAAATAGCCACATCTGATTTAAGTGCTTCTTAGTTAGTTAGGTAAACACAGACAGAGGTCCTCTTAGAGTGTAGAGTTTGATGAAGAAGTAACAGACACCCTCTCTTCTCTAAATCTGACCTTGTCTTGCTCACAGCTACTACGAGATTACCTATCAGATTACTTAGTCACGTTTCAAAAGGCTATTTTATCGATTCCAACTCAGCCGAGTGAATAAGTGTACAACCGCTGTTTCCGCAAGGCTACCATTATGGAGCTCTCGTGTTTCAGTAAGAAAATAGATCAAGGATATACTTTTACAAGATGAGACATCACCAAGTTCAGCCCACATCTTCTTTCTTTAAATACTGCATTGCAGTTTGTTTAACCCTCAGGGCTGTTTCCCCCCATGCATTCAGCTAATTTTAGCTGCCACTTTGGAGGACAAGGTCACAGTGGGTGTGGGAGAAATTAGGCAGTTGAAGTGTGTGCTTGTGCTTGTGCTTGTGTGTGTGAAACAGCCTAGACACACACAGTTCAGTGCATCTTCTGTCTGGCACTGCAGTGACTACCAACTGACCCACTAACACTGAACCTCAGGGTTTCTGACCGCTGTGACATGGGAGCTGGAAAAAGAAGATGGCATTGGGGCTTATTTCAAGCTGTTGCAGCAGAGAATAATGAGCGCTGTGATTTATGGCTGTAACTGGTGACAGCATCTTCGCAGGGTTCTGCAGGGGATGTGATGCTGCTGTTGTGTGCTGTGTTTAAAGTTTCACTGGAGGTGGGTTTGGGTGAGGCAATGACTGTAAAAAGTTTGGAAATCTCAAAAAGTTGAGTTTCCCTTTTTTTGTTGTTTTTTAATTGCTTTATTTATGCATTTATTATTATCATCATTATTATTAACGGACTGACAGTGCAGAAAAATGTGTTTATTTAGTGTTAGGCTTTGATACATTTGGTAAATGAACATATTTATAACTTCATCTATCTTAATTTAGCTTGATGAGATTAACAATCTCTTATATATTATGCATTTTATTACAACCTCTCACAGCAGTTTCTTGTGTACCTAAATAACTTCCTTCATTTTGTAAAGATTAGACACCTGAGAGGCTCCACTCATCCGCAGCATCCCAAAGCATCAACTTTACACTCTAGTCGTGAACGTAATTAGTGAGTTCTTACTAATGTGGAAAGGTGGAAATGAAGATACTAAATTCATGTTATGTTGCTCATCCTCTGTGTTTGCAGTGGGGAATGGCCTCTATATATATAATGGCTATTGTCTTATTGGTTAAAGCAGACCCGGGCATTTCACAGCCCGAGGGCCACATCCGGCCCCCTGGATGTCCCTGCCCAGCCCTTCCTAAACATGCTATCCAAGTGTGTTGCTTTTATTTTGAAAACCTAGTGGTGGTTTTATTTCCGTTTGGACGCACGTGTGTACCTCCGAGATCTGCATTCGTGAACAGGGATAAGTTTAAACATTGTTGAAATATACGTAGATGCCTTATAGATGCTCATTCCGCTTAGACTTTAGGCCTTTTTACAGTTCAGGTTTCTCATATGGCCCCATTTCAAAATTCATTTCCCACCCCTAAGTTAAAGGGTTTATGGAAATGCCGTGCTCCATCAGAGTGAATCTGTTGTTGTCTTCCATCTTTGAAACCAAAAGTTTTTAGTCCTCCTGAAACTTTTTTCCCTGTGAACTTTCTACAACTCAGTGGAGATGAGCCCATATATCACTTTTGACCTTAACAGGAGAAGAGGATGTGTATTTGTGGAAGGATCTGCAAGGTACAGTCATGCTAGACTGGTTTAAAATCTAACTGCATTGAGTTTCAGGCGATGTAGAGTGTTGCAGGGGGAGAAACTAGACCGTCTCGACTCAGAGACAAAAAGTAAAAATCAAAACAGCAGTTTCCTGCAGCCCAAGTGTTTTATTTAATCACAGAGACATTGAATAAAACTGGAATTAAGTACAAGACCTTTCAAGTTCTCAGTTATTTAATGTGCATAATTTGAAAGGGCAGCACATTATTGCAAACACACGACCGAAAATGTAAATCCGATGACATTTTAAAAGATGAGATCCAAGAAAAGACCTGTGCTAAAATATAAATGACATGATAATGCCTTTAATTATTCAGGCAAAGGTGGCGTTTTGTTTGTGTGTGGCTTTGGGCTGTTGTTGTGTCTTTGTTTACATGTGTATGATGAATAATGCTGTGCTCTGTAAGCAAGCTTATATGCCGGCAGATGTAACATCACCTGAGGACAGTTTGAATGGAAATGTAGTCGGTGCGGTTCTTCCTCTGCTGCCTTTTAAACGTGCTCCTCTGTTTTCACTTAGACCACAACAAGTGAACCAAACTTGAAATAATCCATGACAATACAAAGAGTAATAACTATCTTACTCAGAACAGGTCACATCTTCTCCTAATCACCGTTATATGACTGTTACATTGGAAGAGTGTTTTATTCTTACAACTCTGAATCCACTTACACAATTTGGCTGTTTAAATTGATTTTTGAAGACATTACAGTAAATTCCTCATATCAATAAATGATCAAATCAGATGAATAACAATTAAGCTAGGTAACGGACACCGCAAGCTCGGTAATGTGTCTCGAACACAAACCGCATAGCACCGATCAGTCTACATTCAGCTGCTAATGTATGCGGATTATGTTTCAGTTATTTTTCATTGGCTGAGATGAGCAGGACAGAAGATCGTGAATGTGTGATAGGAGAGGAAGAGTCCTCTACAAACCCCCAAACAACATCCAGCGTAGTATCATACTTGCATAATGCTGAACGGGCGCTTCTCCAGAACTCTTGGTTGAGATGCCATGAAACCAGCTTACATATAAATGTATAATTCTCATTAGAAAACTTTTCTTCCAAGACTCTCCTGATTTCTTGAACACATTTATGCAAAAAAACTCAATAACAAAAGACTTACTTTACTCCTGATGGTTTTACACTGCCTGTTTGTGGATTTGGAGGGATGGTAGCTGATAATAAACTACATCTTTAACCATGTGTGTGAGTGATATGCACACTGGGGCATTGACAACGAATGATATTCTAACACTGGATTTTAACAAGTGCAATTAGGCCTTTGCTAATCATACCCTTTGCTATTATTGCAAACAAGCTTCAACTATTTAATTTGACATTTAGCTGTTTCATAACAATTTGTTAGTCATTACTGTTTTTTCTGAAGTTGCAGGATTTCTTAGAGAGAGTTGGGGAATAATTCTTTGTGTGATTTTACTACCACTGACCCTCTTTAATAAGTCATTTCGCTCACCCTTACAATTTTATATCTGGCTTCAAAGTCAACCGTACCCGCCTAGAATTTACTAGAATTGAACTGTGGTTGTTTTGAATCTCAATGAGCAGCGGTTGGCTTCCTGAATATGAATTATTCAGTGTATTGAGGACAAAGCTTTCAAGCCCTCTTCCTCGGGATAATCATGTACGTCGGGGCTGTGCTCACCTAACAAGTGTTACCAAAGAATCCATATTACCGTAACAACGCCACCAATCTGTTAGCAAACTGGCGTGTCTGTCGTCCTGCTGGGAAAGGATGGCTCTATTCCCGGCTCTCTGTCCTGGGCCCCCCTTTGTCTTCTCAGGTACAGAATATGTTGCACTCATCTCAGGGGAAGCAATTAGATATAGCTCTGCTGTCTCCCCTTAAGCACAACCATCTATCACCACACACCAGTTAATGCTATGTGCATTTAAATAGAAGCCTGTTTTGTACATGGGGACAAATCATTTGCATGCGACGTATGTAAATTTACACTTACAGGATGTCCTCTTATAAATGGTAGAATTGCTTTAACCAGTGTGCTGTGGTAGATGCATCATTTTAACCTATATACCTGAGGACATTGTTTAAAGTGGTGCAAAATACTCCCTCCTCATTTTACTAATCTAGCGCATTATTTCTACCTGCAACAAGGTGTCCTTTTACTGACTTCAGCGCCTGTCTGCTTAATTAAAGTTATTTTAAAAAGTCAAGTTACACAGAGATCAGAGGGCAGGGTCAGGGACAGGGCAAGGCTTCTGAAGTTTCTTGGGTACTTCTCTTACACATCCCAGCCAAGTGTAGGTGTGCTGACTCATGTTTAAACCTTTTTTAATCTGTCTTTACCGCAGTTGTCCTTGATCTTAGTCCGGACAGTCAAGATCATCCCAGTCAAAACAACAACTTCTGTTCCCTGTCTCATTTTTCTTTCCATACAGAGAGGTCTGTGCTCTTACTCTTCGAAACTTAACAAAATGAGTCAAATGAATCTTTCTGTTATGAAAGATGTTAGCAGTAAATGACCCATCCTAAACTGGAACAAATCTGCTGTCATGTTTTAGAAACTTTGTGCAAACTCTAATCTTTAATCTATAATCTAGACTGAAATTAACACAACACAATTCAGCTGATTGGATAAAGAACTGACAAGAGACACAATATTTTCACAGTACAAATGTGCAGTTTGAGATTAATAGTGTCACACTCATCAGTGCACAGTATTTTTGGTTGTAATAACACCCAGTATGCTGCAGGTGTATTCTTGGGTTGTATATGACTGTTTTTAAAAGTGCAGCCCTGATGATGTTGGATGCGGTGGCATGGGGCTAGTATGAAGTACTAGGAAAACATGATTCAAGATAAGTACTTTAAATATCAAATCAAATCAAACTTTATTTATAGAGCACCTTTCCTACATGAATGTGACTCAAAGTGCTTTACAAGTTAAAAACAAAAACAAAAAACTGTCCCAGATGCCCCCTTACCCCCCACCCTAACCCTCCACCTACACACACACACACACACACACACACACGCACGCCAACGCACTCGCACATACACACATAGAGACAATGGGCATGAGGCTGAGTGCAGATGAACCAGTTGAGAAGTCGTATAAACATAACTACAGAATAAACATATCATGTTTCAAATGTACAGTACTTTTGCTTTAATCAGTAGGATTATATTCACAAACTGACATAAATATTTTTGATGAATTGCTTTGATAGAGGCCTGTCTAGTGGTTATTTTTTTAAATTGAAACCATTGTGGTCTGAAATCATAATTGAGTGGTAGGAGACAGTGTTTATTCCATGAATTAGAGTATTATTTTAAAAATCTTTATACGCTTTTTGGACTTTCACAGTCGCACAGAGCAGAAAAAGTGGTGAGGGGCCAATTGGAAAAAATTGGTTGGAATAAAAGGGGCCCTTGTTGTTGTTTGCATAATAGTTAGCATTGAAAGGCATTTTGATAGTTTAAAAACTAACTAAGTAGGGTTTATGAATCTCTGGGAGCTTCTTGTCCTCCAATACAAGCATTGTTTAGATGATGGGGAGGGGTGAGCAAGGGAGCATTTAAATCTAGATTCTGATTGCTAGATATTCCCTTTTCCTCACATTGTACCTTTAAAGTGAAATATGCCATCAAGAGGCACAAGGGTGAGTTTTTTATCCACAACTATAGGAAATCAATGAAAAGGAAATAATTTGCAAATTTTGGACCTTAATCGCATCAGTATTACCACAGACAGCCATAATTCTGCTTGGAGTGAGTCTCACAGAGCTTCGTGAGCAGGACTCTCATTGGACATTTTTTTCTTCTAACTTGTCTCTGATGCCAAACATGGCATTGCAAAAGATCAAGTGAGAATAAGTTGCCATGGCGTTTTAACCCCAAAATAAGTTAGCTGAGCTGTAAAAATAATCCCTGAGTTGACCCTGAATTAACTTTGGTAACTACAGCTGTGCGTAATGCTACAGGGCCCTGCAGTACTAGAATAAGAAGTGCAGTATATAGTTAGTTGACTTGCTATAAAAACTGTGATTTTGCAGCCTTGACAACTTAAAAAAACACTTTCAGAATTGTGATGCTGCTCATTTGTCATTAGTTGGGGATCTAAATTGGCGTTTGTGTTAAAGGCTTCCATGCTTTACAGGACGCTCAAGGAGGACAATCAAAGGGATCTACTGTTAGTGTCGTCAGCAGCCTCACTGACTCTTCTCGTCCCCTGAGACTTGACTCAAACATGTGCATGGTCCTCTACCTTTAGGCAAGAGCCAGCGAGTCTCCCCCTCTCTCCCTCCCTCGCTCCCTCTGCTTCATAGAGCGGTCCTCTTCACATCCCTCTCCCTCCTCCTCCTCCTCCTCCTCCTCTCCCTCATCCCACCCTCTTTCACACTCTGTTGATCGGCTCAGCAAAGGGAAAGTGGCTGTGTGAAACCTGAGGATCACTTGCAGACTGAGGAAGCAGAGAGAGAGCGTTCACAGCGTGTTTGAACCTTCAAGGTAAGACAGGACAAATGACAGCAGTAAGCCTTTCTCCTGGATGTCGATTTTTGTGCAATGAAGGATATAAATTTGAAGGAAAAAAAAATCTAGAGCCATCACAGAGGATTGTGGAGTGACTTGTGATCTCTTGATGTCTTAAACTTCTGCTCTTGTAACGGGACCTCAGAGGGGTTTGTAATTCTAGTACTGAATAGAGTAGAGTATCGTAAGGTGATGTTTTATTTAGTGTCATAAAACCTTGTTTGTTTTACTTTGTGGTGATGATCAGTATATTTGCTGCCATTATTTTGAATCTAGTAGCATAAGGCAGTCTATAGAATCGCTAATGCTAGTTTTATTCAGGGTGTCTGCCATGTGTATTGACTTTTTTTCGTGCCATCCCAGGTCCAAGGATGGCTGTGAGAATAACTTCTCAATGCAATAGCTCAGGACGTATAAGATGAACATTTTCTAGCTCTTAAAGGGCAAGCTGAAAGGTCTCGCATCTCATTATAGTTGTGCATAACTCGGGGAAGAAAACACCCCAAATTAGCATATGTTCTCAGGTGGATTGCTTGAGCTTGTGACAGTTTGTTTTGCACGCTGCTGTAGTTGTAGCTATTTATGCTTCAGTGTTCACCAGAGGTTGTTACGGGGTCGTCATTTTAATCATGGGGCTAATAATACTCACAGCTGTGTTTCAATATTGATCACAAACTATGGAAAGTTTTCAGAGTACAAAGATTGTATTAGGAGAGAATTTTCTTTCTCAAAGTTCCCAGAAATAACGCATCTCGAATTAGAGAAGTTCCAGTCATGTGCTCACCAAACAAGAGGGCCCAGTGGAGGGAGGACCTGCAGCATTTCCGTAAAGAACACGGCTTCTCCAAGAAAGTCCTGCTCAACTGCTGCCTGGTGCGACGGATCATCACCTGGGCCTCCCCAACTCCCAAAGGTCAGAGCCAGACTCGCTATCTGTTGTTCCCAGGTTTGTCTGAAGAGTGGTTTCAAAAGACTACCTGGCAGATTTTGGCTTCAGCTTCGGGTTACTTTTGTTTTCTTTGAAAGAATGACGAATTAGGGATGTCTTGTGCATTTAGATAAGGCATGTACAGTGACAGTGTGGGGACTTTTAGTTGCGTTTGTTGCAGCACAAGAGACAAAAGCTGTCTTCTTAATGTGAAAAAGTTCTCCTTGTTGTCCTATATAGCAGAAGTGGTTGTTGAACTAAGGCCAGCAAAAGCTTTCAGAAGTGCAACTTTTTTTTTTTTTTTAATCAGTCTTGATGTATTTGGTCCAAGCTGACTTTGGCAGTGTTATACCCAAGGTGGATTGCAAGGGAAAACAAAATGAATGCTTGGTCAAAATGTGTTTAAGTCGGAGCCTTAAGTTTCACAGAATTTGTTTTTCTACAAGTCAAGCCGCAAACAAAAGCCACCCAAATACAGTCAAGAGAGAGCTTTTATCAGGGTTACTAAGGGGATGTCATCTCCAGACACACAGGTTTGCAATACTCGTAGTGCAGGATGCACTGTAAGAGACTAAAGTGCATAAACGAATTACACATAGTGTATTTGAGATTCAATTGAACAGTAACTTCATATCCTCATCAAATGTTTTATTAACCTTAGACTAAATCAGCAGTGGGCAGCAGAATACACTCGGACCAAAAAACGGTAAAGGTTCCCGTCAAACATATTAATGCTGTATTGATCAGCAATTCCTTCACCATACAGGCTCGCCAGAATTTATGACTTTTCTGGAATGAGAAATGATCCAAACTCACCGCACCACAAGTCACAGCCGACAGCTCGGGTAAATTAATTCACTTTGAACCCCGATCGGTATTGATTACATCTCGGGTTATTCACAATGGCCTCATAGCCTTATGAAATAGAGCGTGTGGTGTCTGGTCAGGCCTCTGTAAGAGCACACATATATCAGGTGGTAAAATAGAGAGGGAAATCATGGCGGCATTTCACATGTAGAGATAAACAAGCTTTAGTTTAACCTCTTTGGAGAGGAAGTAAAATGTAAAAACTGAGTTTGACCTCCAAGTAAACAACAGATTAAAAGGTCTGTAAAAATGTGCTGAGCCGCAGTTGTTAAGTGACTAGTTAATTCAAGGAGTGCAAATAATGATTGCATTTATTTCCTCGTTTGTTTTTAAAGTTGTTGTTTTGTTACACTTCTTTAGTTTCTATAATTGTAAGTAGAGAGACATGTCAAGCATCACCATCAAAATCACAGTTTTTGTATAATTGGCAGGTGCTGTTCCACACTGATATGCCTTGTCGGATAAATTAGTTCTGTTTGGATGATTAAGATGCGATTAAACAGTCATGAACATCACTGTAGGGACTGACTGAGTTACATCTGCAGTGAGCATTTTTTCTGCGGGGGAAAAACAACAACAAAAGGAACCCAAAACAGCTGCTGTTGTTGTCATGAACAAGAGAAAATAGATGATGCATAATCATCTCTTGTGAGAAACAGAAGTTTTTCTTTAATTTCATATCTATTACCCAGGTGAGATGCAGGCAGGTGCAGTTTCCAGATCACAAAATTAGTTTACGTTCTTGTCTCTTTTTTTCCTGTTTGTACATTTCAACAATCACAGTTGTCATTTGGATGCATCCTCAAAATAACACGCATGCTCCCGCCTGGGATGGAGCCACGCCAGGACTCAGGTGTTTCTGTCAGGCATATTTGAATTAGTCAGAGCGTTTGTTCAGACTTTCATTCCTTTCAGCGCTGCTTTGTTATTTGAAACGTTCTGCCTCTATCCCAGGGCAGGCTGCTTCTTCATACCACCTTAAGTTAAAGCCTGAGACAAAAACAGAAACAAAAGTGCGAACTGCAAATGGAAAGACGGTTTATTTATTTATTTTTTAACATTAACACTGCAGCAATTAGCTTTCAAACCTTTATTTATGCATGGAATAAAACCTTTAATGCTAAACACCTCAGCTCCCGGAGGCTTGAATAGATACATTAAGAAAATCATGAATTAAACAACACTTATAAACGCAGATTTAAAAATTTAATAGCTCATTTGGACTGCAAGTTTCTTCACCCAGCATATTTATGTCCCACTGTGATTTTGCCATTAGGTGGCGTCTCAAACCAACAGTTTTATGCCCGGAGTCGCCCAGAATAACCTCCCAGCATGCAGATGATGACTCTTTAGCCTGCCAGGTGGCAGTCGAGCCTTCCGGATGTTGGAGCAGTCTCCAGAAAATGAACACGCTCTCCAAAGCAGGTGTTTCTAGAAATACACGAGCCCCATGTTGTGTCCTCAGGACAGACGTCTGCTCTAAGGGAGCGTTTTACAAACCCCTGCTGTCTTTATGACGCACTCTGACAGCTCAGTTATATCCGCTGAGGGAAAATAAGAAGATAGAGTATGGTATGTGAAATACTCTCTCTGTTTTTGATTGAGTAGTCATCACCCACTATTATAAAATTTACAGTTCACTTTTTTTCCTTTTTGCACATTACATGGATTAAGTGCGGCACTCTTCTCATACAGGAGATCAGAGAAACTCTTTATTTTGAACCCTTTCTTATAGACATACTCACACATTTGAGAGTTGAATTTCTTCTCCGCCCCAAACCTGGTTTTAGTGGAATGTGTTAAAAATATAACCCGCAGTTTCATTTTTTAACATTATGCTTGAAACCCATTACTGTATGTCACCATTACTGCCAGCAGAGGGCAGCAAGCAACAGAATAAATCAGTGTCTTTCATGATGCACTGTTTGCAGTATACAGATCAGTCTCTGCTTGATTAATTTCTAATCTTATTTGAATGAAATTGAATAATTTTATCGGGTTATGACAGTATGATTCAGCATCTTATCTATCTGTGGCACTGTGATATTGAGCAGGTTTATAAAGGGCGATGCTGATTTACTGTGATTGTTTACTACCTTTATATATGAGCGTGGGCACAGTATCAACACCAGTACAGCCCCTTTTAATCCAAAACAACAACAACCCTTTAGTCCCTTGAACGCATCACGTGTCTTAATACTCAGGTTTGTGATACTGTGTCATAAATTCAGTGAATGTCTGCACTGCAGCAGCAATTCAGTGGCCCCAAATGCACTCACTGTAGCCAAGCGGATGCTCTGTTCATGATGACATGACGGCACAATATTGAATCATGATTTTCATGGATATATGTACACGGATCCTCCACTCACAGTCTGCGTCACTATAGGACATCAGCTTCTTTCTGTTTCATTCAGAGCATTTGCTCTTTTTCCTTTCTGTCTGTTTTATTGTGAAATGAAAAGATGTTGAACGCACTGACCTTCATGCATCATTTCAAACACAGCGTACAGTATTTCTGAACAGAAAATCTACAGTGCAGTGCTATTTAAATCCCATCTTATCCTGTGCACCTTTACATTCCCTGGGAAATCCTTCCCTCAGATGTCTGCTGGATCAATAAAGCTTTTGACAAGCAATTTGGATGTGCTATATCCCAATTCTTCTTATATAAATCCACTTACATCTCCCTCTGTTCTCCATAGAGACTACCATCTGTGGCAGAATCCCACCTTCTTCATCCTGCATTTCAGAGCTATGTCCTTCAAACAGCACATGGCCTGAAAATTGATTTGCCGTCTGTTTTGGTCCATGACAACAGTAATGAATCCTCATGTGGAAGTTGGCCATTGCATGTGCTTCTCAATTTATTCTCTTCAACAGATGGAAACTTCTAGCTTGTCCAATTTTACCCATATATATTGAGATGTTTTCTTTTACGTCACTGCATCTCCTCGCTGATTTGAATTTAATTGCCCAGAGTTTGATCCCAGTGTGATATCACATCCAGCAGTCAGACATCATGGGGAGAAGTATTGCTGGAAGGACCCTTAAACCTTGAGATATAATATGAGTCACTGTGGTGCTCTTTTCTTGAGGAAATGTTAAATATCATTAAGACAGTCCTGGGGTGTATATTCACGATGATTGTGACGCGTTTGGTGGATTGTTTTTTTTTTGACTAACAAATTGGCCACTGGTTTTAGGTCCTATGTTTGCTTCCACTAAACCAACATGCTTTCCATTTTAATGTGTTTCCCATTTGGTCAAGAGTGCAAGCCTCTGTAGCTGTGAGGTGGAAATCAGAAAAGGCAATGATGGATTAGAGAGGAAGTGAAGGCAGCATGCAGCCTCTCATTTTCACAGAAGAGTGATCGCTCAGGGACTTTCGGCTGCCTGGGATGCACGCATGTCCACCTGTTGTCATTCATTTGATTCATATGTTGTGGAAACTGGAGAAAGGGAGAAGGAGAGGATCCTCCAGTGATACCTCTCGATCACATTAATCATTCTCACAGAGCTAGCCTATGCTCATGACAGCTGGCGAGAAAATACCGCGTGTTGTTTACGACGATGGAGCTCACCGATGACGTTGGTGTGTTTGTTGAAATGCAGCGCAGCGTGACTCACATCTCAGCATGTACTCTTGCATATATTTCAGTCGCAGAGCCCTCGGATGCAGTTGCAGATTACTTACACTCTGTTCAACGGTTTTAATTTCCTTTTGTAATCTGTATTACAATTAGCATTGAAGTCAGAGAAATACACTGAAAACTCTCCCAGAAGCGCTTTCTCATTAGTCCTCTTAGTACGGCACTGCTAATACTGTCCTGAACAATTCTATAAACGGGTTGAATATCAACCACTCAGAGCACGCATGACTCCAGAAGCACTTTCCATTATGTCACACAGCAGTGAGCTCCACGTTCTCTTTCTCAGACTTGGCCTTGACCCATGCAGCTCCGCTGATAAACAGGGATTAGCAGCTAATAGTTGGAGATTAGTCAGAGAATAGGCGACCCCAGCCACAGTGTTGTTAGTAAAACACCTTAAAGCAGTCTGACACACACAGAAGACACTCACATTCCTCTCTGTCGGTGAGATACCGGCTGGTTTGACACGTGACTGTGTGCCTATCACTGCTGTAACCAAGCTGGGTCCTCTTGTTTCAGCAATACCATGAACTCATTCTACACATCATGAAATATGCATCTGAAACCGCATGCAGGTGTTTTTCCACTGACTTGGTAACATTTTGTTCCTGTGAGGGTGCAACATGTGAGCCTATGCACCACTTAGCCCTGAAAGGAGGCTTCTTTTAATGATCATCGTCATCATTTATTTACTCTTTCTCTCACCAATTAACACCAAACAGCACTTACTTTATTACTTTAGCACTTTAAAACCATTTAAAAAACACTAAAAACAGATTTAATCATTTTAAAGGACAACAAAGACGCCAGTTGGTGTCATTTTTATTTGTTTTTCGACATATTATCTGTTATTCATCTGGTTGAAGAGATGCACTGACTCATTCTACTGGGCAATCGATCCGATTGATGTTACAGCACTTGAGTACTCCTTGGTATTAGTGTAGCTAATAGTGTAAGATGATCGAAAGGGAAGCAGTGGCAGTCAGAGTCCCTGTGTTTTGGCCCTGGGTATAGATGAAGCTCAAAACCTTTCCTGTTAATCTTTTGGGTTTCTGTAATCTCTTGAGATCCCTCCCTGCGAGATAAATGCAAGAAAACAGGTTTTCAGAGTCCTTAATCTCAAACTGAGATAACCTGTAAGACATCACTGTATTTCCACTGCACCTCTTATCTGAAACTTTTTAGCTGTGAGGATAAAGATGATGACAACGAAGCTTTTTCTTCTTTTATGCAGCTTCCCTGACACCTTTTATCGTATCATTTGATCGATTCATGTTGTTTATGTAGCCGCTAATTCCAGTGAACATAAAAATTGTTATTGTCATCTTTGTTTTTAATCCTTGACCCATCATGTAGTTGAGTGGTCTTAACAAACATTCAGCAGCAGCAGCCAGTAGGGGGAGTTCCAGATCTTTTGGCTTCACTTTTAGGTAGCTGTCATGTCATCTGTCTTTTTATAGTCTGAAAAGACAGATTGCATTGGCGAAAAGTTAGATAATGACCAGCAGTGAGTTTTTGAAGGTGACTCTCGTACCTGTTAAACGCAGCAGGAGGAACACTATTGAGGTGTCAACGCTCAAAGTTTTGATAGAAAGTACAACATTAGTCCTGGAAGTGTTAGTGTGAAGTTTGGATGTCATTAATCATCAACCGGCCTCTGCATAATTTAGACTTTAATAGGCTTCTGTCTTCCCCTCACACGTCCTCCTTCTGTCCTCTTGTCTGCCTTCGAATCACTTTTTTTTGCCTGTAACCTACTTCAGTCAAGTGTTTGTATTCTAGCAGCAGCCGGGGTGAACTATAAAAATACCCCCCTGATTGATACCTGGTATGGTGAAACCTCATAAGCTGTTGCTGCCCCAGGCCACAAATGACTTTCTTGTGGGTGTCACTTGGTTTTTACACACCTGTCCCTGTCGTGGGTATAATTTGTCTCCCTCTTCTTTTTGTCAGGCAGCAAACAGCAGACTGAGATTCATTTTCAGACCAGAAAGACAATCAAATTCCTCCTTATTTCTGCATTAGATCCATTCTGGTTTGATGTATTTAATGCTCAAAAACACCTCAGGCCAACTGTCACAGCTTTTTCTTAAGATTTTAATGTTTTGATAGAAGTCTCTGCAAAGTTTTGCATTTTGGAAGTTGATTTAGAGCTGTTAATCCATAATCTGATCATGAAGTTTTGTTTCCAATCAGATTTTTTTCAACATTTGACCAGGAGAATAAATCTTAGTCACATAAAAAAATTGTGTTTCTGTCAGAAAAAAACAGCTGATTGGAATAAATCAGTATTTTTTATAAAGGCAGCATCAAGCCACGAATGTTTCATCTTGAAATCTGAGGAAAGTTATGTCACAAAAACAGATGGCATGGCGAGTTTTCAATAAAATAGTCTGAAAATATCCATGTCCAAGCTTTTAACTGTTTATCAATAATTAAAAACCCTATTTTAACAGATTTACTGAGAAAAAAATTTCCACTATCTATACCATGAGCTCAGTTTGACTCTAATGGATAATTGCACCATGACAAACATATCATGTGACATGTTTGTGTCAATTGTCACATGAGGTGTGTTGGTGTCCCAGATGGCTGCATCAACCTGTCACTGTAGGAAAACAAAAATGAGATTGAAGTTCCCCAGGGAGCATCACGGTGATACCGCTGTCCAACAGTGCACCTGTCTGCAGTTTGGTCCCGAATGACTCAGACGGCTTAGACTGTGTCGAAGGCTTGAACAAGACAAAGGAGAAAAAACATGATTAGACCATTTTGAAAGAAAAAAAAGGAAACAGGGAAAGTTACTTTAAAGTTGGGATAGTTTTGCTCAAAAAGTAGACTTGATGAACCAAATGCAGGTGGTTTCTTTTAAACAATAACAAACAACCAATGTGATACAGGAATTGGATTAAGGTTAATGCCCCTGATGTGATTGAACATCATATTGTTGGTTTTCCAGTAGTGTGTGACAGCATAAGAAGACAGCTGCCATATGCATATAGTCTACGGAGAGAGATACAGACTTTAAATAAGTAATAACCCTTCTGTAGTCAAATGACCCATTAGAAAATAAACAACTTTAGGTCAATAATATCGATTCTGCATTCAAAACAGGATGAAGTCATTACACAGGAGCATGGTTTGGAGTGGTACATATAAGTTTGTTTACTGCGTGTCCCAGTTGTCCTCTCTTTTAACCCCAGCTTAAGCTCTTATTGCTTTACTTTCTTTTTAAGAATACAGATTTGCTTTGTGCTCCGAAGTTAAGGCCAGAATGAATAATTGATTTATGGTCATTGTGCAACCTTACCAGGAAAACAAATCACCAACTCTGAAATTGAGAGAGACTGGGCTGTGTTTATCTTCTTACTATCTTTCCTTCACTCTGATGTGTTCAGTTACAGAAAAAAAAATCAAATAAATAAATAAAAGCAACTAAATAACTGTATTAAAATTTCAAACCAGACTTTTAATTAGGATATTACAGCTAAAATAAAACAAAATGAAACTCTGAGGGGGGTTTCATGTAGTTGGGATGGATACAGAGACTGTATGTACAGGAAATACACTCACAGTTCTGCCTGCATGGATCTTCTTCATATTGCCAATGTCCTGCAGTTCATCCCATGAGTCTTGTGAGCAGTTAAAGCAACCCCTGAAGCTCAGCATGGCTGACCGCTGCAGCCAACAGGGACGTTTGGGAGCACAAACACAGAGGAAGGTGTAGGAAAGAAGACGGGGAGAGAGTTACTGAGACAAAAGAGAAGTGGGGTGAGAAAGGGGAGAGTAATTAGCAGGAGGAACAGTGGGGGGAACAGATAAGGGCAGTGGATGTACAGGAATAGAGGCAGGGACAGATGGCTAGAGGTGGAAGCTCTGTCCAAAATGCCAGAGAAAAGTTGCATTTTACTGCTCGGCGCTGGCAGGCTGCAAGAGAATGAAAACCTCTCTGCTCCTCTGAGACACAAGCACAAAGCTGGAGGCTGCAGCAGCTGGACTTATAATCCTGGACCTGTTTGATAGAAACACAACAAAAGCTTCTTTGTCAGCCTATACAATACGCATTACTATTACCAAAGACAAATGAGAACAAAAAGCCTACAGCTCTTTAAGGTACATCTTTGAAAAACACAAACTCCCTTCAAGAAAGCTTGTACCACACACCAGCATTTTCTTGTCAGTGTGAAAATGTGCTTGCAGTGCAGAATGCAGAAATCTGTAGCTGGAAAAAGTAATCATGAAGGACTTCCAAGTAGTTCTGAACAATATACCGTTATAGCCTGAAACATGTCGTGTTGCCACCCACTGAAAGTAATCTAAAATCACTTAACTGAACACATAGAGAGGGAACAGTTGTGCAAGCAGTGCTTTTGCCTAACATGCACGCCAGTCTCACAACTTCTATAGTCACAGACACCTGGAAAACACTTAGTTTAGTCAGAAATTTCCAACGCAGGACTTGTGCTGAGGAATAAACATATTTTTTGAACATTGACGGACAATAGAATGACTATCTGAATGTGCGAATCAAGTATTGCTTCACATAATATAATTTTAAAACAGAGGATAGGTGAAGCATCTTTGTTACAGAGTGACTCATCACCTCCTGAAAACCCTTCTTTATTGACTTTGAGTGATTCGACTTCTGATCTTGCTGCTTTGATGTAAAAGTGTGCTCAAGGCTGTGTCACTATGCTGTGACATCAGTTTGGGTGTGGTCCTAGATGAAACAGAACTGCCTGTCAACCAAAAGGGAAAACAATATCTGATTTTTATTATTTTTAAAAGTTGTTGCGTCTCATTACAGTTCTGCTGTCATGTTTTTGGAGCTCTGCTTGGGCTCTGGTATAACTTGGGAACAATATTTCAGTCACCTTGCGAACATATTCATAACGAAACTGCATCACAGTGCACCATGTTGACATGGTAAACGGTGCGTGTTAGCATGCAAACATCTGCTTATGTGCTTCGGACAAATTACAGATGGGGATGCCATTAGTTTTGCAGGTGTTTGGTGTGACATATTAATTATCGGGAACCTCACTTACATTGATGATATCTTTATTAATATACGCTCATAGGTCTAGTTAAATGTTGTGTCTGAGGAGGCTGTAATGTGGTTTTACCGGCCACCAGAGCCTGTTTCTTCAAGAGAGTAGCTTAATGGGTAAACAGTGTATGTGATTATTGATGCTCCTGAGAAACTGCCTGTAGTATTAATTATGCATGTATGTGATCAAAGAGACCTGATAAGTCAAATGCTCTTAGTTTTGTGAGCCAAGTAAACATGTGCTGCTTGCAGTTATGGATTCCACTCAAAAAGCAATGATACAAAGCAAGACAATCATGAAGTAGGTTCTGGTTTTGGTTTTTTGTTTTATGCGTGATCTCCATTTTTTGTAGAAGAAACGTCACTGTATTCGTTTATTGACATCGAGAATGCATGCAACAGTTAAGTTACGCTGAGAGCACCCTCTGCTGGAGCAAGTGCTGAACTACATCAGACAGTCTGCATAGTTCAAACGTAATTCAAACAACTCAGTCATGATCTACCGCCATACTATGTGGAAAATTATGACGTGTTCATAACAACCAAAGACTCCCAGTATCCAGCCTTCGGACTAGTCTACTCCCTGAAAGTGTAATTAGATGCTACGGACACCTCTGATGAATATTATGTAAACCAGTGAGTGTAATACTGTTACACTATTTCATGTAATGCTAGAAAGGGTTGATCCAGAATTAGGAGCATGTTGCACGTGTACAGAGGCTACAGCCTTCAACATAGCAGCTCCGTTTTGAACCCAAAGGTTTGACTCTTTGCTGCAGCTAATCCCCTATTCTTTCCTCTTGGTGTTTTTTCTTTCTTTCTTTAGAAATATCTTAAGTTTTTAAAGTAATTGGACCAATATTACCAGAAGTACTTCAAATTTAAATGACACATTTAAGTCAGACTGAAACAGCCTTTATCTGTTTCTTGTGAAATTCCGGTCCGTGTTCTTGGTTGACCTTGGGGAATTACGTTTTTATCTTGTCATAGAGCTGCCTGAGAGGAAGCTCTCCATGTTTCCTTTATGCTGCAAATTGGTGTCTTAAAGATTCCTCGGTCGTCTTGAACTGAACTAGAACTTAATTTTAAAATGGCTCCACAAGGTTTTATCACTCTTTGACGGAGAACAAGGTTGGCAATTTCTCATTCACGCATCTACGCGTTAAGGTCAACCTCTTTATTTGCAGCTGATGGCACCAGGCCCATTTCTTCCTCACTTGGGGAAAGAATCACAAGTTATCAGTTCTCCCAGTGGAATAGACCTACCCTTTTTTCAGTAACTGTTGCAGCTTGCGAATGTCGATCCATCGGCAGACTCGCACCCCGCAGAAATGAGGTCAACAAACCACGCCAGGCCTCCTGCAGGAGACCAAACAAAATGAGGTCATGGAAAGTGAAGGCTCTCAGCTGGTCTGTAGAGCTCCTTAGCATGGCATGATAAATACTCTGTTATGACAGTTTACTCTGCCTTGATGCTAACACAGTCCCTCGTTTAAATAAATTGTGTGCATGAGTTGTTGCTGTGTGCTTGTTTGACATTATAGTCTCTGCTTAAATTACAACGCCCATTATGGAGTAAAAGTACTTTTTCATTCCAGCCAAAACCCAGCGGTGGCTGATCCAAAATGTTTCACATTACATTACATTTAAAAAAAACACCAAAAACATGCTGTTACATGTAGTAAAATCATCATACACCCATATCTTTAAGCAAAAAGCAATGAACTACCCATGATTATTCATAAAGAAACATGGATTCACATTCAGGAATAAAACTAATGGTACTTTTTTACGAACCCAGAACATTTTCACACCGCACAATCCCCTCCATGAGTGCTTACTGGCAATCCACTTCTGCAGATGAATTTCAAACGTGATGGGATCCCAGTAATTACATTCCTAATGATCATTTGTGCAGCATGGTTGTGGGTGTAATTTGCCCATTCCCATGGCAGCAAGTTTGTTTTTTTTTATTTTTCAATGTGCAAGGCAGTCATTCAGCAAATGGCTTCTAGCTGAAAGAATAATGCTGTGCCCCCTATTGTGAAAGTTCAAGAGAAACCTCCATGAGCAGGTGCATAAAATAGCAAATGTGAAATTAATCTAGGTTGAGTACGTCATAACTGCAGTATGTTTCTTTTCTGCCATGATATTCCACTATATAGACATAAAGTGCCAGCTCTAGATATCTGTGTATTAGCAGGCAAGTACGAGAGCTCCTTCTGGTGAGGGGGTCTCAGGAAATTACATCCCCAGCTTCAGCTTGTGTTGCAGATTGAGGTAATTCTTCCATAGTCGTGGGAGGCCTGTGGTTTTATTTGCTTAGTGTGTCTTTGCCCAAGGCTGGTTAATAACAAAGGCCACCATTCGCCAAATCCTAATTGTTCCCAGAGGGACTCTGAATGACTTCACCATTGGTTTAATGGCAAGTGTGATTTGAATAATGAGCGAGGTTATTTGATGCTGTACCCACTGTACATAATAGCAACGCCATCATTGTAACAATGTGGAGCAGGCCAGCATCATATTAACCTTCTTACTGCCACTTGCAAATGTGAGGCAGAGTGAGATATTTTCTTGTTGCTCAGACTTGAGTTCAACACGGCTGCTGTGGAGGCTTTAATATTAATATCATATAGTTTATGGCACCATTAAGATTAATTAAGATCTTAAGCGCAGTAAAGACAGCTGTTTAAGATTTTCATGGTTTAAAAAAACTCGCGTCATCCCCTGAAGACAGATTCCACCCTGTTAAAAGAGATTTCTAATTAAAAAGGCCCGGTGGGAATAAAAGAGGCAACAGTTGGTCTTTCTCTTTGATCCGAAGTCATTGTGGAGGCACGTGCGTTTTTCTGTGAAAACAATCAATATTTTATTTACATTTTAAATAAATCAGCACATACTGTGTGAAAAAACTGCCTACCTTCTTCTTGTTTTCTTTGTAGATTTCACTTCCAGTTTACTGGGGTGACTTTAAGTGCATCAAAAACAGCAATTGTTTTGTTATTCCTGACTTTTACCTGTGTTTTTTATTAGGGGGACAGTATTTTTGCAAGATTCAGTGTTGAAAATATAATACGTATCATGATGCACGAGTGACAGTGAAATTTCAGTATTCAGTTGAGTGATGTTGCAAGCCAGACAGGAAGCAGTAGCCTTTATGTCAGCCAGTTTCTACATTGTTTGTACTTTAAGCAAGCATTTTGTGCCTGCTTCTTCATGTCTTAGTTAATCTTAAAACTCCTGTGATGATATTTTATCTGTTTTTGAAAAAGTCTGAAGTTCTTACTAATTCTTCTTTAAGGGCTAGAAAACCAAATAAGACCACCACCTCCAAGAAATTATATCTATTTGATTTTTTTAACGACTGAAATCGCTGCTGGATGAGATGCCAGTTTGTCCCTCGTATCACATTTATCATGAACCAAAAGTTCCCCATCGTCGTGTGAAGTTTAATAAGAAAATTAGACAACATTTTTGAGAATTTGCACATTTTCATAAAATATAATTTCTGAAAGCTTTGCCCTTAACTATCAGGACTACCATGACTTGACCTTGACCCTTGAATTGACCATTTAGAGTGATTTGGAGTGATTTAATCTGCAAGCATGGCTTTCAACTAAGGTATCAGCTTCATATTCTGCAGCTGTTTAGGACTCCAAATGTCTCGTCAAACGGGGTCTCTGTCAAGTTGAATCTTGGATCCATATTCTGCTGTGCTTTTCCCTCTTCACTCATTTTTAACTACTCCCCCAGTCGCTATAGTGTCTGCAGAATCCATAACAGTGACAGCTAGTGTGCCTCTGTTGGTTAGCTCTGAATTATGAAATAAAAAGCAGCCACACAGCATTAAATCCAATCTTCTGCCTTGTAGTTTTCCCTCCTCCATCAAATCTCAGGGCTACCTCTGCCACATTATTAGTCAGCCAACTAAAGGTGGCCTTGGTAGGTTTGCTGCAGGACAGTAGAGCTTGTCAATGATTTAGTATGTCAAGATTGATGTTCACACTCCATCCAAATGCTCAGTCTATTCTTTGGATCAGTTTTATTGTTTCGAAAATTAGTTTTAAACACTTAAAAAGGGGAAAAAGTCAAATAAAGATAACATTTTCTTGGATGATACAAACCCTGTGTGTGCTTATCAGTCCTAAATAGCTTTCAAAAACAAGTTATCAACACGCAACCTCCTTATTGGCTCTGCGTAGCCTCACATTCAGAGCTCCTGAGAGACTGCAGGAAGACAGATTGGCTTACACACACACGCAGATTTACATAACCAAGTCCCTTATGATTACCATACACAACTAGAGTTGTGCAATAATTTGAAACTGAATCAAAGTAACAATATTCAAAACAAGCAAATCCAGACCTTGAGAGAATGAGGTGTTTCTGTTACTCTGAGGAAAAAAGGTGTTTGATGCAGCTTCATAAACAGGCTGATCTGCATGCACAGTGCCTGGTGGTTGGCATACCCAGATTGATGCCGGAGAAAATCTGTGGTTTTATTCATACCCCAAGATTTGCACAAGATTTGCATCTAATTCCACATTATCAACAACATTTTGAGAAGTTTCGGGCTAGAAATGAAAATATGGAAATGAAGATGTATCACAATTCATCACTGTCAGGAATGAATGAAAAACACACAGTTTTTTTTTCTTAGTGGCTTGGAATTTTCCGCCGGATTTGGAAGTCAGGAGTATTCTCTTAAACATTTCACACTTCAGCACCTAACCATTTTGTATTTTGCTTCGATTTATTGTGTTCTGGTCAATGCTAATTTTCAAAATAAACCTGTATTTCCCCCCAGGGATGCAGGAAATATTACACAACTGTAGGACTTGAAATGTGTGCTTGTGCAGCAATCACACCTCAGGACATGAGATGTGAATTATCAGATCTAGACATTACAAGTTTCATTTTATTTGTGTTACTTTCAAAACAAAACTTGCCAGTTTGTCATGATTAATATGCAACAATAGTCCATCTGTTCATGTTTAAAGTTTGAAACATAACAAAGAAAGTTTTAGCTCATTGCAAATGGGGGATTCTGCTACCTAGTTAATCTCTACTGTGTCTTTAATCAGAATTTAATCAGTTAGCCATGAGACCCCAGTATTAAAAGTCTGATTTGTAGATTTTAATTGTACAAATTTCTATAAAAAAAAGAAAAAACAAACCATACTTTTACTATGTCATAGTGCAAGGAAAGAAAAACATTGTGATGTTCATTTTTGCAATATCCTGCAGCCCTATTTCTAGTTGCCATCATGACTTCCTTGTTTTTTATGTTATATATTACACTGACTCGCTCCTTGAACTGAACCTGTCTCAGTTTTCTCAATAATATCCCCATACTCGAGACAAATGAAATGATATACAGACCGGTTTCGCTCATGATGTCCCTGAAAATGTTCTCTTGGAGAGGTGAGCAAATCAAAAAACTGACTTTCTGAGATATAACCTCAACATTCAATACTGGGCCAGTTCCATCTCAAAGAGAGGCTGCACACTGAAGTAAAAACTCGTAATTTAAATGCCATCTTCATTTCCCTGGTGCCAGAGTCTGTCCCCTTTCCCCATTCAGTCACCTCCAGAAAATAGTGTGAGATTCATGAGGCCTGCGCCGTTAATGGGTCATCATATTTAAAGCCCTGGCTGGCCGGAGGAACAGTAAATATGTGGAACTGATGCCTTCCAGATCATTATTGTGTTAGCTCGCAGTGAGGACCAATGCTGATCCCTCAATCAATTAGAGTGATGAGGAGAGGATGAAGTTCATTGCTTTCCCTTTTGCTTGATATGTTCATTACTCATATTATGATTTCTCTCTTTTTTTTCATTATTTACTCTTTTCTTACCCAACTCTTGTGTCAGAAATTCTTGATGGGAAGTCATAAATGTCAGCAGAAATCCCAAAAGGCTCGTAAATACAACAGAAGCGACAAAATCTGCAACCGAAATGAGCACGATCTGTGGATTTATTAGTCTGCAGTATTTTTCTAACAGCCAGCTATGATACGTGCCAACGGTTAATGGCCTGTAGAGCTGAGGGTGTGGATTTTTTTCACTTTTATTTTTCATTTTGTTTTTATGTATCCTCCTCATTTCCCTTAATCTAGCAGATGGAAGCCTTGTGGTGTTTTGATATGGTCTCCTACTTTTCTTACTCTGGTGCAGCTGCTCCACTAGAAACCTGATGCTCTTATTGCATCTTCAGTTTTTTTTTAAAAACAGATTCCCTGCTGTACATTTGGCTGCCTTGTTTTGGTTTTAAAATGAGGGAAAGAAATTTGAATACTGAATGCATATCTCACATTCAATGAAACAAGATCAAACTGAGCAGCCACCTCAGGTGCTGAAAATGGAACCATGGAGAAGTATTGGAATAACCACAGCTCTTTAAGTGTTCACTTGAGGCTAACTCTGAAAGCCTAGGTAACTCCCTAAGAACCTTTATTAAAATAGACATTTTTACAGCTGAAATGAGCATGCTTGGTACAACTGTGAGAGGATGGGGATTTTTTTCGATTATGAATAAAAGTGTGGGGGGTCCCATGCTACGATATCTGGCAAAATATAAGCTTTGTATGATCTGTAGCTAGACTTCCAACCTGTGGATATATCATACCAACAGTTAATGTAGAAGAGTCAGTGATGAAAATGAAAGGTTAAAAGCAAAGTAAATCCATGGCTTGTACCTTGACTGTTGTGTGTTTTATTGACACATCTCAATACCGCTCCAGCCATCCCCTTTAAAGAGGATGGTCTTAACAGGAATGTACAACTGTGACGCAGTCTGGGATGTGTTTGTTATGGGAAATGAGGCTCTCCCTCTCTCCCTGTGTGTTCAGGAATTAAGCACAGGCTTTCCCTGAATGATAGGTCACTTTAGTAAGCAGAAAGTCTTCAGATAACTTAAGATCCATGTGAGAGCTGCCGGTAAAAGTCTTTCTGTTCATTTCAAAGAGTGGATGAATCTTCTCTTACATTTGTAAAAGCATGTTTGTAGCCTAAGTTGACGATCTACCATCCTTGACTTATTGGACCCAAAGAAAAAAAATAAGTACAACTTTAAGTTATTGTATACTTCACTGTTTGAGCCAGCTTTAATGCATTGCAGGTCTGTGTCATGTAACTTTGTAGACTGTATTGCCAATGGACACTATAGTTAGCATGCAACATAACAATTTTTGTGTCTGACTGTAAACCAAACCCCCAATCCCACCAACCATTACCATAACTTCTGCAACAACACAAGGCTTCCAAAGATGAATCCTTAAGGGTTTTTGATCTACTGGACTTGTTTGTAAACTTTTATTCAGGCATTTTCATTTACATTTTATTATGCTTGTATTTATATTTCATAGTTGACGATCAGAGCCTCTTATTAGCTCAGGTTTTCAGGTTACAACCATTTATACTTTTAGATTAAGGTCACTGAAACTTGCATAGATTTACATACTTTTTTTCTTTAAGGCTGCAGCTGAATATTTTAATCCTCTGAAACATTTAGTGATTTAGCCCAGCAGATATATAATCTGCTGTAGTGCTTACCAATTCTGAAGACCGCTTTCGTTTTCTGTGCATTGTTAGCATTAGCATAACAAATCCGAGATGTTCAAAGTCAAGTTACCTGCATGCATTATCAGGCTGCAGGAGTCCTGTGCATTAACTTCCTGCCCTCAATTTAAAAGCGACACAGTCGGCATTGCTGTTTGATAAGCCCAGCTATTACACAGAGGGTCACCTATTCAGGTAACAGATAATATGCAAAACTGCCTGTGGTCCAGTGATGTTCAGAGTTTGTCCTTTTCTTGTACAGTTAAATGGTCCCCAACAGTTTTTTTTCCCCCTTTCGTGGGACATAAATAGGATTTCTAATGGCTGTGTGAAGAAGGAGCATCACAGAAAGTCTCCTATTTTCTACTCAGATGTGCTCCAATTCACATGTCACAAATATGAAGCATGACCACTCTCCAAAGTCACATTCGACTTTATACAACTTTTATTCCCTCTCCAGCACATTTTCCGTCATGGCGGAAGTGTTAACATACACCATTTGGCAGTACTCGTAAGGATGAAGGACATTGTTGATTGGAGGTATAATGAGGTTTTGGACCTCGTGAGGGTTTATAGAAATGCTCCAAGCGAAATTCAAAACGCCTTTTTTAACCGATCCATGTTTGAGAGCGAATCAAAGCAAGTGCTGGACAGGATCACAGGTGAATGTGGCTGCAATGTCACCACAAACCCAAGAGCCTCAGGGATCGGTTCAGAGATCCAGAGAATTCGACAAAAGAAGCATTCATAGTTGATTTTAGGAAAGAAATATTTTCACTGAATCCCAATACATCAGAATCGAGCACTTACCCTTGCTTTTTGTAAGTGTCCATAAAAACAGAGGCTGAATGCCCTCAGAGAGATCGCACAAGCCAATTTAATAATTTCTCGTGGTTAAATATGCAAATAGAAAGATAAAATATTTAGATTTGAAGTAGAACAATACCAGGCTTGTCTTATATGGGGTAAAAATTTTAAAATAGATCTTTTCATTACAGGACTATTCGCTGCTGTGTATGAATGGACACAAAGTGGGTTTCTCTTATCAGAGTCTCGTTCGAGAGCCTTCATCTCTCCAAATAGACCCCGCAAGAGACCAAAGTGTAGATAAAACGCTGCCTCTGCATTCAAGGAGCAATGACAGAGATATACAGCACTGTATTTTTCCCTGGGAAGAAAGTGAGATTGCTTTTCAGGCTTCACTGTGCTGCTACAAGTATCCAATCAGCAGATTTAAAATAAAGGGGATTATCTGAGTTTTCTATAATGACCTTTTCAAAACACACTCCACCTAATTCTAAAGAATGGGTATGAATGCAAATGATCGCTCTCTGCAGTGGGCATCCTGATAGGCGTTTAGATCATAATTTTAAACCTGCCATATGCTCAGGATGATGATCCATTATTCTGTTTTTACACACTCTGTATCTGAGTGCTCTGTAAAGCGCATGCAAAGCAGGAGGAATGGATTTTAATGTGAGGAGGCATCCCATATGCTTTTCAGCGGTGCCCTAAGGGAGCAATTGTGCTAACATTAGTGCTCTGATGTCATAAGCAATTCATTACTGTCTGCAGATATCGACCTGGCTCTTATCTGCAGTGACACCCTCCATTGTTAGAGCTACCAGTGACCTCAGGTTTCAAAATGAGACAAATCTAGTGGCTCCAATTGGATCTAAACAACATGTTATTCACTTAAAAGACACTGATGGCCTCTGTCAACACTATGGAGAAGTGGGGGTATAATTTATTGAACTTCACTTTTGATTGATTATTCAGAACTAGGGGATCACAAAGGTGTTTTTTGGAGACATCAAAATTACAAAGGAGCACAATGAATTGTGCAGTAAATAAAAATGTGGGAAGTGGACTTGAATATACAGGATGGTGTCATCAATAAAATGTTTGAACCATAGACTGTATATAGAATGGACGCCTCCGCCAGCAAAGCTTATGGGGCTGTGGACAAACTTTAGAAATTTATCACACAAAAAATACATTTTTCTCCCCCCTGCTTGTGATGTTGACATGTAGTTATTGTAAGACTGTCTTCATTTTTCTGTGCAGCTCCGTTTTTAAAAGTCATTAGGGGGTTCGCGTTTTCCATGATTGACACTTGACATATGGGCGTATGAAGATTGCGTAGCTTACTTGGGGGATACGCTGTCTGAGCTGAGCGTCATCACAGCGACTCTCGGCAACTCTCCCACCGACTGCATACAACGCTACTGGGCAACGTTTGTTTTAGGAAATTTAGAGAAAACATAGAATTACTCAGAGCTTTTCTGCTTTAAATCTGTATCCCGACGGAAGGGGGAACCAAGTTGTCCATACAGTCTATGTTTTGAACATGGTAAATGTTTCTTGGATATTCAACCTGAATTCGCCAACATGGATTTTATTGAATGTCTAAGATTAAAAAGATCATGTTTTTGAGCTGGTTGTCTTCCTGCTGAGTCGGCTTTTGTCAGCAAGGAGCAAAGGTCATCCGTCACTGCTAATTGATTAGTCCTCGGCCACAACCCTGTACTTCACTTCAATACAGCTGGAGCCTTTGTATTAATACCAAGGACACTAACTTAATCTGTCCAAGGAGAGAAGCATAAACCAGGTTTCAGTGGCCACTTTGTCATCCTAATGTCAAAAACACCAACAAACCTTGTTTTTTTTTTCACCCTATATGCTCTTTACAAATTGTCCAACCTTTTTCCTAATGGCAGCTTAACAGAATCGATCAACCGTTCTCCCTAATGGCGGCATTTGTGCACTTCATCTTTCCATAAAGGTTACTATAGCAGCCGTTTTGCTTGATAGCTTTAAAGTGGCCCGCATCTCCTGAGGCTTAGTTCTCCTCTTTTCCCTTTCAGTGGCACAGTGTGGACCCACTGTTGAAAGCCATTTCAGTCTGGAAAAAAACACCGCTTTTACATTTGGGACCACTAACACTAGAAACCCTTTCCAATTCTTTTGGACTTGTTCAACAGCTCAGCATTTCTTCTCCCCTTTGGTCGCAGTTTTGTGCCTTTAGCAACTATAAAATCCATGTGGAGGTAAAGAGAGCTGCTCTGTGCCAATGCAAGAACTTAATGGGGCTCCTCCTTAGAGAGAGTGTGACACAAAGACGCCATGAGACTCCCCACTGCTCACCTGAAAGGAAGTAAAGAAAAAAAATCTGCCTACATAGTGGACATTGAGGGACAGATGTTAAAAATGTGTTTAATTTGATGTTGCAGCATCACATCCAGGTTTTTACTGTCTCTGTAAAAGTGATATGGTTTCAGAGATAATAGCTAAGACACAATCTGTACACTGTCCAAAGTCTTTGTTTATTTATTTATCATTTTCCTCTTTGACTGACTCTGCTCCGTGATTGTCCAATTTTTATGCCGTTGTGCATGTTTGGCAGTGATGCATCATATTACCACCTCTTCTTTAGAGGCTCACAAAATTGTGTATTCAGTAAGCAACTCTGGGCGGGGAGCCCAGACTTAACTGTTATTTGAGACTGAATGCATTACCCTTAGTCTCAGCGTATCTACTGTTTCCAGTTATTTCTCCTCTTACTATTGAAATCAACTGCAGTGGAAATGTTTACCCAGGCACTCTCTTTGGATTTATTCCCATGTTCTGTAACTGTAAACACAACTGATACTGTGGTTATAGGCTACCCCCAGCTTTCTATGCACTCAGCAGAAAGTCCTTTCGAAGGCTTGTGACTCGTGTTGATGAAATTTAGTTCTATTGCATTTTTTTATATTAGAAATGAAGGTGCTCGGTTGTTGGACTCATGTTTATTTGCGCATTTAGTATTGCTTTTGTTGTGTATGCAGGCTTCCTGATTTTGCATCACCCATGTGACAAGAGTACATGTTTCCCATAAGCCTCGGAAACAATATAATGCAGTCACTCAAATGGAGATAATTAGCTGCCAAGTGTTTTTAATTATCACTATCAGTATGAAGAATCAAATTAATTTTTACTATTTTCATGATTTTGTGCTTCAAGCTTCAATGACAGTCTATCTTTAGAGTATTTATCTAAGCTATAAGTAGTTTGTCAACCATCATCAATCATCCCGTCCCCTTTAGACATGCACCGCAGAGCCCTCTTTGCAGCATCACATCATAAACATCATATCATATCATCAATTCAGCACCACGTCTACTGAAGCATCAGGAATCTTGAATTTTACCCATGAGTCATATTTTAGTGCTTTTCTCTGTCATCTTTGTTTTGAAATGATCAGATTTATGAACGTGCAGGAAAGAGAAAGACTTACTCACCTCGGTTTGAAAATCGCTGTTTCACCATGGCATCTCTGACCAAAATAGATCTTGTTGTGGTGAATAATAAAAACCATCAGGTTTAATTGCTGTCCACTGTTTGTGCCGCCCTTTTCTTCTTCTCTGACAGTATTGTGGTCAGTCCCAATTAAAGGGCTGCACCTTTTGAATTTGTGAATTTTCTAATATGTCCATGAAGGATGCATCTGGTGCACCCTGTGAGGCTCACCCCAAACACAGACGGTACATTCAAAAGAAAGCCACAAGTGTTCACTAACTGTACAGCCAAAATTTACGGAGCTCCCTCTACTGGCTGGTGGCAGTAAAGATTTTAAACTCTTCCTCTGCCATGTTTAGTAATGGAATACAGCTTGGACTATAAAATCTAAATATATATTTTTTAAATTATGATTTCAAACATTGAAGTTAGTTTTTAACACACTGATCTATGTTCAAGTGCTTGTTTTAGGTTTGAAAAAGTAATTTGTTGAAAAGATGATTGATTGAAAGCTATATGAACGAATACTTGAGCAGTAGAGGAAGATTAATAAGAGAAAACATGATGTATGTGAACTCAGGGGTCATTGAGATTGACATGACTGTGTGAATCTGTTCTACCAGCCAGTTTAAGTGCAGCTGCTGTGCACGCAATTGGATGGGAGCAGTGCTCAGTGGTGGGAACAGCTGGTGACGCAAACAGGAAATCTTCAGACGACCAGAACATCTTATTTTAGTAGGACTGGAGTGGTCTTACCCAGGCTTGGAGAGATGCAGTCCCAGGATTCTGGCACAGCTGTTGTTTGTCATGTACGCAACATTTCATCCTGGTACTCTGTATTTTTGGCATTATACGGTGACAGCACTTCAAATACAGCATTGTCACTACAGACGTCATACGGCAATCTGTTACAGCAGAGTGTTGAGGGTCATAAAACATAATAAAAACAGAGAGCATCACATCCAGGTCAGTAACGAGTTGGACTGATCAATGATGGCATCCGATTCAATAAAATATCATCTTATCAAGTGTGTTTAGAAAATATTGGGCAGATCCTGACTCACAGGACTCTTGATTTTGACAGAGATTGAGAGAGAATAGACCTACAGTGCCAGAATGGTTCACGTCATCCCCATGGTGTGTATCCTCTGGTCATGTTCTCGACTTGGGTTCACTCAGACTTTTCCTGAACTGTGCTGATAGTGCGTTGGCGACCGTGTTATTTACCAAAACTCGGCTCAGCTGGCTGTTGCCACTGAAATCTGCAGATGTTGTTAATCTGTGTGTGTGCTGGAGTCGAGCGATATGAACAGGTACTGGAAGATGTCACACTGTGTGCTTGTCTAATGACAGCCTGCGGATACTGAAGCTGCAGGGTTTTTCTGCTGTAGCTTCCCTGGTAATGTTTTTTTTTTTTTTTTTTTTTTAAAGTATTATGTGCTTGAACATAACAGTTAAATCAGTGCTTTCATTTTCATGTTTAGTACTCCTATAATTCGAGTTACTGCAGATTTATTTGATAGAAAACCAATAAATGTAAATTAGAAGTAAAAAAACATAAAATTGTAGGCTTTGGATGGCCAGTTGACAGCAGACAGTGTCCTGCTCCACTCCAACAACTCTCACTACCTTTTTTTCTGAACATTGTCGAGCAGGGGCGGGTGAGTAGGTGGAGCACTTACCCAGCACAGTGAAGCACACTCCACTGCAGATGGGTGCTTTATAGATTGTCGCTCAGCTCTTGTAATGTTCAGTTTAGTGGCCACAGTGCAGAGCTCCCAATTCCTGACCTGCCGTGATTGAGATGTTCGCTTTTTTCCAATTCAGGGGCGCTCTCCTTTTGTCACAGTGGAGCTTTTATTTGAGAGCATTTCTAATTATTTCACAGTTTGTGGGTTTTGATGTATTTTACTGCTGTTTAGCATGCATGTAGCTCACAGTAAATCATGCCCCCATGTTTCATCATGAGCCGCCAATGCAGTTTTACAGCCGATCAAGCTGCGTTCATTCAGCAGGGGAGAAAAAAAAAACTCTGATGCTGATGGTGGAGCACAACCTCAGGCACCCACAGTTAGTGTTTTCTCGATGGATCAATATATCTGTCAACTTCTCTGTGAGCAGAGCGTTTTTCATGTTGCTCCTGTCATTGCTGCAGGGCGCAACATAAAAAGCTTAAGATCCATCAAAGTCTGGGAAAGGAAGAAAAGTTTTCGGTTGATGAAACTGCACTTTCCACTCAGAGTTTTTCCGAGGATGCATGGCCAAATTTGTCCTGTTTGTAGCTTACAGCATGTGGCAGCAGTTTTTATTTTAGTTTTCTCTTCACAGGAACAGAGGTTAAATTGGTCCACGTGGAGTAAACTCTGCAGCAAGGCTCAAGGGTACTTCAGAACAGAGTGTCTGCTGTTGAGCATGTAGTAGGACAGGGTGACAAATCATCCTGCAGCCAGGCTGTAATGACTCTAAAGCTTAGCAGCTGCATCTGTCTCTGCAGAATAAACATGTTTAATTATGGTAAAGGCAGTGCTTTACTGGACCCTGAAGGCTGCAAAAAGAGGAGCATCAAATAATATAAGCATAAAGTCTGATCCCATATTGATACCTGGGCTTGGCTGATATTGTGCACTAGAGTTGTATAACATCCAAAAAATTATATCACCGTACTTTTGATTTCTGCGATAGCTCAAGTATTACAAATATGTATCCTAAAACTCTGCCATTGTTCCAAAACTTTCCTCAAAAGCCTCCAAATCATCAATAGGCAAAGCAAGGCTATGCAATTTGTATAGCACCATTCATACACAAGGCAATTCAAAGTGCTTTACAGATGCAAGGAAATACATTAAAAAAAATCAAACAAGGAAAGATTAAAACAATTTAAAGTCAAAAAGACCGAAAACGATTTGAAATCACAAAGACAAAACGATTAAACATCAGTAAGACAAACAGATACATTTTTTCATCTCTTACATGTTTGCCTTGAACACCATGAAAACCATTGTTTACAAGGAAAACGAAATAAGTCACAAACTTTCAGACCCAGAGCTCCTCAGATTGTCTATCTCGGTGTTAGTTTTCTTGACTAAGATATTTTATGTGTTTTAGAAGATGCCAAGTTTAGCTACTAAGCTTCAAATCAATTGTCATATTGGTGTCAGCCATCAAAAAGTCGATATCATGATATGGCTGATATTTTTGTGGCACTATGACCGTCTTTCAAAACATTTACTTTGTGGGTAAGAAATAAGGATTTGTCAGCCTAACTACTGTTAAAATTGTGTAGCTTCAATGATTGTTAGCTTCTTCTGTTGCTGTTCCCACCGTCTACAATGCATTTGCCTGAAATGGCGCACTGGTGACACATGTTGTTTGTGAATGCTGGAGTTGTCTCTGGTACAGGATCAGATCAGTCCATCCCTTTTTTTTAGAACTTATATTTAGGAATATTAGATGTATGAGCCATTTTATCTGTATTATTTGGGGGGGTTGTTTTGTTATTCGCACAATCACCACAAGGGGCACTTCAGGTGAATGGGCAGGTAAATGCTCCAAAGGGACACAGGTGAAGCAGTGATCTGGGGAACGGGAAGAGCACATGGTTTTTACCGCCAATCTCTGACACCACTCTCACCCTCGTCAGGCTTATCACCATCGTAGTAAGTTGGAGGTCTCTGTCTTTTTTTGTTTGTTTTCATAAAATCAATAAATGGCAAAAAAATAACCCAAGGATAATCTTGGATTTGACATTGCATTGTACTAAAAGCGCATCAAAAACACCTCACTCCTGCACCTAGACGGTGACTAAAATTCAGGTCAGAATAGTCACTACATGACAGATGAATTAAAGAACGCAGTACAGGCTTTAATTCTTAATACATTTGAAATTCCAGTTATTTCTGTCTAAACACAAACCTTCATCAAGAATAGAAATCTTTTGACTTGGATCTCTCACACTTGTTTTTTGTTTTTAAACTGACCCGCACATCCTTCAACTGTTGAACATGTGTTTGTGTTGACCCCGGCCCTCATATCACTTTTTCCTTGACCATACTCATTAAGGTAAACACGTGGGGAGATTTTCCTGACTGTATATGGACTTGGAATGTGCTGATTTGTTCCACACTTCACACTTTGCAGTCAACACGGCTGAGGGAGGCCTTGAGAGCTTTCTAGTAGTCTTGTCAAAAAAAAAAAAAAGTCATGACTCCAGGATAAATGCTGTGTTTTTCTGTGATGCAGCACCTGAATGATGATATTTCACTCTGTGTTTGTTTCTCAGTAGCTCATTTGAGCAGCATAACTTTGAAATAGTGAGGTGGCAAACTCCAGCGAGCTCATTTTGTCATGAACACTGACTGACTGTTGTGTGACCTGAAAATACTCCAGTGTTGCTGCTTCCAGAAGCCTAAATGGAAATTTCAGAGACTTGGGAGGCGTTGCTGTTTATCGGAAACACAGATAGAAATGGAAACCAGTGGCAGAGATGACAGGTGATGGAGTAGCACATGTGCTGGATTGAAGAGTTCCCAAAGGATCCGTGCAGAATATGGTCAAAGTGTGTGTCTGCAGGCTTGTACGGACTTGAACAGACACAAACACACGTGGTGATCACATGAGTATCCTAATTGTTTGTTAGTCCATAAATCTGTCTGCAGCAACAACTGTAGCAGCTTTATTTTTAGAGGAGACACATTAGTTGTAACACATAATTTATTCTTAGGAAGTCTCACAAAAATAGAAAATATTCTAGGAAGTGATGATTAGCACTATTAGTTAAGTCCCTTCCCTTAACAGCAGATGAAGGATCATGGTTTAGCCTCTAAAATAGGGCACTTAGGGGCCGTCAAACATTACATATCTCTACATACAAAAAATAAGTGTTATACTGGACAAAACATACAGGACTATGAACAAATTAGGTAGAAAGCATGCAAAAATTGTCCATAAAATTTGCAGATAAAGTTATATTTATAGTAGATTCACAATATCTTGCTCAAGCAGTGCACACACTGCTTAATAATCAGGGCCATTTTGGCTGTACTCTCCCTCTTCAGACTTTTAGGTGACAAATTTTGGTGACTCTAAAGGTGAGTAATCCCCTCCAGTCTGCTCGAAAACTGCGTTCAGTATTTACAACCAGATATTCTGCTGTGTGGGTCGAACTCTGAGGACAGTGAAGCAGAGAGTGTAGATCCTAACAAGGAGTAAAATGGTAGGAAACAAGCCAAGTAAGCTGACTGAAGCAGAGGCGAAGCAACCTGAGATAACCCAAAGCAGAAAGTTAGATGGATGTTCGAAACAGAGGACCAACTTGTTGACATTTGGCAGCAGCACGGATGGTTACTGTGTTTGTTTGCCATATTGTTACACTCAAGGAATGGAATAGTTGAATCTGGTATGATAATGTGCGGAGTCTCTCACATTTTTAGCATCTACTAAGAATTTCAAGATCTAACCAAGTGGACAAAACACCTTTTTGATGTGAACAGATATATTTTATAGACATCAGCAGATTCCAAAGTTGGGATGAGATGGCCTCAAATCAATATCACGATATATTGAGCAGTTCACCAAATGGACGATAACTACTTCACAAGCTGCTCACCCCCTCCCACATTAACTTCGTCTACTACTCGTCACATCTCTGACGTAGGACAGCGTCTTAAAGGGACATGAGACCATAGCCTACCTACACACATTCAAAACCAACTTTTATTTATTTATTTATTTGACACCAAATATACCGATACGGGCACAATGACGTTGGTTATGTCATAAATTTCTGTATCTGTAAATTTTCGGTTTATCGCCTAGCCCTACCTGAGCATGTGCAGATCTGTGAGTTAATGGAGATTTTTAAATGAAGTGCAGTGGCAGAAACCCATTTAAATAGCCATTTCTATCGACATACTGTGTGTGTCAGACTGCATGAAAACCAGGCTCAGATTTGAGGTTTGAGTCAAGGATGAAAAGCCATCTGGCTACTTTGAAACAGTTTCTATTCAACTACAAAAACCAAAGTTCACCTCAGCTATTGAGAAGCCTCTTTTTTCTATATCTGCAGCAAGGCTTTGCAAACATTAATTCTTAATGCAACTCCTCTAAAGTGACTCCATTACAATTTAAAAAGTCTTTTTTGTTTCAGATTAGCCTGCCTTGTCCTCTGCCAAAGTCTATGAAAGCAAGTCATGCCACAAAAGCACCTCGACACCCCACAAGCACCTTGTAAATAATTCACCTAATTGAGACAGTGTACCAGCTCTCTGTGCTGCTGCAGCCAAATCAGAAGTTTCACACAATGCTGAAAATCCTTGGATCTGTATTTTTCCCTCAGAGTACTTCTTTTTTTTCTATACTTGTCTGTGGAGCAATCCCCTTGCTGCTCATCCCCGTCCAAAAAGTGTTTGCTGGCATAACACAGTGACAAGGACTCAAGGTCAGACAGAGCAGGATTTACCAAAATAAACCTGCCTCTTTCTGTCAAGTGACCTTTTTTTTTTCAAAGCGGATTCAAGCACCAATCCTTTCCCCCCCATACCTGCCCCTGTCAGCCTGATGGGCATGTAATAAAGAGAAAGTGTGTTTTCTTAGGGAAATTTGCTGCAGTAATGCGACTGGAAACAGTTAACGGTTTGAGTTAATGACAGGCGTTTCAGATGGGAGAGCTTGGCAGTGATAGATGAGTGCAGTTGAGATACAGTATTGGATAATTAAAGGAGAAGATGAAGCACTTGGCTGCTCTTAATGTCATCACGGACATCAGGCCTCGCCTGTCACTCACTGTTAATACTGACCTTGACATTTTTATGCACCAACCTGGCAGTTTTTCTGTCTTTTTACATCTTTAGTCTCCTTCGTGTTGCAGCGTTTTTGCTCATTTTTCAGCCGCTCCCCTTTGTACTGTGTACCATTATCTCCATCAATTACTGTCACTTATTCTTTTAACGTTCAATTACACATGATGCAGCAGGCTCATAATGTACTGTCGCTGCTGATTCACCGGTGGACACTTTCCCCTTAATTCTCCTTTAATTCTTTCTTCCTCCTCCCCCTGCTCCTCCTGCTCCTCCTGCTCCTCCTTATGAGCTTTCTATCTCCCCCTATTTCTCTCCTCCTCCTCCTCCTGAGCCAATCAGGCCACGCCTCCATGGCAACCGTCAGTGAGTGTAAAACATCCACAGATGGTGCTGAGTAGAGCGAGCGGCACTGCAAGCGCACTACGAGATCAAGTGTGGGAGTGTGTGTTTGTTTATGTGTCTGAGAGGAGACAGAGGCGCTGAGGCTCATTGGATAACCGCTGCATCGTGGAGTAGTTTCTAGTAACACTGTCGGGGAGTGGGAGTGTGTAAGCCCAGAGGAAAAGTCTCAAGAGGAGGAGGAGAAAGTGTTGGAGGAAGAAGAGAAGAGAAAAACAGACACCTTCCCTTGAGGAGAGAAGTAAAACTGGCGGTGAGAAAATATTAATGACCTGACACAAAAAGCACACAACAATCTCCCCGTGTGGATCAGACAACCTCACGCTGGACTGGAGCCGCACACCGGGAGAGAGACACACGCGACACAAGTCAAACCCCCCTCACTGCGCTCCACTCACTCATGATCATCACTCCAAACACGCGCCGACACAAGGGCCACACTGACACAGCCAGAAAAGTGGAGCCAAGAAGAGGACGCTTGATTTGCCTTTGGACTCTGTCAAAATAAAAGTCATCTTTGGATTTTTTTTTTATTAAATACCCTGGACCAAGAGTCCCCCCCCTGTTGTGCTGACCTTTTCCAACTCCCCTCTTCGCCTAGGAGCAAAGATGAGCTGCAGGAAAAGGTGCAAGCGGGAGATCTTCAAATTTGCACAGTACCTGTTCAGACTTGTCACGGGCACGCTTAACACCGGTAAGAAACCTGGTGGGCTTCCAGAGGAGGGGTTTTCATTCGCAGTGATTCGTTTAGACAAACTGAGATTTTCGCCGCATCCTCCTGGCACTTTGGTGAAACTTTTCCGCTTGATTCATAGTTTAATAAGCAAAAATAAAAGCCAGGACACGTGGGGCTTTGTGAGGACACTTGCACACCATCAGTGTCTCGCAGTATTTAGTTTGTGTGTACATTAACTCCTCCAGACTCTCTGCTGGAGCATCGTGAGGATTTCCAGAGTAGGTTTGAATTTATGATGTACTCTGCATCATAATTTGTGTGACTGCCTGTGTATGTCTAAGTGGAAATGGGTGCAAGATAAAGTACGCATAGAGGCAAAGGTGAAATCATTAAAAAAGGAAAGGACAACAACTTTTAACAGCTAATTGCTTATCTGTATCTCGATGTTGCGAACTGTTTTGCACATTTCATGTTGCATCCTCGTATTTTCTTGTTAGCAGCAGTTCATTTGGGTTCATCACACCCTCAAATATTACTTTGGCTGATTGCACATGCACGAGTCAAAAGCACAACAGTGAAATGAACGTGTCAGAGTCTGTTGACACTGAATCTGCCTGCAGTCACCCTTAGAAGAAAAAGTTGTGTACACAGCAGCGTCATCCATCACTGCTTCTGCACCTGTATCATGCTGTAAAGTGCAGAGACGATCCTGGCTTCCCTTTTTGTTCTGCATCTACACACACACAAAAACACACACACACCACAAGCTTCCTAATAAGACAGATAGCAAATCAATGGTATTAACAAGATTATATCTCGGATTAGAGTGGATTATCAGGAGATTACTCCATGAAAGGTGCAATACGGGATAAAGGTTAGCAGGAGTAGCAGGGACTCATCTCTATCAAATATTTCTGGTAGTCATCATACTGGTGTGAAGGATTATTTACATATGTCACTTGGATTGTGTGCAGTCTTTTATTTTGGCGAGGTGCACAGATGTGACTACTCGAGTATCATATTCAAACACCTTTGCCTTGCTCCTGTCTCGTCTTGTACCAACTAAGCTCCGTGGTTGAGTAAGTTGTTGATTATCACGCTGTGTGAGTGAGATGGTGCTAAACCCAAGAGAGGTGCTATAGGAACATGATAATGAATTCCAACATGCCTCTGAAGATGTGGGACTTAATTTTTTTCCTAGAAATGGCTTCTTCCAAATTGCTTTATTTAAAGCAAGAAAAAAAAAACATGCACTTTCACACTGTGGAGTATATTTCCACACAGACACGGCCTACTTTCTTATGTCTCCTTGACCTATAGGGAAAAAGAACAAGAAGGGAGGATGGGAGGCAGCTATAGAGAAGCTGCTCTATCACTGGGCTGCACTTTAAAAGGTGTGGATGACTTCAGCTCTCCAATCATACAGATAAATATAACCTTGTGGGGGGATAGCCTTCTTAGAGAAGTCCATCTGATCCTGGAGTCCCTAGCTACAAGCAGGTTGATTTGGTTTGAATGCAATTTCCTTTTACTCATAACCTTAACCCAAGTGTGTCCAGTTCTTATTTCCATTAGTGTGGTCAAGGCTTTGCATAATATAAACATGGCAGCGTTTGACTGGGTCCAACAGGGAACAGCTTTTGATGCCTTTAAAGTCAATGTCAGCACTTAATTATTGACTGTATTAAATACAAGGCAGGATATATTTCCCAGTGGACCTAGTCCAATCATTGTGCTTGCGCTGAGTGAGAATTTTTTATTGATGCCATTGTCTGAAGTATATTAGTCTGGTTGCCATTTTGATGAACCTTAGAGCCCTTGAAAATTTGATCACGTTCACTTTCAAAGAGGTTAAACCATGAAGGCATGTGTCAACCATGGTAGCTTTAGCAGCAGCTCTGCACCTGGAAGTTGTACCCCTGACAAAAACAGTGAGTAGTTTATTGCAAGCATTGTTATTCACAAAGATGATTTGTCTTGATTTCGATTCGTTAAAGGGATTGTTGGGGGAAAGTGACTCTGATGACATTGTCCGAAAGTTGCACGACTTTCAACTGAGAGCACTGAATGTATTATCTGAGGTTGTTTAGAAGACACTGACCCTTACCCTCCAGACTTTGTGGATGAAAACATTCAGCCATCACAGCGATAAATATTCATTTTCATGGATTCTTAATTACTTGTATCATATTTTATTCTACATCCCGAGGGTTCTGCTGCTTATTTCCTAAGGGTGGGGAATCACCAGTTACCCCACGGTACAATATTATCACAATACTTGGGCCACGATACAATATTATTGCGATTTTTAACATTTTGGGATATGGTGAGTATTGCGGTACAATATGTTGCGATTTATACAATTTTTTCAACTGTTCAGCTAATTTCGCATTCGTCTTATTTACACAGTATTTTATATTCATGCATTACATCCTACAAATCTTATGTGCCAGGTCCATCTCATTTGCGCCCTGTTTGCATTTTTAATGTTTTACCCCAGGTGCTGCTATATTTGTTGAACTAACTTTCTCCTGCTCTATGATATCTGGACAAACAGTTGATTCCATTTTCCATTATCACAGACTTGACTTCATATTAACAATCAATTTGAAAAAATCGACACTTGGTAAATGAGACGAAACGATATATCATCAGACAAAATATCGTGATCTTATCCTGTATCGATTTTTTTTCCCACCCCTATTAATTCCCATCTTTGAAAACTATGACATTAGTCTGAAGTGGCGGCATTTGTCAATCCAAACGTTGAGAGTGAATTACAAAACTTTCTTTTTCAACACATTGTTTTGCTGAAACCTCTGAGTACAAAAAGTAGAGAAAGACATTACCCAAGTCAACTCCCGAAACCCATTATCATTCATTCATTAGAGTGTCTTTCCACTTGAATGAACCCATCGCTCTGTAAACACCATATTAACTCATCACATGCTGCTCCTCCTGCAGATGAATATAAATAGAGTTTGACCAAAGCAAAGCTGGCGTGGCTGCATTCGGGTGACCGGGGGAAAAGGATGATGGATGGACTCAGTTAGTAGACCATGGGATTTTAATTGAGATGTTCATTGTCCGAGAACTGTCTTCATTGATCGCTTTGTCACCAGGGCCAGAACAAACGCATAGTGTAAGGTCGAGGGTAATGTGTATGATTTAATGAAACAAGTGTTGGCTGATTGGGATGTGTGTCGTCACGAATGTCATGAAGGTTCGTGATCATACGAGCTTGCTCCTCGCTATAGATCTATGAACAAGATGTTTGATAAAGACCTCATTATCTTCATTTATGGAGTTATAAATGAAGTTGGAATTGACAGCTAATTAGTTCAGTGTTACCAAGCACATGTTAATTTATTGATGAGGAAACTACACAGCTGCAGTGAGGGCAAACTCTTCTTTTCTGCTGCACGGGAGGCCTTGAATTTTCCATCTGAGAGAGAAAAAAGAATCCAAACAGATTATAGATGCTTATTCTTCCAGGTTATAAAACCAAACAGCAGTGTCAGCACTACTCAGTATATTGGAAAGAGGAAATGCATTTGTTGCACACACCAGGGGAAATCAGTCTTCCCCAATGTTTTCGAGACCACCTTTTAGAAATACGCTCCAGGAGAGCCACAAGTCCACAGTTCAGATGTTCTAAAGCAGAGTTTTTAATGTGGTTTGCTGTGAATAGACCCATTCTTAATGTCTGTTTGCGATGTAGTCGATACCCACGACAGCTTCGAGCGTGTAGTTTCCACTTCCATTCAGCTGGATTGCATTGTACTGCTTAGTAAATCTGCTGCTGTGGAATCTCTCACCACATCTTCACAGTTTGCTTCTCCCCCCGGCTGTCAGACATCCCAGCCTCTGTAATGCATCATCTTTTCTTTCCTGATCAGGACAGCCTCACATACTCATCACTGAGTCTGAGCATATTGTTAGAAATAAGAGTGCATGCCCTCTAAACCTCTGCGCCCGCTTTTAACAGCGAAACTGCTAAAAGTTTCTTTGGGATGACTTTTATTTGAGCTGCCAAAGCTCTGAGCATTATCGATTTCATGTAGTTTGTTCCAGCTTGCTGTGGTTGTTTTTCTCTGCAGGTGAGATGGATGTCCTCTTAGTTGAGTTCTTTATTATGGAACAATAATTGAACACAATGTCCCCGGACTTTTTAATGAGTATGAATCAGATGTGCAGGTTTGCAGGGCAAGAAAGCTTATCTCAGAACAAGCAGGATGCTTTATTTTATTGCCTAACAGCTATAACAAACCCTTTTACAGTTTTGGTGCAGGAAGTGTTCTAGTTTTTATTTGTAGTATTTTTATGGCCTGAGTAGTATAATGACTAATTTCAGCAGGCTTTGGTGCATGCAGGAAAACAGTCTGTAGTGAGAGAAAAAGCACAGTTTGATAGCAATGATGCCTGGACTTTTTCCAGCTTTAATCTCATCTTTTAACATTTCTCTAAATTTAAATACAAATCACCCTCAGTTTTAGATCAAAAGTTTCAATTAAAGTGACAAATCTGCTCAACTCTGTCTGAACTTCTTGGGATGCATCAGAAATGATCAATTTGACCTTCAAAGTACAAAATGTTTGAAAGTTGTTGACTTCTACACTTCAAGACAGACCAAACCTAACCAAGTTAAGAATTTTACTTGTTACATTTTGGTATCAATTTGATTTAATTTGTCAAAGTAGAGGTATGAAGGTCAACTGCAGCTAAATCACAGAACATGACTTTTCCTTACTGCTAAATAATCCAGACTGCAGCCTCAGTTTACCTCAGTATATACAGTGAAACTGAGACTCTGAAGAAACAGATTAACAGTAACTAAGAAATGAGGGTGTTTATTTTTCAGACCTATTAGCTGCTTTTAAGGTTGCTAATTGAACAGTGAACTGCATTGTGGGGAAAAAAGTAGTCATGGCTGGAAATAATTAACGGCTGCTGGCTTCATCAGAATGGTGAAAGTCACTATAAAGGGCTTGTCATGTTTGTTTCTTGTTAATGCAGATCATCCTAGTATGCCATTCTTCATAAATGTGTATCTAATGGTACAGTTCTGAATATAGACCGACAGTTTAGCGAGACAGCTTGTGTGGGTCAGAACTGCAGTAGTAGCAGGTCAAGCAGAAATACGCCTACATCTTTTCTCCAGATTTCCGCACAGCTTAAAAAAGCACTCAGATGTCGTCTTAGACATGTTGTTGTCCCGGATCTTTCAGGGGTGTAATCCAGTTCACCCCCATTGGGCTCTCAGCCAGGTGCCTTGAATAGTAGTCCTTTTCTTCTTGTTTTTTTTTTATAAGACGTAGTCCTAAAACTCACTCTTCAAGAAATAACTTTGAAAAAAAATCTGTTTTATCTGTTCTTTTGAATAAGTTGTGGATTATTTATGTCGAACTTTTTGGAAAGATTTTAGTTCTGTGTAGTTCCACAGTAATTAAAAGCTGAAAGAGGGTCTTATCTTGTGCCAAAAAACTCAAAATCAAAAAACACAAAATGTGCACCAGCAAGGGAGAAGTCTGTTCATGTGCTCTGTGTGATTTGGGAGAATGAGGAGGCTCTCAAAGCTGTTTATTATTGTTAGTACTTTTAGAATTGAACTCTGCGACACTCAGCATGTCCTTAAAAAGTGCACCTATACATGCAGTACATGTATAGGTGCCAGGGCAGTGACGCGAAGGCCCGTCTTTGTTTCCCTCTCTTTGGTTTCCCAATGGCTAATCGGAGGTCATGTTCCACCTGCCCCATGAGGACAGCACGTTCAAAGCCCATAATCCCTGACCAAACACTGAATATTTGATACCCACAGAGAGCCTGGGTTGGCATCATGTCTGCGTAATGTCGCTACCCGTCTAACTAACAACACAAGAGTTGCTATTTAACACTGCTTGTTTTCACTCTGGCAGCTGTGGTTTAGAGTTCGCAGTGTTCATGGCTCCTATGGTCAGTGATACATTGCTCACGCAGACTTTTATTGAGAGCTCGATTTGTCCCAGGCTCTTATCGCTAATATAAACCTGTCAAAACTTTGGTTTGTGGATCGGCTGCCACCTTTTATGCCACTTAAGTGATAGATTGCTGAAGTTTACGGACCTTTGCTGAATCTGCAAAGCTCATAGTAATGTTGAGGTGTTCGAAAATAGCCGAGGGGACCATTAAGTATTTCCTTTTAACTCGTGATTTGCAGCCACTTTGCGGAGCTTTTCCCCTTGTGCAACACAATGTCCAAAAGCACTTACTTTTTATGGTTTTTTGATAAAGAGTTTCTCACAGTGGAACATTTCTCTTGTGGTCGCTGGACAGGCACAACACCAACAGATGGCTAACCATGTTGCATAATTTTTTCCTTTCACACTCAGTGAACTAACATGGCATCTGCTTCATTCACCTGACAAGCATCTGTGGGTATCACGGTCTGAAGCTTCACGTTTGTGCTCAAACCGTGACAGACTTGACGTGTCTGGGATGCGTTTCACAGATTTCTGTCCCAAAATCATTCAAGGATGTTTTTGTCTACTTAACTATTACACCAATTATTTTATTTGGAGTCAAAGACACCAAAATAATGACTAAAAGCAGAAGCGTTATTAGAATAAAAGACTAAACTTTGAGTCAGATCCCCACCGTCCTCAGGGAGGTATCTGTTATTAAGCTGTGTGTCTCTGGGTTCAGAACTTTCTATGAGAATCTTTTGCTTATTTTGGTTCCCTCTGTGAACCTACTTTGCTATCATTTCACAAACATAAAAAAGTTTACTAATGAGAATCCACTTTTGCAGTCTCAAGTACAGAAAGAATTACAGCCGTGTTTAGGAAGTCTCACAGCAAGATTAGGATGTTGTTTTGATCTTGAACATCAAAGCATGTCTGCTGAGCCTCTTGCACAATGGAAAAAAAAAGTCCAAGATGAGTATCAGTGTCATCTGGTAATGCTTTCTTTCAACCTCGCACCCTGACCTTTCACCGTGACCCCTTTTAAGGAGTTCACTGTCTCTGGTCTGGGCAGACAGGAGACATTTGACAGTGATATCTGTAAACGTATCAGCTTCCTGGCAGGCCCAGTACGCAGCCTTTGTGTTTCACTGTGTCCAAAACCCTCTCCTGGTTTCTGGTTTCTGCTGATGTGTTGTCGTCCAGAACCAGGACCGCACAGATTTATTGGCTTGTGGTTTTTGTCCCGTGGTAGCTAAAGCCATGGCTGGTTCACGTATATCCTCCTGCACCCAAGGAAGAAGGATTTAAGGTCTTTTAGGTGCTGTAAGACAGTACTGAAGTAAAACGTTAAAGAGGAGAGGGAAAGTGGGCTCACTGTGGTGGAAAATGGATGTTACCACCTAGTTCAGACTTCTTCAAAGAAAAGTCTTTTACCTTTCAATTGTGCAGCTCTCCACTGAAAATTGTCGACACATGGAGGTTGGAAAGCTCTGGATCATTGCTTCTGCCCTATAAAAACCTCCCTCTTCACATTTCACATGTAATCCTCTCTTGCTCCCATTTTCACTTACCATGCCTGCAACTTTGTAATTACTAGATGTACAATAATTAATTAGCCAATGATGAGCTTGTCGAAGAAATGTCACCCTCTCAGTTGAAAAGAGTGATTAAAGCTCTGCATGTAGGGGGACCGGAGAGTGTGTGTGTTGTACATCCTCAAATATTTACTCTTGCATACAGAGATAAATCTGTGAACCTGTTCGAAATGGCAATGTCGTGATTGAGTCGTGTGTTTGTGCAAAGTTTTTGAAGAATGGAAAGATCAACAAAAGTAAAATTTAATCAAATTCATGCTGTTGGCTTCTCAAATGGGGAAGTGTGAAACAGCAAACCACTACCACATTATTTGGTAATTCGTTCATTCGATTTTCAAAATGAAACCAAAAATGAAAAATGAGAAAACAAGTTGTTTTCTAAATATTCGTCTCTAAAACGAAAGTGAAAAAACGGATAATGACTCGTTTTACACTTCCGTTTTCTTCAGCTCAAATGAAAATGGGATAAATGGCTAATCACAGTTTTATCTGATTTAGACTTTTTCGTGTGTAGAAAGTTTTGTGACCCAGAAGTTTCCAAGAAACAGGCTTTGGGGTTATGGCTGGACTCGATTTTCATGGGACTATGTTTGTTTGATTTGTGTGATTTTGTTGTGTTTTTGTGAATTTTAAAACTCCACTTCTCTTCAGACTAATGCAATAAATCTAGTTTTTGGACAGCACTGATTCTCAGTCTTAGAGGCTTATCAGACCCCAAACAGGGGAATCTTGTGACATGCCAAGAATATTCATTTCCAAGTGTTTGATAAGTTTGGGGGCAGCTCAGCTCAGCTCAGCTAATCTCCCCAGTGTTACAGAAAATTTGAAACTTAGCTAAATAGTCTCAATTTTGTGTTTTTACATGTTTAGTTAATATTTCCTTGTCCTTGTTATTAAGAGTAGAAGACCTTTAGGGATAACTCAGTTTCCTGCACAAACCTTACGTACAAAGAGTTTTGATTTCAGACTAATTTAAGATTCCAGGTTTATTTTCTAAGACACCAGGAAGCTCTTAAGCGCTGATAAAAGTGTTTTCCCAGCCTGAGTGTTATCCCTGCGAGAAACTAAGTAATCATGTGCAAAAAAAGCTGGATTCTTTCCTCATCAAATGAAACGGTTTGTGAATAGTCCTGCTCTGGAAAGAGTCATGCTTTTTGTGGCCTCTATGTCACCACATCCGCCGCTCCCTTTTGTCTTCTCCATTGTTCTGCGGTAATCCTGCGCCACTGTCCATTTAAATTTCACCCTTGTCAGACCGTGTAATCAGTTTTCCCATTTACGCTAATGTTTGTAAACGAGAGTCCTTCTGAGTGGAAAGAATGGCCGGGGTTATTTTTAGCATAGTCCGGTTACAAAGCCTCCTTGTCCGAGGGTATTACTGCACTGAATCCAGCAGGAGATTCACCTCCAAGTCAACAGAACACAGAATCGTTACTTTCACAGTTTCATGGTTAAGTTAGAGTGTAATAAGAGGATATGTCAGCCTCGGTGGACCAAAGCTTAAAAATACAAGAGAAGAGTGTGCACTTAAAAACTGAGAGTAATCTTGATTTGTTAGGTTTATTGTCTTTGCTTATTGTTGTTATCATCTGAGATTATTATTAAGTCAAATTAAAAAAAAAGTTTTCCCTCTTAACTATCTCCTCCCCTACTTCTTTCTTTTTTTCCTCTTCTCCTGCCATATCATCCTCTGCCTCCAACTTTTCATCCCCATTTCTCCCTTTGGACTCCTACTTAGCTCTATCTCCTCTCCAACGCTTAAATCACTTAATTTTAAGGTCCCGTGGAGGCTCTTCGCCTCACACTGTCAGTTTCCTCGGCTGAGTTTTTACAAAATGTGAACCCTCTGCCCCAGACGTTCTGCGATATGAGAGACAATGTCCTCTCCATGCGCCGTTAGCTGGCAATTACCACGACTCGTGTCCTGCTCCTGATCGCTGCCAACAAAGGAGACTCAATACACCATTGAAAGTATTAGCAGAGGTTTAAGGTAAACAAGAAGAAGTTAATAATATATGGACCGGTAATAATGACTCATTTCACTGTGCAAGAATGTAACGTGTAATGTCCGAAAATAAACTTGAGGCTCATATTGAAAATGTAATGTTTTATTGAGAGGGTTTTTTGCCGCAGTCCCGCAGGAATCCGAGCTTTTGTATTTTTCTCTTTCATATTTCATTTTCCCCTCAGGCACAGTGCGGATTCACTGATTAAAGTGGCTGTTTCGCAAATTCTCCAACGGTTTCCTTGTCTCTTTTGATTGGCTGCGGATTGAAACTCCAAACAGATCAATCTCCCTCAACGTAAACAGAGACTGCTGTGAAATGTCAAACGCCTGGATGAGCTGAGGCGATGAATTGAGGGGACAAGAGGCGGGATGTAAATGACAACTAGACTTTACCTTTGTGTTGTAGTTTCTGACATTTTTGGTAAGGGGTTTTGTGTTTGTGTGTGTGTGTTTTTTTGTGTGTGTGTGTGATTTATGACCAGATTTGCGCTCAAGATGTAATATCCCTGTCACTTTGAAGACAGTTGTGTTTAACGATCTTGTACATTCACCATTATTTCCTAGCGTTCATGTTTCAGCAACCGAGTTAATGAAGTGCTCAGTCTCAGGAAAACAAAATGTTTACGCTACCTGCTCTCATATATAACGCTTTCACAGATTTTTTCCCCCTTCTAATTACACCGTGTTGGTGTCTGACACCCAGGGATCGTGTTTGCCTCTCACTTTGGTGTGTCACTGAGAAAAAGTCAGCTCTGTAGGTTGTCCCAGCTGGCTATGAAAGAGCTAAAAACACTCTTTAACTCACACCGACTGGATATCCAGACCCGCAGAGAGAGGATATGCCCCTCACACTCTTGATGTTTGATATACCACAGTGTTATTGGAGGCACTGCAGTGTAGAATGGCCGCAGCATGGTGTGTTCATTGTCGTAAACGAGCTTCGCTTGTATATTTCTCGTGTGTCTTTATTGTGAGTTTTACACTTAAATTTATGCTTGAATAATAGAGTTGTTTGGGGGAGGAATTTGTTATGGTAGCAATATTTAACAGATGTTACCTATAAAATTACAACCTGATATAGAGAGAGAGCCTTAAACTAGAAGAGAGCATCTCACTCACCATGGATGGGCGGATGAAAACAAAGCCATATAAATGTTACTTTATCCAAGTCCTCGTTTGTGCAAAGAATATCATAATGTGGATTTATTGTGATGTGAGATTTTGGTATCATTACATTCATATTGCACATTTTATATTTTTTACGGCAACATTTATTTGGTGCTTTGTTTTTGCTCCCTATCACATGCTTGAGGATATATGGCCTGGTATGTATTTGTAGAGATGGTAGCACACCTCTATGGAGGACGAAAAGAGACCGAATGAAATATATGAATGCATCTTTAAATAGATACTTAAATATATCATTAATTAGAATGGGAATTAAATAAATACATGTGTCATTGATTTATTAAAATGCCAGTTAATTTAGTGTAAAAACATATATCATTGTTTCACTTTTTGATTTATTTTATCTGTCAAAGTCAGTGGGCGGATCCAAACACCTGATTGGTTACTCGGCACATCAAGTCAAGACAGATCGACTCCAGATATTGGATTGATCAAGCCACTCTATGGTGAATATCTCAGTCGGAGAGTGCGGGAATAACTCCAAAAATGTTACTAATGACACATTTATTTATCTAATTCCCATTTTAATTAATGACATATTTAAGTATTTATTTAAAGATGTATTCATACATTTCATTCTGTCTCTTTTCGTCCTCCATACACCTCGGGTCTATGGCATTGCAGGGAGAGAGGAATACAGCGCTGTTGTAGGACCAGATTGTTCTATCTCCAGCACCTAATCCATGATCTTGACTATGTAAGCCCCAAGTCAAGGACACTCCTATCTCTCTACATTACAGCTAGGTCTGCAGAGGTGATGGCCGAGATTGAGCCCAGATATGTCTCCCTCTTCAGCTCCCAGCACCTCTGTAGTAAAATGGTGTAATTACTCACTTTCTCCGGCACACAGCTCGTCGTGGACCGCCATGCAGAAAATGGAGCTCCTTCTCCATCATTGTGCAGACACATCCACCCTTGGCCCCATTACTTACCTGGATAACTCTGTGTCAACACCAGGCAGGTGTAAACAGGAGGGATCTGGCAGAGTTCGATGGATCTCTTAAAGCATAGCACAGAGCTTAAACACTTTGAAAGGCACAGCCTAATTGATAAATTAGCCACGGAGACTCTAATGTGAGGAGGTGTAACTTTTTGAAGCTTCTTCTTCTTTATACAACAGCAGAGGAAAAGGGGTTGGGCAAACGGTATTTGTTTACCACCACTGTCCTTGGCATTTGGAAAATCAGCTTATTAGCATAAAGTACAACATCAGTGCGCCAGCTGTTCATGGAAGCTGTTGTTCACACTGAGTAAATATTAGACTTGAAAGAAACAGTTCAATCTTGACCTTAAAAACGTGTTAATGTGACGATTTAGCTCAGTTTTACTTTGTTTTTGTAAAAACCATTTAGAGCACTGGTAAGGTCGTCAAATCATGTAAAAATATGTTTCTATTTATGTAACTTTCAATCAAATTCAGTCCAACTTTCCTTACAAATGCAAATTCAGTGTGCTCCACATGGCTAATATATAAGGTCCAGACTGTGCCTGTTGTATTGTAATTTAAAATGATCCATCAATAACCTCCCATTAACAATCACTTGGCTGCGGTTGAATCTGATATCCTTTAGCGGAACTAGACTTGGTAGTGAATAGCTACCTGACTTGATCTGATGGGCCAAAAAACAGTGAGAAAATGATTCAGACACAAGGACTCATTGCTGTCATCATCCTATACGCACTAACCCAAAGTTCAGCGTGACTAAAACAAGCTTAAATCACCATTTAATTGAAGTTTCATCAATTGCCCAGCTCAAGTTTGATGTATTTATCTTGGAAACGTGTAAATGTCACAAAACCAATGTGAAGTAAAGCAGCAGCAACCCATTATTTCTGATACTTGCATTTAAGTAGCATCCTCATTAATTTCCCCTCACCTCACCAGTGACGTTTCTATTCCATCACTTTCAAAACTCAATTCAAGCTTCATGTTTCCATTGTCTTAAGTGTATTTCAGTTCTCAACCCGTAGTCGAGGTCACCTTGATGATACCACAATGACATTACGGAGGGTCAGACATAAAAATCCTCCAGGGCTTCAGAGAACACATGTGACTGGTTTCATCTGCAGGGTAGCTCCAACAACAAGTCGACTGTTGAATTTAATTTTACACCCTCTCTAAAACCAATTTTGGTTTGGCTGTGCAGCAAGGCTTTGGACCCACTCACCCACAGCTCTATGACACTTCATTTCTTAGTTGAATTACTGTGTCATCTTGTTGTAAAATCCTTGTGTACTCTTACACTGCTCAAAGTAATCATGAAGATGCCTCTCGTCAAATCTCGAGCATGGATTATAAAAGTCAAATAAGTGAATTAAAGTACTTAGTCTGTCTCTACTTTCTAGGAAGACTACGTTCCAAACATGAATTTAGTTCCACACATCTTGCTTCTTGGGTTATGATTTATGAAAAACATTCTCGAATGTGTGTTCAGGTTTAGACAGGAAGATAAATTTTGAATCCATGCATGGTGGAATTCAGAAATAATTCACAACTTTAAAGGCCACAAAGTTTTGGAATGGTAAAGTTGAACCAAGCAGCGCTTTTGCTACTATTTTAGCAATGTCCTTAAAAATGCAATTCCCATAACAACACGGATCTGGTCCGACAGGCTGCAGATAGCTGTCCTTGTTTGCACTGACACTGCAAAACATCTCAAATAGGAATAATGATTGCAGCTCATTTTGTCACTGTAGGTGAAGTATGAGCCGTCAAGAAACAGCACCCAATGTTGCAGCAGGGTGTCATTGAGGATATCCCCTCAGTCCCCTACATTTCCTCGCACGGACGACACCATCGCAAATTCAATTTAAATGCAAAGCAACACAAGGAGAGGGTATTTGTATTTGCCATTTTTACAGTTCTTCTACATCAGCAATCACAAAGCAAAGAGGCGTATCTTCTCATGGGTGCTGCTCCACTGACCACACTCTGCCCATTCTGTTGCCTCTGACTGGCTGCGTGATAGATTAGATTTGTACCTAATAAGGATGGATCACCCTTTTGCTCTTGTCCCTCCTTTCAGGTTCTTTGGCCTATTTTTCCCCCTGCTGTCCTTTTTTTCCCCTCCTTCCTCCTGTGATTTAGCTGTGCCCCCAAAGGAAATCTCTGCCTTTTCCTCTGATGTGTAATTCTGTTTAAACTGATTTTAGTTTGGCTTATGGGAGCAGACCTACAGTGACAAAAATAGGATCTTACTGTTGTGGGTTTTTTAGAGCCATTTATCCACCTGATAATGGGTTGGGTGGAATAGATTTAATGGATGAATAAGTAGTGATTTAAAAGGTGTAACCACATGGATGTAACCACTTTTATCTCTATTTCTTTTTTTAAGAGGGGGCAAAATAAGCTTTATTGCCGTTAGCTAGCAATAAGAAGGTGGTTGAGTGAGCAGCATGCTTAGATAGTTTTATTAGCTGTTAAAAGCCTGACATGTTATGGAGAATAACAAACCAATTCTGGACACCCATATGTAAAAGGGGACCAACACTGTAGGCAGACTTCAGAGAGACAGGTGAAGGAAAGATAGTCCATCTTTTCCTTAATATGAGGATTGGAAGCTTCACAGCAATGCAACAAACAATTCAATCTTGATTCCATTCCCTGCCATAAGGCAAGCAAAAACAAAAAACAAATTTCACTCTCTGTCATGATAAATTTTGCAGGGATGATGCATACACTGTTCCTCCATTTCCTGCAGACTGGAGGGTCCACGAACACCTTGTCTTTTTTACAAAAAATCCCAAGCTAGGTAGGGAAATTTCTGGAAATGTGGGTTGCCTTTTCTCCATTGTCTCCCTCAGAAGGATTTTTGCTGCTGTAGCTACAAACTGTGGCAAAGGCTGGCAGCAACTATTTAACCACTCAGAACAGCCTCTGATTGGTCAGAAAGCTCACCACAGTGAGAACAAAGGCGAGCAAACAGTTTTGGACAGAGAAATATGGATAAATAACCTCATGTGGACTTCAATTATGGGAAAGGATTTACTTGGAAGAGACTCCATGAGGACACAAGTGTTTAGGGAGTTTGGGAGCTCATGGATTAGCTCTTGGAGAACAGCTGAGTCGCTGGTATTGCAGAAAATACTGACCAGATAGTTATGCATTGGAGATGTTCATATAGTGGATTTGAGGCGAACCTCATTTAAGTGAATTCGTGGAAACACATTGATGGCAATGGGAGAAATATGGTGATAGAACCTGCAGAGATTGGCCAATTGCAAGGTTGCAAAGAAAGGTTAAATTTGCATGTTGTGCTGAAGTTTACAACATTGCAACTTATTAAGGGATCTGATTCATGCTTATTGCATCTCTTGTTGACTTTAATAAAATTGTGATGGTTTCAGCAAGCCAGATCTTAATGTGACTGATCAGCCAGACCTTAATGTGACTGATGACTGATGTGACTGATCAGACCGCTGAAGGACAGCACCAACAGGCCGAAATTAGTCAATGATTATTCCTCAGCAGTGTATTGCTGTCTTCTCAAAAGTCAATCCTTTATTCCTCAAAATTTGGCTGATTTTGTTGGTTCAAGTTGCTGCAGAAACCAGCAAACTGAACCATGGAAGATGAGTCTGAAATAGATCTATGACACTGCAAAATAAGAGTAAACATTATCCAGCAAAGTAATCACACCACAAGGATGTTCATTCAAAGTAGGCAAACAAAATATACACAGAGAAAATGGTGTGGAGCAGATTTTTGCATCACTCTCTCTCTCTCTCTGTTATGCCTGGGGATTCCTGTCTTGCCATGTACAGTTCTAATCTCTTACAGACAATAAAACTGCTTCCTGTTTGCAAAGAAAGGAAAACAGTAATCTGGGCTTTGCTCAAGTAAATAGACCGGAGTTGGTGGAGTGGAAATCGGAAAGGCTGAAGGAGTAAATAGAGATGCAGACAAAGCAATATTTGCCTCCTGTATTTCCATGTCTGTTCTTTGTGAAATGTATCACTTGATGCCAGGGAATGAGCCACAAAAACTATTCTCTGAGGTAGCAGTTTCACCAGAGCAGCCAACCGTTCCCCAATGCCAGCTTTGACAGACAAGAAAGAATTGAAAAACAGCTTTTGATTCATTTTTAGCTTCTTTGACAGCAACTCCTGACAGTTTAAGTGGAATGAAAAACAGGAAAATTTGGGGTTTTAAATAGAATTACACTGTCATACAGCCAAAGTGAGGATATGAATTCTGCAGCCCTGGACTGACTCTTACTAAATCAAAGGATGCAAAGAAAAATGTTGAGACTTTGCAGACATATGATGCAAAAATAAGTAAGCAAGGCCTCGTTAACTTACCAAAAGTGTGATAGGATGTACGGCTGTATGACTAATAAATCATTCAACAAAATTAAAATGGGTCATAGTTAGTTGGATCTGTTGGATCTGCTTGGGCATCTGGGACATTGATCACAATAGCAACCTCTGTTCAATTCTCACTCAGATTGTGGGAAGAGTTTCTGAAGATGACACAGAACATAAAGTTGGTTCTCTATTTCTACGATCTAAGTTTGTCCTTTGGGTTTATGATTGTTGCCATGGCTGCACTGATTTTGCTTCAGTGTTCAGATTGCTCCTGTTCTTTCCCACATGACCATCCACACAGAGTGCATGCTTGGCTGTCCTTGTGGTTCCCCATAATTCCTTTTCTGACCAGATTAAGGGATTAAAATTCGTGATTTCCTAATTTTATATACTCGTTACAGCAAGTGTGCATGTGCTGTAGGAGTGGGAATCACTAATGGCCCCACGATACAATATTATCACAATACTTGGGCCACGACACAATATTATTGCAATTTTAAACATTTTGCAATACAGTGAGTATTGTGATACAATATGCTGCGATTAATATAATTTTTTCAACTGTTTGGCTTATTTAGCATTTGTCTTTCCTTTATGTTTGTCTTATTTACGCTGTATTTTATTTTCATGTAGCACATCTTGCAAACCTTATATCCATTTGTTGCACTAACTTTCCCTTGCTCGATGACGTCACCTTTGCCAACCTCACTGGACAAACAGTTGATTTTATTTTTCCGTTATCATAGATTTGGCTTTACTTTAACAATTAATAATTAAAAAATACTTGGTAAATGAGACGATACGATATATCACCTGACAAAATATCGCAATACTATGCTGTATCGATTTTATCTCCCACCCATAATGTGCTGCAGCAGTATGTCCTGTTTGTCCTGGCCTAAAAGAGTTACAACTTAATGTTTGATCACTGTGTGTGGTATGTATACTGCAGTTACAGAGAACTGCAGCATCCCAATCCTGAGCAGCAGGGTGTCAACCAAGCAGCAAAACAGGAATTTTTTAAATTAAGTTTATTCCTCATGACTGTCACATCACAGCATGTAGTTTAACACATCCATCTTTGAGATTTCATTTCACTTACTATGCAACAACATATTGTAATTTACCTTTTTTTAATCTAAAACATCCTGCTGGGGGCAACTTAATAAGTTTCTACAGAGTAGAGTATATTGCATGCATTAATGCATGTTTGTACTGTCTATCGGCTGAGATGCAATGATACAGGATCAGTATAATGTATTAAATCAATGCCGTATTGCAGAGTTCTTTATTATATAAAATTGAATTATAATTGCATCAAATATGCACTTTCCCATTTTTTACATTCCCCTTCTCACATTGCCCTTTATGAATTTTTATGAAGTTCTGCTTTAACTTTTCATTAGCTCTCTGATGGAGAGTCTGTCACTCCATTCTGCTGTCTGATGAGCTGGGACTTCATACATAAAGGGCAAATATTGAATGCTACTGTTCTCTGTGTGGCTGCAACTGAAGTAGTGTACTTCACAATGTGCTGATGGAAAGTGCCATCAAAGACAAGGCCCTCTCTGGGAGGCGGATATTGTCTGCCATGCAGGGGGAGTGGTGTGGGGTTTCAGTTTTGGTACAGACGCAGGCTTGATTTCTCTGCCATGTTTCACACTGGTATTGTCTGTGTAATCAGACACTCTTGGGTTTTGATAAGGGATTATGAAAAGCACAGGTCGCTGGCAAGTGGTTATTTATAAATCTCTGTTGTTACCTGATTTTATGGTGCAGAAATATTTTCCATTTGAATCGTTTTGAAGCTTGATACAGCAATTTACTGAGAAACAAGGTCTGTTAATTCTGCTTTTGGCAGTGTAACAGTTTGCTTCAATGCCGATTTTTATTGTTTTTGCCAAAAGAAGCAATTTTCTGAGCTTAATTTACCATAAAATAGCATATATTGGTGTTTGGCAACTTGGGAGATACAAAACATGCTTTTAAAATCGCTGTAATGTCAACAGATTGAACAAATAGTTTCTCATATGGCAGGTTTTTATGACAAACTCCAGGATGTGTTATAGTGCTCAATGCTGTGTCTTGCACCTTGCTTAGTTCATCTGTCTTTTGGTTCATCGCAGGTACAATACAATGGGTTTACTGAAGCTGAAAGTCACTTACTGCTGTTGAGATTGGGGTTAAAGAGGTGCTGAGAATGATCTTGAACAGTCAATGTGGAGGTTAGAAAACCAAACACTGAGCCAAGGCATGTTTAAAAGCTACACTGAGCTGATGTGGACTATGTAGTCAAAGTATTCTCTGGTTTTGTCAGTGAAAGTAACACATCTGGCATATCATTGATTTTTCTTTTTTTATATATATTGATTACTAGTGATAGGGATACTTAATTTTGATTGACTCCGCTGTTGGATTTTTTGTCACTCCATGAAAAGAAGAGACATTATCACATTTCGCTTTAATTGACCGTTTAAACAGTCCTCTCCCTGACCTGACCTTGAACACGCCTTGATTTGACCTCATGCCACCTCATGTAGTTGGCAAACTAGCTTTTATTCTGTTCATATTAACATGTATTCCAGCTCTGGATTTTATTATATTTTTGTATGTAAAAGTATCATATATAAAAAAGTCAGGAAGACTCTTATCCGGTGACCTATTTTAACAAATTTTAGATTATGTATTACACAGATATCAGGTATTTATCGGACCAAAGGTTGCAAGGTAAAATCTCTCCTTGGAAAACCTTTGGTTGGTAGTATTCTGGTTCCCTTTTGTAGAAGATCTAGTATAAACAGCTTTCGGTCCATGTATTGTTCTGTTCCCCTCTAAATCTTTACCTTCCCAGTGTCTCATCTCTCCTTGCATCTGCTGCTGCTTTCGTGGAAGTGGTGGCGCCAAGCTAAATGATGATCCCTCCAGGTTCATGTTTAATGGAGGACCCCATTACACATGAAAAATGGGCCTTGTTCTGTAATGGCTGGCTAAATCCAGAGCCTGGGGCTTCCATAGAGAAAATGCTTGATAGAAATCGCCACACAGCAGAGGTGACGATTTCTAGTGTGATATGTTAAGATGAGGTTGTACGAGATGTGTTCGTCGGTGCTGTCATGATAGAAAATGCATTCACAGCATGTCGTTTTTATCCGAAAAAAAAAAGACGCCGATGGGATGTGTGAAATTCCACTTAGCTTGACACAGATGGGCTTGTTATGGATTGTTCATGGCGTTGGCGTGTTATCTGAAAGGATCTTATCGGCATATTGAAGGGTGCTCTCGGGAGGTTATGCTGATTAAGAGATTTGCTCAGCCAAGGGTGTTGATTCTCTGTGGATCATGGGGAATAAATAAAGCTGAAGAGGACCTATTGATTTTTGTTTGTGTTTTTAACTTTACTTAGAAAACATATGAAACTCACATTCACAGTACTGCCAAATGAAGCCTTTTTTTTCTACTCCAGGAAAGCCACCACACGGGTGAGTCACATCGAAAAAAAATTTTCCTCGCAGCAACAACTCAAACAGAAGGAGTCTCATTATCGATCGTCAGTGTTGCGGTGCACAGCAGCACACACAGACAGGGAAATACACTCACCCATCAGCAAGCAAACTTGCACAAACAGACGAGAAGGAAGCACTCAACGCGTCACAAAGAGATCACATTTCCAGTCAGGCTCCTTCCTCTGCTCCACACTGAGTTCTGAGCCCCAGTCATCAAGTGACAAGCAGGCAAATTGATCATGAAGAAGCCGAGAGGCAATCAGAGCGCAGCTTTGGCCTGCAATTACTCGTCCTTTAACACAGCGATCAATGAGCTCAGTGGATCTGACCATTACTACGGACTGGTGGGTACACATCTCATACAGTATAATGAGACTGTAGATTAAAAGGTAAATGTTAGCACCTTTTAATGTAGCCGCAGTAACTTGACCTTCTCACCTGGATGTACATCAATGAAGTGGGCGGGTGGGAGTAGTAATATTGTTTTTTTATGCTTAATCAGATTTTAGTATGACTGCAAGTACAAATCATAAAAATATAACTGAGACTGAAAGGTGATCGTGACATCTGCTGTGTTGCCCTCCATATGATCTATAGGTTAAATAAAGCATACTCTCCCTCCCCTCCTGAACAGCACGGTGTGGGCGTCTCCCCTCCCCTCTGTAACCTTTCACTTTCACTAATCATAAGCGGCTGTGATCAATACGAAAGAACGCTCAAGAGCACAAGGAAGTTGTAGCTCCAGCTAAGATTAACAGTGGGCAGCTGTAGCTTTAATATATTGTCCACCAGCAGCACAAACTATTAAGTGTGTGAATCCATGTGGGTCTGAAAAGCCAAGGGACAGAATGAGCATGGTAAGAGAGAGACAGTGCAGAGATCACATGCTCTAGTATGAAGTTTGCATGCAGGATAAGAAGTGAAAGATGTTGTTCAGCAGAAAAATAAAAGACCAAGTCAGGTGCACAGATGGCCTTGTGGGTTAGCGCGACCCACCTATGGTGACCGTGGTCCCCGCAGCAGTCGCAGGTTCGAGTCTGGCCCTAACCATGCGCTGCATGTCCTCCCCCCTCTCACTATCTCCCCATACTTTCACCCTGTCTTATCAATAAAGACAAAAACTTGCCCAAAAAAAATTAAAGAAAAATAATAATGAAAATAAAAAATAAAAGACCAAGTCTTGAAACTTAAATAACATTGTACAAACGTTTGAAAAGACTAAATGGTTTATAAATCCTGCAGCCTGTGATCAAATATAAGTGGTGAAAAAACCTCATATCAAATTATTTAAAAAAATACTTTTCCAGAAGTGGAATCTGGCATTTCATTTGGTGAGTATTATCACCAAAATTCATTTAAAGCTTTAAAAAAATGGAATAACTCCTGTTTCAGAATTTTAGAAAGATATATAGTATATTGTAAAGTATTGTAATATATACCCGAGAAGTATCTTATTGTATGCTGTTGTGTAGTATCGTATTGAATCGTATTATATTGTATACGTCTATATTTTGGTCTCATTATTGCAGGTATAGACAGTACAACATCTTTCTCCACTGCAGCCTCATTCTGCTGTCACCTCACGTCCTGCTGCTCTGATTGACTACTATTGTTTTATAACCCTTGCATGGGTCTAACCTCCGCTAATACTGATTGCCCCCGCTTTGCAAGTCTGATCATCCAACCCCGGTGATAAAATGCGCTTTCAAAATAAATGATGTAGGAGCGCTGAACGCAGATTTATTATTGATTCCTTTGTGCAAACCCATAGCATGTTGACTCTGTAGGATTTTTATGATGCTCTTTTATGAAATCTACATGCACACTCGGTTTTCTCCTCTGCTGATGTAAGACCGCTTGGATTTTATTCCATAGCAGGTGGTCGCTGCAGAAGCCCGAGAGTGGTTTTCAATGGGGTTGTTGGTGGTTTTGTGCGAATGTGGCGAGGCTGCTGCTATTGCTGTGTGTGCTCCGTCCGAACACGACGAATATACTTGTACATTTCAAGGGGATTTGTGAATTTGTTGGTTGTCACACTGCATCTTAATGCCATTACCAATTCAATGAGTTGTGTATGGTTCATTCATTTTGCATGTTTTTAGAGGAAAGGAGATGCATCCAGTCAGTCAGTCAGTCAGTTTCGACGAGGTTCTTATAAATGTCTGAATGTCAAAGATAGTTTTGTTTGCTCACTCTTCTGTTCAGCTGGACTCATATTAACTTATCTTCAAGTATGAAATCATTGCAAGTGCCTCTGCTGATCTCTTATTCACGACCCCAGCATGACTCCACTTTCCTAGTACAGAGCCCAACACACCAGCTGAGCATACACAACACACAGGCTCCACGTTCCTCATCAAGACAGTTGTGTTCTCATTATTATTTCATATTTTGTTCGTCTCTTGTCTCTATGCTGTTTTGTACTAACAAACAAAGTAAACACAAAAGCTTTTACCTTTTTGCACTTTCCCCTTCACGCTCCTTAACGATGATTCACCATGATTTGTGTTACGCCGAGGTTTTATTGGGTTTTAAATTCAATTTCCCACTTCTGGCAAATGGAAGAATGTGAATAATTGATGCGTAAGCCGTGTCCGAGGGCAAAAATGAAAGAGCGCGTGTTTCTGACTGAGTTTAAAGGTTTACAATCCTGCAGGCAATAGAGATCTGACTCTGACGGATCCTGGAGGGAGTAAAGTGTTAATTCAATGCTTGCTGTGAAACAGGCTGTCTCTGTTTCACCTCAGCTTTGTTTAGTCCAGTTAAAAAGGATTTTTTTATATGAGATTAATCAAACTTTAGAGTCAAGCCGAGGCATAACAGATTTTTTTAGGGGAAAAAAAATCTTTAAATTGAGTATAAATTATTCATAGTAAATATGTAAATTAACTCACTAGCAGATGATATATTCTTGCTGAATATACCAGGATTTCTATGGGTTAAATTCACACACTTGTGCATTTCTGTGTGCAGTTGCTCAGCCGTGAAGCACTCATAGACCCACTCTACATTTTGCTGTTTGCCCTCTAATGGAAATATATCTCGAAGCTATGATATAACGTAACACATGGTCCCATAAGCTTCATACTAAATTGCCTACTACAGAGAAATCACACATGAGCCATATCTGTTCAATTCTCATGTGTTCTCCTGTGAATTCACTTCATCTCTGTTGCTTAGCTCTGGAGATGAGAAATGAAATTCATCGATTGCCTATTGACCCCGAGCGTGGATCTCGAACGGCGCTGTGACGCCACGGTTTGACCATGAAATGAGATTTTATGATGCTTCCAAGTGCGTCCTGTTTGGTGCAGACTTTAACCCTTTCTGGTTGATTTAACCCAGACATGATAAATCTCAGTTAAAAATAAGTCACTTTGATGTTTTGTAGATATTATGATGGTTATAAAAAAGTGTCTGTGCTACTTGGCGAGATTTAAGTCTTCTTTCAGAGATGGTGAAAAAATGCATTCACCTGCCATAACAGGGGCACCTTCTGTTGAAGGGCTGTCTGCTTATGGCTGCCATAATGTAGAAGAAGTCAAACTGCTTTGGAATGACTGCCAAAAGGTGCTGCAAGTAAATCTCTGTGTACTCTCTCTGACTTGAGGTCTGTATTTCTTTTTCTTGGTACACCAAACCAGATGGGAGTGATTTCATTTTATGCTCTGTCACAGTTTTGTTTTTAGGCGCTAATACATTGAATTTTTTCTTTTTTATGATAGCCCATTCAGCTGTGTTTTTTTGACTCCAGTAAGCAACCTCTGAAAATAAAAACACAGTTGCTATCAAAACAGGAAACAAAATAACTGAATCATCAAGCTAAAATAAGAGCACGCCAAATAACAACTTCATGAGATGGTCTCTTTCTGTGTGTAACCCTGGCTGATCCCTCTACCTCTGGCCTTCTGAGTGAGCAGAAAGGACTGTGTTTTTACAAGCTTAGGCATCGGTAGAGGCTCACAAACGTGATCTGTGTTCTTCCCAAGAGATGGGTGACATGGAGCAGCAGTTAACTGCAGTAAAAATCCCACCTTCCATCATTTCTCTCCAAAGCAAGCTCTGGATCAATGTGTGTGCGCTGGTGTGAATGCACAACGCCAGGGGAAATTTTACTCAACTTAATTTTCCTGTTCCCTGAAAATGAACGAATTAACACTTGAGCAGTACTGCTTGCACTACTGTGACGAATGCATACAAAATAGTACTTGCTGGAATTTGAGGTGGCCTCTCATTAAAACTTCAGTGAGGCTTGTAAAGCAGAAGAGTGGGTTACTATAATTGACTTCTGCAAACAGCATAATCGGAAATTAGTCCTATAATTGCTGAGAAGCTGGCTGCTTTCCAACTCTGTGTTCTGCTTTAAAACTCAAACCACGAAAAGTCTACCAACCTGCCCAGGCTGTCACAGTTCACAATGCTCCAGTGGCTGGCTTAGAAAATGAATCCTTCCCCCAGGTGAGTGGGGAAATGCTGGAATTTGTAGACAGTGGGTGGAAATGGAGAACGAGTACAGCAAATCTGTAGGAGAATACACTCAAGACAGCCATACTTGAGTGTGTGTGTGCGCCACTGTGTCCTTGTGTGTTTTTAATTCAGTAGATGGCACCAAAAAGGCACTCCAGATGATTCAGAAACTGTACAAGCCTACACTTTTGCACTCTAGTTAGAAATGGAGGACTCAAATAAAGGATTATTACTCACCACAAACACACACACACACACACACACACACACACACACACACACACACACACACACTCTTACTTTGCTGGAGCAGGAATCCCAAATTGGAAGAACTTTGGCATCACCTCTTTTAGGATGTTTTTTTTCTCTCTTTTTGTGATCGTTTTATGCAAATATGTTGTAGTTTGCCACTCATAAGTGTTCACTAAGTGTCTTTAAATTGTTTGTCAGCATCTCCAGATTGTCTTTTCAAATCCACTTGGAGTTTTTTTGTAGTCTCACTTGTAATTTTGTGTTTTTCTTTTGTCCAGGGTCTGTCTTAACCCCATGATGCCAACTTTCAAGTAACCCTAAAGGAAGTTGTAGTCATGAAACTTTGGGTTTACTTTCCTCTTGGACTACATGTGGCACATTATTTGCGAATTGAAAAAATTGTGTTATTTTATGATATTTTTGTTGCTTGAAGAGATATTCCGGCATAAATGTAAGTTATGGTCAAAACACTGTAACACCGAGTTAGCTTGAGCATCTTGAGTTATACTAACTAAAGCAACAACCGCACGATAGCAATACACAGCAGTCTACGTATCCATGTGCAAACCTCAACCAAAAAGCCACTGTATCACCACAAATAATGCTGAGTGCAGTGCACTCACGATCGGTGATCAACTCGTCAGGGCTCCCCCACAAACAAGCGGCTGTTGGAGGGGAGTGGGTGAGCTGTGTTTGGTCTTGTTGCAATAGAAACTAGGCAAAGCTAAAAAGATGTTTAGGGCTAATACTATGGGTGGGACCCTATATGTACTGTTGATGAACTTAGGTGCTGTTCTGAGCATTTCGCGTGTTTGATCTTAACTCAATGTTACAGCGGAATATCCCTTTAATGCTAGTTTCTAACTTTTCTAACAGCTGGACATGAACTGCATATAACAGAAACCACATTAGAAAAAAAAATACTTGATATGCATTTCAATTTGAACATTCAGCTCAGATTTTGGCTTCACTTTTAGGAGAGAGTTAGGTTGTTCATCTTTATATACAGTCCATTCTTGACTCACATGCCTCTTTTGTAACCAACCCACATTTCCACATCGACATATGGGCTGTCAATGGCGCATGACTGTGTCACTTAATAAAGACAGAGCTAACTCATAACATGACTTAAACAACCACAGCTGCCGGCATTTGTACATCGATGATGTTGTCCACCTGACTCCCCTCCATCAAATGTTTTCCGTATCATTAACTGCTGTCCCTCAGGGGAACGTTCAGTGTTTTATGTTCATCCTATATCGAACAGAAACCCTTTCAGTGAGGAGCGGTGCATTATTCAAAAAGACATTTCTGCCTGTCAATTTAACCCCATGTAATTTTTATGAGCAGAAACTCAACCTTGTTCCTCGGGGTTCACGGTACATGAGCTACCTCTAAAAATAGCCCCCATAGGGTTAAAGGTCACGAGCGATAGTATCATGTGGAGGTAGATTTAAAGGTTATCTTGGCTCAAAGCTTTAAAGAACACATTGAGGTCTGCGGCAGATGAAAGGAAGCGTGTGTACAGTCGCACTTACGCGGCAGATGATTGCTGTGTAATTAATTCATAGATTTGTGTGCTCAGTTATGCATGGCTTGGATTGTATGGCGCACTCGTAGGAGGGTTTACCTACTGTATCATCTTACATGCCACATTGATGAATGAGCTGTTGTAACTTAATCAGGCATAATGAAAAGTAATTGGATTTTCACTCTTTTGTCGTCACCTAATTGTCTAAAATGTGTACGCTGAATTGTGACATTTTTCTTTGGTACCTCTCATTAGTTAGATTAATGTTGAGCTTTTCTATTTCATAAAAAGAAAAAAAAGTTTTCCACTATGTCTGACTGTATCCTCTTCTTCATCAGCTTGTTCCAACACCACAATGAAGCTGCAGAGCACAATATTGATGCAGAGTAAAATATTCAGCCTGGTACGGTTGGTATCTTACGCTCTCCGATAGAATCTAAAATATGCAGTTGGTTTGAAGAGTGTATGGCCTCAAAGCTTGAATCTGTTTTATTCAGGCATTTTCTTAACCTGGAAGTTTTGAACCTCTTGGGGTTTGTGAGATTTTCTTTTGAAACAGAGGGTTGATACTAGATTGAGAGTGAAAGTGGGATGTCTTCTGCAAAAGTTGTGTTTATTTTTTCCCCTTTTGTGAGTCTTTGTCTGTCAGGATAACTTTCTTGGTGTCTTAACATATTTCAGATACCTTATTGCCCCTGATATAAAGATGGATTTGTTTGATTTCATACAGATGAGAACTTAAGATGTCATTGAGTCCAGAGCTGGAGAGCACAGAAATCCTGAGCAAGAAGTGCGATGGGACAACCAGATCATATCTAATCAATAACTGTCTCAAAATATACAGTAAATCCCATCAAAGGTAAACCTGACAGAGGAATTCATTACTGCTCTGAATTCAAAGAAATTTAACTGCAGAAATAAAGTTTTTCTGGCAAATTTATGAGGACAAATCTTGCCCTTTACATGCTCGAGTACAAAAAAAAAATCTCAGCCTCCTGACTTTTTTATAGAATAAATCATTTCTGTCATTAATATTTGAGGTAATTGTCAAAACATGGTTGTTTGTTACGCTGCTTGGCTGACATTCCCCCTTCAAACCGGTTTCAGGCATAAAAATGATGGCCTAAGAATTGGGAATGGTCTTGTTTGCATTTGGATCACAGCGTTTTTCAGCTTATTTTGTAAATCCTCATTGGATCTTTAAGAGAAGATGGAAAATATTTAAGTTTGAGGTATGTTTAGCCAAAAACAGCTAATCAAAGCCACAGAGGAAACTACCATTTTGCTGTTTGGTGCCGTAACCGCGACCCTACACACACTTCATTTTCCAGCAAAGCAGTTGTCTGTCCTTTTGTCTCAGCATGTAAAGAGACACCAGCGGCTTTATTCAAAGCATTTGTTCCCTGCTGTTGGTGCAAACTGAATCTGTCTGACAGGATATGAAGTGTAGCATCCTCTTGGAAGACAATCAGCAGCCAGCAGTGCTCAGCCTTTGCCTCTGTCACAGCAGAGTCGGTACAACTGTGCAGCAGCTATGGGCAAATAAGGGCGTGTGAGAAACCAATGAGAGAATTTTTAACTGGTGCAGTTTTCCCGTATGCTTATCATGAGTGAGTGAGTGCTTCTGTGAGTCATTTTGGTTTGGATGATAGGTTGTAGATTGCATATATTGATTGCTATCTTCAGTTGCAGAACAGAACCGCAGAGAAGCCACAATCAGGATTGAACTATTTTAATGCGAGCAGACTTTAGTGATTTGGGGAGGCGTGAAACAAAGGCGCATTCTCGTATCTCCTCTCTGGCTATAAGGATTAATGCCCGAAAGCTGTTGGCTGGAGTTCAGCTTTTAAATTGGATAGCTCACATCTTCCCAAGAAATCTTCCTCTTATCTTGTTGTACACTCTTGATTTTCACATTTGCTTGCCTCCTCGCAGTTTATCAGATAAGGTGGAAGTAGTATAAGGAGACCTATTTCCAACAAAATCATCACTTTTTCTTGGATCCTGAGAGTGAACTGAATACTGGCACACCACAATAAAACACATGTTTTTACTTCCCACCCCTGACACCCAATCTGGCTTCGATATAGGAGGTGATACTTCAGTGTTACCCTAGCCGCCAGCACAGATATCATTTGTTTACGTGCTGTAAGTGTGTGTGTGAGAAGATGGCTTGCAACATGTTTCACCATTTACCCAGGGGGAAGGGTTTCCCCTTCACCCCACTCTCTGGTTTATTAATAGAAAGAGATGTGATGCTAGTTGGGCGGAGCTTGTGTGTCACCGCAGCGTTGACATCATTGACACGGTTAGTGTTTCACTTGTCACTGTTGGTGATAAGCTGTCATCAGAGCCGGCCTAATAGATTTTAGATGAGATTGTGGCCAGAGGCAGTTGATGAATGTGTCATTCATGGTGCTGTTTGTGACCATGGTGTACCCAAGGTTTGTCCATCCAAGAGTACACGGCCACTCTCTTTCCACTGAGGGTACCTTTTTTCGAGCATATGTCAAAGTTGTAAATTGAAGCTGTTGCCAGAAGTATTTTAGAAACATTTTATCACACTCTTTTGAGAGGCTGTTATGAAATACAGTGCTGGACTTCCATCAAGTCTTTGCAGTTAAATAAACTTGACTTTTGAGAAGGAGGACAAAGCCAAAGCAGCAGAGTCACAGGTACCCCCTGTCTCTCTCAGTTCTGTATGTGCACCATGCAGATGACTTCTTTTAAATAGTGCATGCAAGAAGTGTGGCTCAAGGGACAACCGGATCATGCAAATCATCTGCAGGAGTAGTTCACATCAGCTAGACTCTGTGGGAAAAACTCTACTTTGTCTTCCTGCACTGGCTGCGTAGTTTTTCTCCTTTCTAAAACTTTTGTTTCTTTAAAAACTATTTGAACTTTAGTGAGATTGAAGGCTATGACTTGAGGAAGTATTTCTGAGCTATTGTTTTTTGGCCATTAGAAAGACTGGATTTTGAATTTCTTGGCTTGAATTGCAAACCTTAGAAATATATTTAAGAGTAATTGTGCTAGTGCAAAAATTAGTATTATGTTGAAACATTTGGTGCTAGAGTGCTCAGTGGTTGATTTGTAATGCCTTGACATAGGGCTGGGCGATAAACAGAAAATTTACCGATATTGAAATTTACGACAATAACTGACGTCATTTTGCCCATTCTGTATCATAAATAAATAAATAAATTAGTAAAAGTTGGTTTTGGATGTGTGTCGGTCGGCTATGGTCTCATGTCCCTTTAAGACACTGTCCTACGTGACTCCACCCCATCCAGTCCATAACAAAGAGGGAAAGACAGGTGAGGAGATGGAGGACAGTTCAAAAGTTGTAGCAGCCGGAGCCGGAGGCTGAAGTAGACAAAGTTTATGTGGGAGGGGGTGAGCAGCTTGTGGAGTAGTTATCGTCCATTTATCGTTGTCAAGGTGAACTGCTCAATATATCGTGATATTGATTTGAGGCCATATCGCCCAGCCCTACTTTGACATCCTAAACTTTCAGTGCTGTCAGTATAGTCCTTCAGTTACTCCCTTTTACTGTGCGTCATTGTAATGAGACATCTGTGCTTCTAAGTAAAAGAAAAAGTTGACTTTGAGCCCTTTAAAAAGAGCCTCAATTTAGACTGCATAGGGAGCTGTTGCGTCACCCAAACCTCCACAGAGTAAACTAATCTCTATCTGTGAATCAATAGGATGCCTTTCATAGACGCAGCCCGAGTTTTTCACTCATGTTTCTCTCTGTCCTCCAGCAACCCCCAGGTCTTTGCTTTCCTCAGGCACTTTCCAAACCCACCAATCCCCACCTACGACATTAACCAGATCACCTTGCTGCCAGTGCTGTTGGTGCACTTTCATTCCAGCCATCTTTACCTGTTTCACATTTTCTGCCTGATATGTGCTACCCTTGTTTTGACCTGCTGCCCGCCTGCCTTCCTGCCTTTTCCTCCAGGATTACTTTGCTTGTTTGAACCTTGAACCTTGCTTCTGAACAGCAGGGCCTGACTGTAAGCCTTCCTACCCAGAAAAGACCCTTTTTATAATCTTTTCAGTTCTGCATCTGCTTCTTGATCCTCACTTCTATTGCCTTAAACACACATTGCAATGCTTTCATTCTTGTACAAATAAGATAAGGACGACAGCTTGCTTTTTTATTGTTCAATGAAGAATAAGAGCTGTAAAAGCCTTATTCCACATTGCTCATCCTCCTACATGACCTTACATCCTGGATAAACCCCAGCTTTCTTAGCTGAACAAGATATGCAACTGAAACTGAGCAAGCTGATTAAACTTTGCATATTTAATAAAACGTTTAGGAGCTCAGTCGAAATTTCTCATGCAGAGGACTGAACTGCTCTTGTGCCATCTCAAGCAGAGCACAAATGGCTAAAGTACTGCACAGAATGATAATGTACAATTTAGAATAGCACCAAAATGGAGTGTTTTATTGCTTCTGGGGCTGAGAAGCATTCGAGTTCAAAGGAGCATTAAATTAAGCTCTCACGTATCATGCGGATTGCTTATTTAGCCGTATTTGCAGCCCTCAAATAACACCAGCGATCATAAGACTGCATGTGCTCTAACACCAAAGGTTTTATTGGGTTCATTTTCAAATCTCAGCGTGTCTGTTTCATAGTTTTTATTTGGATGTGAATCAAGGGCGAGGAGTTATGATCCAGAGCGAACACTGCTGAGACGCAATATCCACTTTTTAAGTAAGGGATGAAAGCAGGATTTCGATCCCCTCGCACTTCAAAAAACTTGATTCTGATGCATTTTAGGTTCAATCTGGAACATTTCACACCTGACCGAGTAGAAAAGCACCAGCCTTGCAGCTTTACTGTAATGCTTGGTTGAAGTTTTTTGACACGTTTTGACTTCCTTTACAGCTCGGTGAACACTGATCTGTAACAGCAGGTTCGGTGTCACACAGACAGCAGCTACATGTCAGGCGGTAATAAAAGAATGTGACTCAGGTCGAGCCTGCAGGGTGCACAATGGCAGCAGGTGGGGCTGCGCTAATGACAGATCTACTCGACTGGGTGCCATCGGGAGTTGCGTCCAACTGTAAATGCTTGGCCGGCATCCATGTTTGACAGCTTATAACGGCAGGCGCACAATGTGAGATAGCTCCAATCTGTGTGTTTTAACCTGCAGTTAAACCGCAGTAAAGATAAGTTATTTGTGTTCTATTTCTGCTCCGCTCTACTAAATTGGCTGGATGCATTTAATGGTGCATCAGAGCAGCTTGATTTAAATTATGACTCAGGCGAGCTCCTTGCCTTTTATTATAGCTTTAAGCAACTTGTGCACTTGTATGCGTCACCATTAAAGTGCCGAGTCATGCGGCTTTTTTCTGTTAAGTTAATGATTGTACAAACTTAAGAGGAAAGGAAAGAGGAGAAAATGCTTTCAGGACTGTGCTATTTATATACAAACCACCAAAAGGGCAGCATATCTTCCTGTACCAATTGGTACAACAAAGCCTGCAATATCCCACTTGCCGAGACTATTGTCATTACTAATTCAAGATATCCCCAAACAAATAGACGCTGTGAACAAAAGAAATTTTATAAGCCTCAACAAAGTGCCAGACAAAAAGCAGGATCAATGAACATAAAAGTGTTGGAGCTGTCCTGCTCGGCACGGTCACAGAAATTAGTCTTTTGTTTTTGTGCCACCATTTGAAGCTGAATAACCTTTTCACTGGACTGTGTTTGTCTGGTGATTGATGGCACTTGGATGCGGCGCTCACCGCGAGGTCTGATGCCTACTGATTCAGACCATCTGGGCAGGTAGCTCCGCTTGTGGTTGGCGCAGCCACATATAGTGTTTGAATCAGTCTCAGGATGATAGAGGAGATGACTTTGGTGACTGCGCTGGGGAAAGAAAGTGCTGAGTGTGACGATACCGGGCTGACGTTTTTATTGTTGCATCATTATTGCTGTGATTTCTGTTGCTGCAGTGCATAGCCATCCTTCATGTGTAATGTTAACTGTGCAGAGACGCATAAGCAGTCTGCCTCATCATCACCTACTTGCTGCCTTGGGGGTTTTGTATATATCCCGCTTGATAACCTTATGCACCCACTGAGTCTTACACCCCCTAAAGACCCCTCTTTAATTGATCCTTAATTAGAAACAGCAGGCTGCAGAATCCCAAAATGAGCATCTGGATGTTGATCCTTCATCCGCCAACTGCTACTTAAATATTGGACGGGGAAGTGACTCCTACCAACTGCTTTGATGTTTGTTTTTTCTTGTGGTTGCACAAAAATCATTAGCTGCTTCCCTGCATGTTCATTAAAGGCATTCAAGTGCTAATAGCATAATACAGGAGAGCCACAAAGCCATTTTTTCTGTTCTTTTCTCTAATATGCTGTAGCCCACAACACTATTTCCTGTATTGCTTCTTTCAGCATCTTCCTCCGTGTGCAGGAAAAAACACTATTCATTAGGCCGTATGCTGATGACTTGCCATTTAAAAAAGCTTAATGTAAACCATTTTTTTCCTACTTTTTCCATTTCATTTCCTCTTTAAACAGCACTGCAGTTCTGGAGGACAGAAAGAAAAAGCTGCAGGAAAGCACTACCCAGACTTTCTCAACTCTGAGCAGCCGTCAGTTTTAAGTTCATATTGGAAAATGAAAGATTTATAGTTTGTTTTAGAGGGAGTCCTGACACCTTGCAGGGTGCTTTTGGCAGGCCGTGGACTACGTCATGGAAAAAAAAAAAGGAAAGCTTGTCTGCTCTCTGTTATTTACATTGTCCTTTTCCTCAAGGGCCCCTAATCTCAGTTGTAAAATCTGTGTCACATGGACTGTTTAGTTGTTCAAAGGCAAAGTGGTTTGGATCTAAATAGTGTTCAGATAGGATAAGAAGAATTGTAATCGTGCATGCCTTCAGCTAGATAACGTGAGATTGTTGGAAAGTAAATACCTCTCCAAGCTGTGCGTCTTAAGGTTGGATAAGACTGTTCTGGCGCTTACTTTGGTTTCTCAAGTTAAATCAATTGCACCCTCTGCTGACCAAAACAGGAAAGTGTATGTGTCACAGCAAAAAATAAACCTGAGCTGAAATAAAATATCACAAATTAAAGTCTTTAAAATCTATCGGGTTTGTCGGCAAGCACATTTTTACATACACACAGAAAAATGGGAGCAGGACATGTGTAAATATTTAACGGCACGGTACTGCAAATCAGGAAGCAAGAAGGTCAAACCGACACATCCTGTTAGTGTCATCGCTAAAAACAATGGGTGCGTTTTGCAACCCTCTGCTCTTTTTCCAAAATGTGTTGTGCAACATTAGGCAGCTGCAGCATTTTTAAATCATTATGATGTGCAGTTGTGAGTTGTTGTCATTGTTTAAGGAGCACGCACTCATTCATCTTCTGGACATCTCATCTATAATTCGATATAATGATGTAATTTGATCACTTTGTTTCACAGCTGCCAAGAGTAAGATTTGAATTGAACTTAGTATAGGTGTGTGCTTCCTACATGGATCATCACAGTTGTTGAGTGTATTAGTTTAGAGACGACCTCCTCAGAGATGTGCAAAAGCTGACTGTGCTTTATTTGTTACCCTACATGATGATTTGCTTTTATGTCCCTTTTGCCCATAGATTCAAGAGTCAACACTGCTTTTAAGTCCCTGCCCCACATATATCACTTTGTCAATAATGAGCAGTTCAAATGTGATAATTTGTCTAAGTTCTTATGTCGCTTAGCTTCAAAAGCCTGTCACGAGCCATCGTCTGGTCATCACTGTCTGCCTGCAGCAGGAGAAAATGTGACACAAATTAATCAAAGCCTTTATGTCACTCCCTGGAGCTCAATCCATCAATAGACAGGAGCTCCTCCTGTCTTTGTAGAACAGGCTCCTACATTAGGTTTATTGATCAGGTGTCAGCTCCCCTGCTTGTGTTTGTCACTCTCAGAGACACCCATATACATTAGGCTGTATATTCACTTGCCCTCTAATGCAGAAAAGCAAGACTGAAGCTTGAAGGAGGTCAGTGGATTTTTTTTAAATTAACGCTTCTCATTCTCATCTTAAAATGTGTTATTTAGCATATATTCTAAAATTTGTATTTCATAGTCACAATATTTATTTGAAACGGCACATTTGGTGAGCATTGGAAAGCAAATAGAGGAAAAGCTCTTTGCTGCCACTTAGTGGACAAAATAAACAGTTCACACCAGAGGGATTGAGCCATAAAGAAAATACATACAACTGTTTACAATCATCAAATCAACAAATAATTACAAGGATATGTTGTATATTAAATATATATATGTATTCTTCGAGAGAGGTAAAACTTGTGCAGTGAATTGCTGAAACGTAACTAAGTAAAAGGGAGAACTTGTTGTATTCACATTGCAAAATGTGCAAAAAAAGTACTGGAATTCAATTAAGAAATAAGAGAGCCAGCAGATAATATTTGCTACAGATAACTCCAGATAACCCCCACTGCTCTGTACAAAACAGTGATAAGTGTTAAACCCTTGTTGGGACCTGGCTCTGATTCTGGTTTGTGAAGCTCAGAATTAAATACCTACTTTTTGGGAGTGGTTTGGCTTAAAAGCTTCCTGAAGACTGTGGCCTTCCGAGGACATGCTGGGAAACTTAACAGCTAAGAGTAAAATGTCCATGATAAATTATTTTGTACCTCTCAGCTTGAGGCCCTGTTTGTTACTCTAATTATTAGAGTCTTTGTAGTCCCTCACTCCAAACTTGTTTTATGGTTTGCGGCACAGTTAGTTACAAAACTCTCAGACTGGATCATCAGTGTTTTCTGTCATGGACCAAATCAGTTTGTCAGATCCAAAAAAAGAATTACAAAGGGATTTGATTATGACTGGTTTTGTGCACATTTAATGCACAAAAATTGTCCATGCATAACAAATTTCAGTGAACTTTCCTTCATGGCTAAGTGAGAAATATCTGAAATACTTGGTTTGGGGTTTGATAACTCACAGATTACAGCTAATGTCCAATAAATATCCAATCTAAAAATCCAGTTAAAGACCAGTTTTCTTTCAAAACTCAAGTCTCTTTAGGACTGACCACTTCTTTATCACACTGTGTTAAGTTCAGTCTGTCTTTCCTCTTGACACTGGAACTCTGCTCAGGGATTTGAGCACTTCACTTCACTGACTTGGACTTTGAGGGTACTTCACTTCATAATGGTAGAGTTTGCGTTGGTTCACAAGCATGCTAAACTGTATAAATCACAAATCAGACAGAATACATTGCGTAAAGCATGGGTGTAGTCTCCATCAAATTCCGAAGTTGACGCTCAAGGAACTGCAGTTTTTCATGTTACCTGACTGGTTTCAATTTTCAACACCAGATCGCCTCTTGGTTGCACAAATACCAGCCATGGTATGTAACATTCTGGCCTTCCCTGCTGTGCTAAACTTGTCTGAATCATCTCTCTCATCAAAAACCTTCAGCTGCTCACCATCATCCAGGGGCAATGGCTGGATTACGTTTCCATTTGTCATTGCACAACCTTGGTTCAAAAGACAGCGGGGGTGGCAGCCCGCCCATTGCTCGCCAGTCTGCGTCTGAGTCAGAAACACCTACTTACAGCCTTTTAATGACAGCTGTATATAGCATCACATTGATTAATAGAGAGAAAAAAAACAGTGAGCTTACATCATGGAAAAGAACAATGGTAGGAAACCAGCCACTTTGGATAATGGACAGCTATCTCGAGTGAGAAGGTGATCTGTGGGCAGGAGACCGCCCACACACTTCAGATGTACAAGCATTTGCGTTATGAAGCACTTTTTTGTGTGTATTGAACATTTGCCCGTCATATCAACAGGTGCAACTGTTACATTTTTGAATTCCAAACTCTTGCAACTTCCCTTTAATCAGATTTTTTTAAGGTTGTTTTCACCCAGTGTTGTTGAAGAGGCCTCAGTATATGTGGTGGACACTTCAGCCAGCCCAGAGACATTTGATTATTCCACCCCATGGGAGTGTCAAATGTAATGAAAAGTCAATACCGCTCCAACTTAATCAGGCTACCCCTGGAAATGGCATGCTCAGCTTATTTTCACCAGTCTTTGGAAAGTCCAACAAATTGGCCCTTAGGTTGAAAATGTCACAGGGTAAGGAAAAAGACAACCAATTGAATAATGTTGATTTTTGGAGAGTCTGACAAGTATTCCACATGACAAGAAACTAAAACGAACATTTAAATTAACAAAAATTAAGCAGAATTACATAATTGGTGCTCCAGTTGGGCTTGCGGTTCAAGTGCTCGACTAGTCTGAGTCACAACGGTGGATTGTTTGACTCCTGGCCATAACCCTTTGCTGCAGCTTCCTGTAGTTTGAGTTAGTGCAGGTTTTATTGTAAGGGGCTGGTTTATATTGTACAGCAGGGGACACAGTGAATAACTCCATCCATTGTTGATCAGACTCCTGCAGGAAAATCCAATGACCAAAGAAATAGGTTGCAGATTGGTGATTTAAATGTACTTGACCTCCAGAAGAACCACAGGTACCAGCTCTAGTGATTGCGTAGTCTTTTGTGTGCACGGCTAATGTATGTGCAACGTCACAGTGTGTGACTTACTTTCCTGTCTGACATCTGTAGGAGTCCAAGTCGAGTCCACAAGGTGGACAGGAAGCAGGTTAATGGAGTGGGAGCAAATTGGTACTTGATTGCACTGATTGGCTGCGCAGGAACTGAATTGGTCTGCCATCACACAGTTCATGAAATAGATTGTGCGTAGGTTGCGCTGAGAGCAGAAGTTTTTTTTTTTTTTTTGGTGTGTTACATCAGGGAGGGATTACGGCTGTATTTTTCACCGACTGTGAGAACGGTGAAGGAGATGTGAGCCTTCAGGTGCGTCTGACCTCTAGACCTTTACGGTAATCCTGGGGATCTTCACTGAAGTTGGTCCAAGTCTGCCACATAAGCAGGAGCAGGATCAGCTCTGAAGAGGCAATCACTTTTTTTTTAGCACATAGGTGCTTCGATCATATGGGAAATAGCTTTCTCATGGAAAAAGAGATTATTTCTCATGCAGTGTAGATTTCTGAGGCAGTATTGCATGAAGAAGCATGTTTTTTCTTTGCTTTAGCACAAGATTGATGGATTTTGCAGGATATCGTTGGGGGTCAAACTGTCAATCTCCTTTTGTTTATTTAGCATCATCCCTTCGATGTATCAGCAACATAAAAATTGAATGGTTTTGTACTATCTGATGACTTGATATCTCATTCCTCGTCCAATTTATGTTTATTATCTTGCTAGTTTTAGTTTTTTTTCATCCATTCACTCCATTCACTGGATCTTATTAAAGAGGTATTAGAAAGTAGTAGAAAAGCATCCCGCTGATGCTCACCGGTGGTTTTATGTGAATAATTGGTATCTTTTTCAGTCATTTGTTGACATGAATACATGCTTCGACTGCAAATTATGCTAACAACCACAGTAATTATCCTCTTTGTCCCATTAATCAGCATATAAAATGACTCTTCAGCATTATATGGTAGAAAAAAAGCTTACTAAAGATGCTTACCAGTGGTTGTTTGTAATTTATTTAAATATTTGCTCTATAAAACTGCTGTCAGAGTCATGGACACAGCACAAAATCTTCCCCACCTATACCCAGCAGGAGGTGTAGTTAAAAGACAGCTGGTAAAGACTAATGGTTAGCTCCAGCATGCGCTCCCTCGCTTTCCCCTCTCTCTCTCTTTCTTTCTCTCTTGGTTTCTGCCGTAACAAGCAGCAGCACCACTCTAACCGGCGTGCTACTGCCTCACTCTCCAAGCGCTCAATTAATCTAGCTGGTCAACTGGTAAAAAGCCTTTTTTGCGGCGCAGAGATCAGTTAGCGAGCTCTCACTTCTTCAGAGCGGGAAACAACTCAGAGGTAGGGAGGGGTCTGCTGGGCATGCGCGTCCAAATTCAAAACTCAACACAGGCACGCATGTTTTTACTCCCACTCCTGTTTCTCTCTGTACTGCCCCCCCTAGCTGGGACGAGTATAAAGGGAAGTTTGGACCGGCAGCTTGGTTTTTTTCATGTGCGGCACTCCAGCAGCCTCTCTTTTTATTCTCTCTATTTTGTACTACCAGACCACTCTAGAGTAGGAGTGAGACTGTGTGTGTGTGTGAGATCTAGCAGGACTTCCAAATCACTGAGCAGGGGCATCATGGGGGCTTTAATGGTCATCTTTTCTCTCCAGCCGAAACAAAGACGCAAGATGACAGGTAGGCCTGGAGATTACACTTAAACTGGTTTTATTTTGTTGCTTTTTGCAGCTGAAACAAAAAATATTTAGCATTGTCTTTCATTTTGTATCAACCAGTAGAGCTATCATAAAACTACTTTTAGGCTGTGTGTTCAATCTGTGTGTTTTTTTTGGACTTTAGCATCAAGAAATCTCTCTAATTTTATGCAGATTTCTTTCTAATCCCATCTGAATTTATACCCCACACCATCAGTCCATGAAATTGACTTGAAATCAGCCACCTTTTTTTTTTAAACATCTCCTAAACTCTGCAAACTTGCATGACTTTTTCCATTTGCTTCTCCCAATATTGATTATACACCGACAACACACGCACGCACACAGCAAGACACATCGACTCTCTGCCAATGCAGCCTCACAAGCTTATGTTACATCTCTGTCTCGCTGCAATAATGTGCTGATCGGCTTCATCATCACAGCTTGTCAGAGGAACAAAAGACAAAGAAGTCTTCATCAGAGAACAATGAAATATTTAATGGACGGCCAGAAGACAATACGTGTTACAGGTTATATTTAGTGGTGAGGAGGGGGAGAGACGGAGTAGATGACACATAAAGTACAGTAAGTCATATTTCACTGGGGTGTATAGATGGAGAGAGCCTGAAAGGAAAATGAATGAGGGACTCTTTGTAACTCTCTCAAGCAATAGATCACAGAGTGGGCAGATGTGTGCACTGTAAGCACATTTCTTAGACAGGGACCTAGAAAGAAGCATGGACTCCAGATATGCACAGGCATGGATAATATGCATGAAGCCTGAATCTCAAATTACCATATTCCCATCATTAACTGGAGCAGATCTTGTATGTACATTTGGTTTTTAGCTTTTATCCTGCAGGAAAAGGATGATTCTTGAGTGGAGTGTGTTTGGGAGAATATCAAATAAGCACTTTCCTCTCTGTTCTTTTGGCTACACCTGTCAAGTTTTGAGATCTCATGTAGTGCCCCCTACAGTGCGCTGTGATAAGAGGGATACATAATCATTGATATGATATAAGTAAAACTTTCAGTACTTGCCAGCAGTTCATGATTTTAGAGATGACTTTTGAGACTTCAGCAGCTTTGGCTAATTAGCTAACAGAGCCCCATGGGTTAACTCTTTAGCTGGCAGCCTTTTACATAGCTGCCCCTGCTCCCTCAGTCCTTCAGTGAAAGATATTTGCAGCTGCACTGAGTTTCTATCAGTTTTCTATGTTGTGAAAAAATACAAAGTGTTAGAGCCACATTAGGTCAAAAGAATTCAACAAGTAAGCCATTACTGTACAGGACCAAAGTGGAAGTATTGTTTAATGGTTGGCTTATTTTGAAGAAGACAGAGTGTTAGAAGAGCGTCTTGTTTAATTTGTTTAATTTTAATTATATTTAACCAGGAAAGCCGCATTGAGATTAAAAGCCTCTTTTTTATAAGAGTGCCGAGAGTTGCGGCAGTTACAGACATACAAACACATAATAACTACAAAACACTTGTCAACATTTCCTGAATAATCCAGCAGAAAATCATTCAAAGCATCTGTGCATCTTCCTCTAACACCTTTAGTCAGCTTTCAAAAACATTTAGAGACCAGCTTCAGAGACAAGTTCCCTTGGAGGAGATCATAACCTGCAGGAGCATGACACACTCTGGGGACAGAAAGCAAAACAAAGTCATGTGACTGAGTCACAGAGTGAAGACTGTAGCTTCCAGCATTTTTCAAACTGACTTAAAACTCCAGACTGACTTCCTTGTTATTATTTAGCAGGCAATCGGTATCCCCCCTTAACAACAGTGGTCACATATATGTTGTGCAATCATTGACTAAACAAACATATTTTTTCGTGTACGATTATGTTTTAATTCTCGTTATATTACAACATCCTACTCAAAATATTAATTTTTTCTTTTGAATGTGACCTTAAAATTCCATCATGCCAAAATGTATTCATTATAAATCCAGCAAAGTCATGCATCACGGCAGGTTGAACTTTTAAATTGCATTCTCTGATGCTTTGGTCATGAGACCAGGGCCATGAAATACACAGTGTGAACATGAAAGAAGAACTTTAAAACCAAGTTATGTGATGATGAATCCTCTTTATAACCATGTGTCAGTGAAGAGGAAGATTAACACTGCAGTCTGAAGTTTTTTCTTTCTGCTGTCTTTCTTTCAGTGCAAAAAGAGGTGATTTGTTGTAAATGGCAAGTGAACTTCAGTTGGACATTTTTAATGCATGTCAGGTTGGACTACAGAGCGTGAAGTACCCGTTTCTTACACTTATATCCTACTTTAAAAGGTCAAAAAAACAAAACACTTTAATTCAATTTTGTAAGATGGAAAGGACTGCTTTCTTTCCTTTTGTGCTCTTTTTATTCCAATACCAGCACTTGTCCTCTGATGTTGCTCACGCTGCAGCATGTATGTCTGTCAACACAACACTCTGGTTCAAAAACCGAAAGCATCCTAAAGCTGGTGTGAGTGTAAATGAAGCTGCGCTACTGCCGGAGAAAATGCATCCTCAGCTCATTTTATGCAAAATATGCCTGCACTAAGAGTCTACCGTGTTCGTGAACCACCCTCTATCACACTTTCTATTTCAAAAGACGACAGTTCAGTGAGCACCCATAGGAGCCTTGCACTTGAACTTCTTTTCAAACATGCCTGGCCTGGCTTTGAGTGTTCCCACAGAGTCCCAAGGATAAGAGATATGCTAACACAATTATGAGTGTACCCTGTAATGTGTTTGGCCTTGGTTTATTTCTAATGTTTTTTCCTGTTTTTGTTATCATAGAAGTGGAGTTTGTGTAGGAGGTAGGCAGGTGTGCTCAGAAGTGGAGCTGCCTGAATGGACACAGGAAATATTAACTATGACTCAGGCTGCCAACTGGTAAATTAGTGTTAATGCTGTTTTGGCTGCCTTTCAGGTATTGAAAGAGTGGACACAGGATGGAAACCTGTTCAACAAAGCCTTATCTAGGGGGTGGATTTCAAGAATAAAAGCCCCAGCAGTAATTTCATATACTCTGAACTATTATCATGATTATTTTTTGTTAATTCAGTTGGGTCTTTGTTGCATTAACAAAAGGGGGTGATGGAAATGTCCAGTATGGTTCTTGTTTCTGGCTCCCTCTCTCTCAGGCCTTCTGGTGTTTACAGAACCAAATGGAGACTTAAATCAGGCCGACCACAGGGAGAGCAGCTGTCATTTTCCTGGTTCGCTCTGCCACGAATAACCATACTTCCTTTAAACTATATATAATCACAAAACAAGGCATTCTCTGCAGACAAATAAGTGCTTTAAAAATTCACCATAAGCCCAAAACACTTTGAGCTGATCACATTACATTTTGCCAGTCCATCTGTCACATGCAACAGTTAACACAGAACAACTCATCGTTGTCAGTAGGGTTTGCTGGACGCCACAATGTGAGAGAGAACATTCAGAGTGCACATGCTTCTTCTTCAGCACTCTCACCCCAGCTCAGATCTCATGAACCGCATCTCAGCATTTAATACAAGCCAACGAGAAGTCCCCTAAGGACTCCGGTAAAGCCCAGTGGTCATTAATATGGGGAACATGATGTTCCTGGATTTGATCTAAGATAGTTGACACTGCAAAGCTCTCTCTCTTCATATAAAGTTTTCCTTTCATTTTACAAAAGCAAACATGTGAATCTAAAGTCTCCCAGTGAAAAAAGTTATTGTACTTCCTTTTACAGGGAGTTGTAAAATGTAATAGGTTTTATTAAGCAGTGCTGTATGTAAAGGGACTCCAGACATCCTCATTCTCTGATATGCAAATTTACATGATGAAATGCCTGAGGAGGGGTCACCTACTATATGAAGCCCTCTGTTCTTTCCTTTTGTTATCATCAACATGTAATCTCAGCCCTCTTCAAAGTCTCTGGGTCGTAAGGCTGTATTGGTTTTTCTGTTCTCTAAATTAGCATTTAAATTGAAAAGCGAAGCGGCAAAAGCAGTTGGCTTTTGGGCTTTGAGCTTGTTTTGGGTTTCATGTCATGGGCGGCAGAAGTTTGTCCGGTGAAATTAATCACTCCATCCCCACAAGGCGAAGTGACCAGTATTAAGAGGGCTCACTCTGAACTGGATTAAAGAGTGTCCTCCAGCTCGGAGAAGCTCCACAGGGGCAGAGATATGTACAGACAGCGATGAGGCTTACAGCGGGGTATGGAAACAGATACTGTCATCTGTAGAGTGGTGAAACACTCAGTGTGACCCCAGAAAGAACACAGCCCTGAACCAACATATGCAGACAGTTGGAGTCTAGTAACTGAACTGCTTATTGGTAGCAGATTGATGCTTGCCAACTAAAGCCACTTTTTCCCACAGCCTTTTAGTGTTTTTTGCAGTCGTTCCCCTGCTAATCTGGGATCAGAATGTATCAGGTGAAATAGCATCTCTATTTGTGTACATCAACTTCAGAGTTTTTTAGTTTGGACTTGTTGCATCCGTTCTAAAAATGTATTATTTGGCTGATATAATTATAAATATAACTGGAAAGGGAGGAAACTTGCTACCTATGCATCCCAGACATGCACTTTCTCTTCGCATTCAGAGCAGTACAACGTGACCCATCAGCTGAGTGGGGGTGTGACAGACAGAAACTGCTTTGTCTGATGTCTTCTTCAGAGCACAGTATTTGTTCAGTGTATGTTTGGCTACTTAGGATGCTGCGACTGAAATATCTCAGCCTGACCTGTACAGCAAGGTGCCAGTGCTGCTGCTCCAGCCAACCAATCATATACTTGAGGGGGCGGGACTGGTCACCCGGGTAACCAGGAAAAATAGGTGTAAAGAGATAAAGGAGCCCAAGAAAACTATAACAATAATGTCGACAAAGAAAAATGATATGATATATTGCTTTTCTCATGAATAATATCATTCATGTAATGACTGGTTATCATATCTGTTCATGATGAATATTTTTAATAATTTGAATAATAATAATAAATTTTATTTATAAGCGCCTGTCTTAACACTTAAAGTCACTGTACAAAGTAAGAACAGCAGCATAAAACAAAAAATAGAGTAACAGAGTTGAAAAATAAATTAAAATTAATTAACATAAAAATGTAAAATATGAACTTAAAAATATTACTGTACAATTAACCAAAAAAATCAATAATGTATACAGGAAAATTCCAACCTATGGATCCCAGGGACTCACTACATTGAAAAGCTGTCGACATCCCCACTGCATACAGTTTTAATGGAGCAGAACTCTTGAAGGAACTCTTCCCCTAGAGAAAAATGGAAATGCATCCATAATGAAGACAAGAAAAATGTAATGAGGCACCAGTGTAGCTCAGCGGTTCAATCACATTCCTGATGTATTCCCAATGTGGCCCTTTGCTTCACATCATCCCCAAACCTCTGCACCTTATTTCCTATACTATCCTCTTTCCTGTCTTTTCAATATGTACATCACAATAAAAATGAAATTTAATGACAATATCAAAGCAAGTTTGACCAAAGAACTTTAATGCGCCTTTAAATAAAAAAAGAAAAATAAATAAAGCAGATTAAACACTTAATCAAAATGTTGCCCAATGATTTTTTTTTTTTTTTGTATTTTTTTTGTACATATCTTTATTGGCTTTTGTTTTTCATACAACAACATACAACAATTTAAACATATGGCAGTAAGGTAAATAATAATCAAAATATGAATAATATGGAAGAGGTAAATAAATAAAATGTCCTTAATAAAATAAATTAGTAACAAGATAAATTGAACCAACAAATAAGTCAACAAATTACTGAGCAATAGATAATAAATATATAAATAGAAATAATAATAATTTAAAATTATATCAATAATAATTAATTGCTATTAATAATAATAATAATCTTAATATAGGTAACATCGTACACTCCCAACAACAAATAAAATATTTTTCATTATCTCATTCTCACACTATCTCCTCCATATCTAAAGAGAGATCTAATAGCTCATTGTTTTAACCCATTTTGCAGCTCTTCCATTTATTCCTCCTTGTTTAGGGCCATGTGATGTTGGTTCTTGGACTGTCCACATGATGGCAGCAAATTCAAACACACAGGCTCTGTCAGAAGAGGCGATGACAACAGCATGCATTTTAATAAACATCTTTAGTTTGTGATATCCCATGTGTAAAGTCACTCAGATTTAAGGAGGAGCTGAGGAGGGGGGTGTTGGATTAATATTCATTGCATTAATGTGTGTGTTGTGCTTAAATTTTCAGTCTAGTGTCCTCTAATATCATCATATACAAACGTAATCCTGTAATGAGGCTTTAAATACCTACTTGTCAGGATTTTACCCTTTAATCACTTGCTGTCTTGTATTGCTAAACTCTAAATAATTTGTTTTCCGCTGGACCTGAGAGCCCGTTTGATTTGGTTGCACAAGTACTTTTTATTAGGTTTCCTTCCCTTTCCAAGAAAACGTCTTGTGCAACAAATTGGACTGCAAACTCATTTTACCGCAATCCACTACCAGGAATTTAACAAGACCCAAATCACATTAATTTGCAATTAGCCGTGTTATTTGAAGGTTACAGACCACTGGGACCTTCCTGTGTAATTTCTCTCAACTAAATGAAAGACATTAATTTGTTTTAACGCCACGCTGCAGCACTGCACTCCGTCTAGAGATGGGAATTCAATTGTAAACTCATTTAAGGAAAGTTAAGGAAACAGATTTTTACCCTTGTTGTGTTTATTCATTTAGGCTGGGAGGAAGTTTGGACTACAGACACACCAATCACAACCGTAATCACTTAGATTCGAACCAACTTGAATGTGGCTAAACAGAAATAACCCTTTCCTTGTGAATACTTTTGATAAATTGCACATGACCACACAATCACAATCGATTTCTGGACTGGAGAGCACAAGTGTAGAGTTGGGAGACTGTCAACATTGATAAGTTACTCTCTTTTAAAAATGTTGTCTCCAATCCAAAGTCAGAAACGGCATTTAGTAAAAGGATAAAGAAAAGAAGTCTCTTTCTGCTCCAGGCTGAGTTTTATTACATTAATGCATCAAATATGTTTCAAGGAAAATATGACATCTCCATATTAAATGAATAGTGTCACTGTCCAAAATAAATACATTCAACCAAGCAGGCCCTTATCAGTGTTTTCTTACCCACTTAGTCTATAAATGAAAAGCCCTGGTTTGTTTGTCAAGTCTGGTTGATCATACATGTAAACTTTCATTTTTGATAAAGGCCAAAACACTTACTTTCACAGCTGGGAACTGTAGATAATCACAACTTTAAAGAGGATACTGACAGATTTGAAAAAGATATGTTGATTATCTGGCTTGTATTTGTATCATAATTGTGCTTAAATCAGTTGGATACTCATTCAAGGGATAATATATATTGAAAGAGTGGTTATGCAAGTTGGAATCTCAACAGGGTAACCATGAGGGGAAGCCTGTTCACACTGTGGCATTGTCAGCAAGCAGAGGTGAAGTATACATGTAGTACTTTCTGCAGATTGATAAGATATGAGGTATGTGATCAGGTTGTAACTGGCATTGCTTATGCGAATGAGAATTTATTATCATCATAATGGTGTTTTGACCAATCCAAATCAAGTTTTGAATGCAAAAGGAACAAAAAATAAATAAAGACCAAAAGTTGAATGGAGAATTAGTTGTTATGCTTGATGTTGCATGAAAATGAGTGTATGTTGTCAATGTGTGTTTGATCAGGGAGGTGAATCGATAACAGAGCACAGCTTAGAATATGATTTCACTCATTTGAATGGTAAATAAATAGAATAGCTATGCAACAGCGAGTGTTGACATTTTGGCTGGCTGTCACAAATAGATCAATGTCCAGAAAACTGGAAAAAGTTCATATCTGATATTCATGGTTTTGAGGGCCTGTATAAGCTGGGGCAACAATGGGGTTTATAGAAACATCACAACCTTTTTTTAGGATTATACATAAAGGCCTGTTCCAAATATATCATTTGTGTAATTTCATAAAAGAGCAAATGAAAAACCATTCAAGGACAATAGACAGAAGCATAATGAGCATAATGGTACCAAGGCTTGTTATCAAAGATGCTTTGATGCTTGTCAGCCAGTTTAAATGATCACGAAAATTGTAGTTTCTGAAGGACACCAACAAATGACCAGATTGTGACTGGAGCACTTGCCATGTGTATTTTTTTTTTTCATGCAGCAGTTTTTTCGGTTGCAGGTGCTGCACACAGTTTTTTACCATCTACAGTACAGCATGTGCTCCCAGCTTTAACCCAACACACTACAAAACTCTGCACTGGCAATTACCTTCAACACCAATCACATGCTGATTGATACGGCATACTGTGTGCTGATGACTCGCACAAACCCTGATTATTTTCATTACCATTAGCCAAGGGGCCTTGATTACACCCTATGCAAAGTTGGTAGGTGATTGGAGAGCAGATACTGGAAAATGGGGAAAGTTTCCTTCGGCTTAGGTCATATCCTGATATCAGAATTGAAAGTAATATATATCAGGGGGAAAAAGTAAGAAAATCACATCATTTCAATTTGAAAGCTCAGTTCTTTTCTGTCATGTCTTTGATTTGTCATTCACACCTTCTTTTCACCTTTGCAGCCTCCTTTCTTTTGGTGCTTCCTACACAGTTGCCTGTCATGTCTTGTCCAAAGAGAGCGCGCACACGCACAAACACATACACATACACGCACTCCCAGGACCCAGGAGCTATATTTGGCTGTTGCTCAGGTGCTACAAATAGAGAAAAGTAACTGATAGTGGGCTAAATGAGCTACCCTATTGCATGCCTGGCACAGAGGTGGTTTCCATGGTGAATCACAGTCAAAACAATTCCCTTTGAGGAGCTGACATCACCCCCCCACCCCACCCTGAAGAGGCTTCAAAAGAGATCTAATATTTAGGGCAGTATTTAATCATAAGCTAAATAATCACTTTGAAGAGAAAATAATGCAAAGGATGTGTGTTGAAGACAGCATCCTTGTATTTTGTACAAAGCTGTGATGGATATCTCTGTGCATAAAAGGGAAATTTTGCTCAGAGATGCAACAGGATCATTTGATCCGCATTAGCAGTGGGGTATCATAAGTTTCTGTGGCCTATTTTAAAGACACAACCAGGTCATGTTTTAAATCATAAAAGTCTTTGTTTCGGTGTCTGTATGATGTGTTGTAGTGAAGGAAATCAGCATGAAATCTCTGTCGGTTTGAAGTTTGACTGAAGATTGTGATTGTGTTTTATTACACTCATTAGTGATTTTTTAAGTTAAACCTTCTAATGTGAATAAATCACAGAAAGCCAGGGAATTCCTTTCCTTCGCCTTCAGCTGCTACCTGGTCCTGACCGCAGACACATCCAGCCCTTTCTTCTCTGCCGTGTTGTCTTTCTCTTTGACCTCCTCCTCATCATCTCTCCCACAAGGCTTCCTGCTTTATTTTCAGTCCAGGTTGTGGTGAGGTCACTGACACACACACACAGGTTATTTCTCCAGCTGACATTTACTAGTTCTCAGTCTCCCTATAGTAGCTTAACTGAGACTCAACTCAATCTTTCTGGCAATATGTTCTCAACATTTGCTGCAAAAAAATGGGCATGATTTGTCCAAAAAATCAGTGTTTGTAAAAATCGTTTTTGGCCATGTTCAGCTCAAACTTTCTCTTTTAGAAGAGATGAGATGAGGGCTAAAGTTGTCTGGTATTGATGCCAGCAAAGCAAAAAAAATGTGGATGCAGTGATGAATGAAGGACGATTTGTTGTCAAGCCCATGCAGTGATTTCCACTGCAGAGTCCACCCGAATCCAGTGCTGTGCTGCCTGAGGGCCAGCCATCCAGCACTGGTGTTGTTGTCCTCGTTAAGTCAGTCATGAAATACCGGTCCTTTTTTTTTTTTTTTTGTTATAATTGTGGAAATTTATCTTGGAATACTAAAGGTGTTTGTATTCTGTTCATAGATTATATATGGTATGGACAACATGACTCCGCCTCCCGTCAATGAACGAATTTGAAGCCAAGTTGCTCATGGTATTTCCCAGAATTTTCTTAAACCAGCATTTGCACAGTTGCGTTCATTGACTCTAAATGTCAATCATAGAAAATATCACATAATTTCCTGTTTTTATAACCTCTCATAACTTAAAAAAGAAACTGAAACGATGCACAAACTAGTCTTACAATAACTGCATGTCAACATCACAACCAGGGATAAAAAAAAGGAATGACAGTGTATTTAATTTATAAAGTCGGCTCACAGCACCATTCATTTCATTGGAGGAGGTGTGGTTTATGACCTATACTGCAACCAGTCACTAGGGGGTGCTGCTCTCACAGAGGCTTTTCCCAGCAAGGAGGCATATCACGTCCAGTCTATGATTCTGGTCCAGTGTATATCTTGGATATATACAGTATGTATATTCTTTTGACATTAAGAAAGACAGCCACACATTTCGTCAACACAAAGCGGACACCTGTTTATTATGGGAAATATGGAATCCATCATGTTTAAAATGAAATCATCTTTAATGGTGCTACTCAAGCATATTTTTCAGAAACCCTGTAATTAGCCTTGTTTTTAACATCCATTTTATATAATTATGCTAGGGGACAAATGACCCTTTTGACCTAATCAACAGTGATACCTCATGTTGTGATTTGTTGTTGTCAGCTGGGCAGAGGGGAAATTAGCTTTACGTGAGCACAGTAGCGAAAGTCATCCATGAAATATGGACAAAACAGTAGTTATACTTGTGATGCCCAGAGCGAAAGCATTAATTCAGAGAAGTTTGTCAGAATTTTCAGGATGAAAGGTCTGCAGATGTATAATCCACATAATGAGGTTATTTAGGTCAGGGTATGAAAGGTAATGGTACATGCAATGCAAAGTGATATTCGGCTTGATAATGAAAGTAATTATGTACATGGTGCTAATCGGTTATGGTCTGATGTAGAAAAGGTGAACTACTCATGATAACAGTTTCCAAGTACAGTTAAATGTTGAAGAGATGAACTTAATAAAAACATAGCAAAGGGGTAATCTTAAATGGATGTTGCAATAATTGTTGCACATGATAATTCATTGCAAATTATTTGAATGGTGGAATGACATATATACAGAAAAAAATTATATGATATGACAAAGTATATTATGTGTGATCTATATAAAACAGCAATTTTGCACACATGACACAAAAACTACAAAATAAAAATATAAAAAGCTGTTCTGCACAAGATATTTTGACATGATTTTAAAAGCATTACTGCATACCACCTGAAAAAGGTTTACTGCAGATGTTATGAGAAGTTACGGTTTGCATATTGCATCAACTGCATTTTACTGGAGTGTTTATTGATAATAGTCAGAAGTAAAACTTAATCTGCAGCATAAAAATGTTAATTGACAGAATGATATCACTATTTAAAGTGGAACATTAATGTGCTCAACAAATTTAACAGCAGTTAAATCCAAAAGTGATATTTCACTCAAAACTAAATTTCACTTCTTGTTAGTAAATACATCTTCCTGTGACTTTCTTCACATACATCCCAGTTGGGGGATTTCAGCTTGAACCAAAAATAACCTTTCAACACGTCAGTGTAATTTTTGTGAGCAATGATTTCCTTGCGTCTTTGCCAGCTGACCAAAAAAGCTAGAATTTTGGCATTTGTTGCTTTTGACCTTTGCACACACCAAAAACCGAGGCAGCACTTTATCCCTTTCTCACAATCATGCACACCCCCCTTACCTCTTTCCCTTTTTTCCATTTCTTTTCCACACGCCCCCTCGTCTTTATCCTTGCCACTTCACCCCCCCCCCCCCCTCTCACACATCTCCCCTCCCTCCCTGCCTCTCCGACTTTTGCCGGGTTCTCATCAGACCCTGAGATGCCGTGCCTCTAAAGTGGCGTTAAATGGCCTGTAGACAGCGTGCCACGCTGAGCTCTGCGTCCTTGGCCATGGGCAGGCTGTGAGCGGTCAGACATGATGACTATGAACTTGGAGGGATTGGAAATGATTGCTGTGCTTGTGGTTGTGGTTGTGTTTGTGAAGGTGCTGGAGCAGTTTGGGTTGTTGACAGATGGATATGACGGTAAGGAAACTGCACACTGTTTTGTTTTCTTCTTTTGGTAGTGATAGACCACTTGTTGCAGACTTTGTTCAAAAGAGTATTTTGTAGGTTTTTGTGACTTTATTCTTCTTGCTAACTGATCTGGAGAATCAGTGGATGATTTTGTGTTGATTATGCCAGAAAAAAGTTAAATTTTCAGTTGTGGTTTTGTACTCTTATCTCTCAAATGATATAGACACAATATTCTACAGGTGTATGGATTAAAATGGAATTGTCTGAATTACTGAGTTCAGGAATCCTGTGTGCAAGGCTGTCAGGATACCAAAATTTTAAGCTTTAATACAACAATAGTAAACATTAAAATAATATTGACAACTGTTTCAATGTCCTGGGGATAAAACTTAATTTCTTGGGCATCCATAGTTGCATACTTTCAACTTTTTCTCCACCACACCGTTAACAGAGCTGGTTTATATAGTCACTGAGCAGACATATTAAAATATATATATATATTTTTTTTTTCCGTTCCACTGCTTTGTTTTCATTAGCTTAGCTCCCTGTAGCTTTTGGTTAGAATACATGACAGTAAATTTTTCTTTGGTTCCTTTTAGCACTGTTAAATGAAAATAACTTGGATAGTGTTGTTTAGAATCAAGAAAATTTGGACAACTTTGCCTGTTTGGTTCTTAATGGGTGTGTTTTCTGCTTAAGGTCAGCCTTCAACTTTTTGCTCACCTAATTGGATAATTTGGGCAGCTTGTGCATCAGCTCTGCAGCCTTTATTTTTTTCTATAGTCCATTTCTCGCCTTACTTTTTTTGCAAATACTTTTGACATTTATTTGGTGATTAATGCAGACCAAATATGTTCCAAGACATCCACTTCTACTACTTTGTTTTGGACTTGTAAGCTAATATAATGTCCAGCTTTCTGATTGCCTTTGCAGCATCATTCATTAAACATAAATGAAATTTAATCAGATGTGAAAGCTTGTATCATCTGTGGGATGGCAAACTGGTTAATCCAAATGAGAGGAAGACAGTTGATGAGGGAAAAAAAATTACAGACTGAAAAAAGTAAAGCGGGGAAAGATGAGGACGAATGAGCCTCTTTTTTTTAGTGTGTTTTAAAGTAAAAGTGAAGAAGTTTGTCTGTTTTTGTATCCAAAAGTTAGCATGAGTTTGAAAAAACACTTGATTTGTTTTCTTTCATTGTTCATTCACAGCAGTGGTTAAGGAATTGTTTATCTTGTGTTTAACAATGACTCACTTTTAATTTGAAAAGATGCCTCCTTGATTTTTTTTTTTCATGTAAAAGTGTGAATGTAATATTGAAGACTCTGAAGACACCTGTTATTTATGAGCTCTACTGACTGCCAAGCTGTTTGCCTTATGGCTGTGCTTTCACAAGTGAGAGGCAAACAAACATTTGCCAACCAAGCAGAGCAAGAGAAAATAAGTTATTATAGTTTTTTGGGGGGCATTTGTAATGGTTATCATTTCTCTGATGTACCTCTTTGTTCTTGGTGTAAAATCCAGAACAATGTTTTTGTTAAAAACGCCCACCTAAAACAGCAACACATTCACACATGGTATTGTGAAAGTCTCACAAAAGCCACTTTGCTTTATTTTCGTCTCTACTGTCTGTGCAGCTCATTTTCATCCTCACACAGTGTGTTTGAGCTCCTGGTTTTAGCAGCTTTAGATGCTTTTTTTTCTGTTTCGCATCGAGCGGTCAATCCCTGTTGATTTAAAGAAAATATTGGCACTTTTAAGGGCTGAAAATATCCCTGTAAACATATTGAAAGTGAATAATCATGGTGAAAAATAAAAGATTACAGCCTCAAAAATGAATGACAATGCCAAAAAAATTTAAAGTAAATGACCCGAGAGGAAAATCTTGATTAAATCGTTGATTGCTCTTACATTAAATTCAAAATGATTGATATCTGGCATTTAGGAAATTTGCTGCTAATCTTAAAATCAGCTCCACGCCAAGAAGTCCATTATGATCACTATTTGATGAATAGATCCGTCAGGTTCTTATTTGAATAACTCATTAATTTGAAGCAGAACTGTTTAAATGTTTTAAAGAGAAGGGAAAAGCTCAATCATAGTAACTTATTTCTCTGTGTTTCTTCAAAATTATGAGGAGAATAACACTTCAGGGCATTCATTAGTCGGAAATTTTCTATGCAGTTTAGATTTATAGGCGACAGTTTTTCTAAATATCGGTAGACGCCTTTTTGAACCAGACCCAATCACGAAAAAAGAAGTAGGACAAGAGCCTGTCAGAGATTCAACTTGAAGAAAAGATTCTATGTTACAGCTTACAATCTTTTATTGTCAATTTGTAATAAAAAACAAATCTTTGGAAAACCCAATTCAGCAGAAATTTGTTGTACTCTCTCACTTGATGGCTTTCGGTTAAAAATAGACTTGCAACACAGCCGGACGCAAATGGCTCTTTAGAGTCTGTGTGCCTGTGACAGTGAGTGACAGCGGTGTGCCGCCAGTGTACGGGGACGTGACAGCTGACAAGAGCAGCCTTTGATACGGCACATTTTGCAAATTGTTCCCCCTGCTGAAGGTGTGGCTTTTATCAGCCGGGGGAGAGATGCAATAAATGAGTCCAATTACAAACAGACTGAAGAACAGGGCACAGCAGACTGTCACTTATGATTTCAATGCTTTTGCTGAAAATAGAGGGGGATGATTTCCTTTCTGTTTTTATTCTTTTTACTTTACAAGCTTTTCATTCTCTCTGAGTACTTTTGTCATTTTCCCCCATTTAAAGAGAAAATAATCCTTTTTTCTGTTTTTTTTACGGTCATCATGCCATCTGCGGCTCCACGAATGCCAACCACCTGAACCCCAAACTGTGTGTCATATTTGAGAGGCTGCAGTGTGAGTGACATACATGACACCCACTGTCACGGATTTTACTCACAGTAAACCCCTCTCAGCTTCATTTAGGATCAGGCTCTGCAGACTGTATGCGTTTGACTCTCAAAGTACAGTTTTATCAAGCACTGTGTGCTGAACTAGAGCAATAAAAAGGCAGTTATTCAATATGGAGAATGGTTATCTATAAGTAGAGAGTTGTAAGTAATAAAAGTAGATATGAGTAAGGTATTTAGTGAAGGCCTGAGCTTCGCATGGCTTTAATGCTCTACTTTTAACATTTAGGTCAATCACTTGGAGCAGGCAGTTTGGATACATAAAGAAACTTAATGTATTAGAGTAGTGAAATGTATTTGCGCTATAATATGTGTGAGAAGTGTTTCTCAATACATCAGGAGGCAGGCACAATCATGAATTTGAATGAGTCTTATGTAAAGGCTTATCCTAAGACATGCCAGCATCCATACTGAAGCTTTTACACATGTGTGTGTTTCCAAGTTACTTACATTAGTAAGATATAACACATGCAAAAGTCTCCATGTAGTAAAGCTCACTCTGAGTTTCTCTTCCATTGTAATACAGAGTTTAGTTATTTACACTATCAATCCCAGAATGAATGGAGGGTTGCTGCATGTTCAGCTGTATGTATATTTGCAGGTTTGTAATCCACAAAAATGCTCATATTTTTTAATGCAGTCCTGCCCATTCAGCATTGTATTGATTTAAGTAGAGCCATTAAACTGACACAGTGTTTCTTCTCTATGAAGTGAAAGTGCCAGCAGAGGGAACCAAAGCGCAGCCTCAGACAGTCACATTTGCCTCCAGTCTTGTATCAATGTGAACATATTAGGTTAAGAAAAGCGTGATTTTATCTCCCCTTTTCATTTAAGTAATTAGTTAATTTTGCAATAAAAGTGAATCATTTCAGCCACTTCTCAAGGATTTCAGCTTTTTGAAAACAAATCAGACTGAATTGTATAGCTCCACAATGCAAGTTCATAAAGAGCCAAGTGCAAAAATGTTACCAGATTCAGTTACAAAAAATGACCTGCAATTAACCTGGAAGAACAAGGCGAACACTGTGATCCTGCGTGCATACTTTGAATACTTCTTTTTAAAACATAAGAGGTTACAGGTTATTAAGCAAAGGAATGATCACATAGAGTTTAAAACAGGAATCTAAAAGCTTTTCACTTTATTGAACCTGACAAACATGAATCTTTGCATCATTCTTTGATGAAATTATACGTTGGTGTATTCAAATGTAGACTCAGAAACTAAACCCATTTATTTTCCCCTCTAATATTAGTACCATAATTCCTATTCATGTCAGCATTGCTAATGCTCTTTATTGCCTCCTTTTTACATTCTAAACAAATTACCTCCATATTATTCAGTGAGGGAGTATTAAAAACTCCACAATTTATTATAATTTCAGATAATAGCCCGGGGACTTAGACAGGTCTTACATGCATAATGTTGTGCTTCATTTCTTCTCACTGAATTAAACACTGTTAGTGGTGTTTCCACAGGCAGAAGCTTTACACTATCATCAATCACAGCTATGTTAACGGTGCTACCAGTGACTGTTGTTCACAATCTGCATGCTTGCTGCTGTAATTACTTTCGAGCTCTCTCTGCAGGAGGACTTGTGAAAGGGCAGATTTTCTTCAAGCTTGATTAGAAACAACTTGAGTTGGAAGTACTGTGAATGTGTGAATCAAAGCTATACTGTTGATTGGGGCGCCTGTATACTTTGAACCACCTTTCTTTGCATTAGTGGAGGTTATTTCATCAAAGCCACTGCATACAATATCTCATGTATGAACTTAAAGATAAATCGACAAAAAAGTTAATGTCATATGGAAAAATGTGCAAAGTAATGCAAATTTAAACCTTTTGTTTTATTCAGGGCACAGCTTTGCCCTCTGCCTGTTGACATATTTAATATAGATGACAAAGGAGTAGAAGTCCTTCTGGGTTTTGTAGTCAGAAATCTGCTGACTACATTCCTTGGATTTACTGATCATCTGATTGGTTGAATGTGAAGTCAGTCCATCAGAAGTATTTTATGAAATTCCCTTTAAACTCATAAATATAAAAAAAATAACTATGATCGTCCTAATACAACTTTTTTACTTCCGATACGATACCTATATTGTAGCCTTCGGTATCGGCCAATACCGATATTGATCCGATATTAGCACAAATTTGTGCGTGACAAGTTTTGCACTCAGCCGCAATATCTTTTTCAAACTTTAGTGAAAAATTCTGCCACACAACCAACAACTCTCCTACTTCTTACTACATTGTTTGTACCTCAGTACACACTGTTGTTGTGATCACATAGGCTCTGCATGCTGGATACGGGCGCTGCTAGCTAGAGGTGCCGGAGTGGAGTCTGGAATGGACTGCTTGTATCGGAGTGCTGATATCTGAGATTTTAGATGCAGGCCGATATTGGACCCATATCCAATGTCAATAGTGTATTGGGACAGCCCTATAAAATACAAAATAAAAAGGCCACAAACTTGGGCTTTTACCAAGCCCACTACCTGCAGAGGCTTGTTCACCTATAAGGATTTATGCAGTATTAGTTGAAGAGACAGTAAACTTAAATGTGACAGTCAATTGGTTAGGAAAAGGGAGGGAATAAGCAATTCAGAAGAGACTTACCTAACACTCCTTTCTTCAAAAGGAAAGCTTAATGTTTGTTTTGTTTTGTCTCCGCCGGATCAGATTAGATCTTTCGTCTAAAGCTCAAAGTCTTTACTTTGCGAGCTGGAGTTTCTTTTAAATAATGAAAGATGTATAACACTTTGTTTGGCTCTGGCGTCACAGTTGTGTGTGGATTAACATGGAAAAATGGAGATGTTCTTCTCAGTCGCAGCCTTCCTGAACCATTCTCACCTCTTGCCTTCCCACCTTCAATTTTAACACTTTCCTATCATGTGTAATCTAGAGATTTAGTGCTATTAATATTTGCAAGGTGTGGATTAACTGTCCTTACTGTAATCTAATAAGACAATTTGTAATTAGTTAGTATTTTGATGATGAATGATGCTTGGGATAGGTTAATTTTGTTGCCAACCAATACTATGTCAATGTCGCAGTGTGCTGATGCTAATTATGCCTCATGTGAGATATAGCTAATAACTGAAAGACTTGACTGCACAGTAGATCAAATTTTATTGATTTCAGCCCTTTTCCATCATGAGCTGTGGATCCCAGGGAAGACTGCGGCAGATATTTTAATTTCGCTCGGTGGGTTATTATTAAAGCATTTCTCGTCCAAACATGGTAAGAATTTGATTAAGAATTTCTATTCTATTCTACCTGCTGCTCTGTATCTGAATCACTTCATAGATCGGCAACCAAGAACTCCAATTAGCAATATTCTCTCATTGACTACTGTTCGGGATGTCTCAACACAATTATCCCTGAATGAAGCTTTATTGAACACCTGAATATTTAGTAGTTGGGAGATAATGAACACCTACCAGAGGCTGCTGCAGGAATAGCTTGTGCCTTGAATGCTAAACAGAGAGGTCTGTCATTATTTTTCCTTTCATTCTTTATTGGGTTACAGTTTATCAGGAATCAGAGGATTGTTGCACCTCACTATTCGTGGAGAAAAGGGTTTTGTTGCAACAAAATAAAGAGGTAAGAGAAAAGAAAATTCAGTTTCTCTGGTTAAGTTTGAGAAATTTTTAAACTTATTTCAAACAAGTCAACATAGACAACTAATCTATCTTAGCTGGTGTCTCTCTGATATCCACAGCACAAGTTTAGTATTTTGAATGTACTCAAGGTAGATCCCAGACCAAAGTGTTATTGATTATTTCATATTATTTCAAAGCCTACAAGTGTATTTAACAATTACTGTCTTATAAGTGTGAAGACGCTTTTATGGTTGGCATTTAAAAGCGTTTGGCTTGCCCCATTGGTGCGTCATGAAAGTCTATTAAATCCAGTCCTCTTTAGCCGGCCAACTGATCTAAAACAAAACAATCTGTGTTTATTGGGTAATTTTCTTTTGCATCTTTAAATACAGTCCTTTTTATAAATTCCCAGTTCTCACGATGTCCAGTCCTCTCACATACTGCTTACAACCAAATTTATAACCACTCCTAAAACCAAAGTCATGACTCTGTGAAGTAAAAAACACACGTATTGATTTTCTCTCAGCGTTGATTTCTCGCTGAAGCGCTTTACCAGTCATATCTCATCCTTTGGACAGTGGCTCCAGCTGCCTTGCACACTGTCTGCCATTTTATGTCCCCCTGTGTCTTTTCTCTTTTTTTACTGTCCCCGCTAATGCATATCTCCCATTGACCTTTGCACTTGCAGCTCAGTTTGACTGGCACTTTGCTGCTGACGGATAGCACACCTTAGATCACACGACAGGCCGGCTGTGCAGACGAGACCCGTGTTCTGTTCTTTGCCTGTACATGTTGTCCACAGTTAGCTGTCAGATAGGGCTAATATGGCAAAGACAGAGAAAAACAGGTCAATGTTATCAGCTCTAGCACATTACTGTGAGCTTTGTAGCACTGTCCATTCACAGACAACACCATTGACTTTTCCCTTTTACACCTGAACTAATCGTCTAGATGAGATTTTTGATAAAAATCTGATGGATGTGCTGCAGAGATGAGGCTGACATATCTTGGGAAAATGAAAAGCTGTTCCCAAAGCAGCGGGTAGAGACCACATGAGGCTATCACTGTAATTAACATGTGATCCGATGCATGGAAAAGCCATGAAGGTTTTAAAAGCATTCAAAGCAGTTTGATTAGTCTTTATCGTCCTTGGTTCAGTCATTATGACTCTCTGCTTCATTGCCTAACCTCAACCTTGTAACCCTCTCACTTGGTTACAACCTCACCTTCATTCCCATTAGCAGAGCTAGCATGGCCAGCTTTTGTTCCTCCTTGCATGTAAATGTCTGAATGTCTGTGCTGGGTACAAGTTGCTTCAGTCACGTGGTGAAATTTATTGCTTTGAATGACCAGCCTAGCTCTTTTAGATATTTCAGGTTTCTCTAGACTTTTCATCCACATTATGGTGAAAGAAAAACAGCTCTATTATCTTGGCGAATGAAAGTGTCAGATTTTAAAAGACAAACTATGAGAGGAGAGAGAGGGACTTAGTACACTAATGTAGCATGTTTTGGTGATCTGGACTGTACAGATTCTGACCTGAAAACTGTTCTGCTTTCACCGCAGCGACTTCAGATTAGCTGTTTCTTTATTTTGCCAACAGACTGCTTTGTCTGTAAATGTGTGAAAAAAAAACAAACAAACTCATAATGCTTGGTGAATAAATTTGCAAAACCTCAAGGTCTTGTCTAAAAATAGTTTGTTTTGTCGGACCAGCAGTCCAAAGTTAATAACATTTCTTTTTTAATGAGACAGGAAAATACTGAATCTCCTCGCCAGAGTAAAACTGGAACAACATGGCTTTCGGCGCTACACCAGAAGAAGAAAATTTAATTTAGTAGTTTAATACCATTTTCTTTTCATTGCCGAAACAATTAAATTGTTTCAGCTCAGCACTTTTGTTTGCATGCCCAGTGAGGGTTAAACTGTTACATTTTCAATTTCATTCTTTGGCAAATGGGTGAACTCAACCGTGTAAACTGTTTTAGGTGGGAAAATGATCACCACAGAAGGGGCAAGCCCCTGTGTTTACTACCCATCCAACCTTGAATGATGGGACGTCACTGGAGTATCTGCAAACACACACAAAAACAAATGCTTTAATAACATTTGTTGAACTTACACTGGGCGGAAGGAAACAGTTTCTGTTCCTGCACTTAGTTGAGCTTTATGTAAATGGTCCTTAAATGGTTGATTTTGTGCCTGCACACACACCTGGAAAGTGATCCTACAAAGTAAGTCTTCAAGATCTGAGTCACCCCATGGCACTGCATGGTTGATTGCATACGCCGCTTCACTGAGGGCTGCCCCGGTTCACAGCTTATAATTGCCTTCCCCCCTTTCACAGGTGCCGCTTCAGTAAATATGACAGCCTCATTTTAATGTGCCGCGGAAAACACAACCCAAACACTAATGCCGCTTTGCATGCCTGAGCAAACGCTGCAGGTGTCGCCTAATTATATCACCCACTTGTTCTCTAAGCTGATCCGTAAACAGCGGGATGAGTTCATCTTCGCCTCCTTGCTTGTCCAACGATCAGATCTGCTTTGATTGATTACATCAAAGCACGGACTCATACTTCCACATGGCTCGTTTTGTGCCTGGAGACTGATAACACAAGTCCAAAACATGATGAAAATATTAGTCTGGAGGGTCTGTTTGGTTGGTGACATTCATAGCTGCGTGGGGAAAAAGTAATGAAAATATCAAGGTTGTTATGTTCTCAGGATAATACTTGTTTAAATTACACTGCACCTGCGGTGTTCAATTTCGCCTCTAACTTTTTACTGCTTAGCTAACAATCTAACAGGGGTTTGCAGGGAAATAATTACAGGTTTGTTTTTGCACAAGAAGTAGATTTTCTGTTGGTGATTTCTTTGTTTGGCTCAACATAACCACCACTACTGAGACTGATTCATTGATTCTGTGTTTCCTGCTCTGACAAGAAGTGATAAGATCCTCCCCTTGTGAATACCGAGGTTGGGGAGTGTTGAGACAGGCGTTAGCGATGATGGAGACAAATATGTAATCCTTCCCAAAATCAATGATTATCAGTGTAAAGAGGCAGATGAACAAAGGCTGCAGCTTTTTGCACTTATCTGCTCAGTACACGCTGAGGGAATTTTGAACATAGAGACAGCGACATGGCAGATCTCGGTGCAGTTTGACATTTTAGACTTGGATCAGTTTGAGATAACACCTGTCAGAGGTTAGGGAGGATGGATAAGGTCTTTGTGAATCTTTTGACATAAGACACTTTGGTATGTTGTGATTTGGTGGAAAATGTGACTGTCCTTTTTCTGCAGGTACTAAAAGCCTTGAAAATATGAAGAGGTTGGTTTTTCAAAATGAGCATTTGCATCAGGGCCTTGAAGCTTCCAGTTCGTGACCTTTTAAGTGTGTTGTCTGCTATTCTTATGGACAATCAATAAAGTAAGAGTTTAGGGTTCCCATTAACAAGAGTGATCCAGTGCAATGAGGCTTCAATTTTCATCATGTTGTTTGTACATGAAGATGTACAAGCATTTGCTACATAAGCAGGACTCAGCCATTGCCATGTTTTATTTAGGGGGCAATATAATGTGGGTGGATTAAGTAGAAAACCCTTGAGTGTTGAATTGCAGGACTTACATCACCACCTATTCAGGATGTACTCTTCAATAATGGCCACCTCACTGTGCATTAACTTGCTGAGGACTATCTACTTCAGAAATCAATTATTTGACAAAAAATATATTGATTAAAAGCCTTGCTTCATTTACAGGAAGTAATGGTAGGACATATTCACGGGGAGTAATAGGACACAGTTCTACATAGTGTATGATCAGAGCTTTACCATGGCAACAGTCTGTCGTCAACGATCTACAGTGTACTGTTGTGAAATAACACGCTTTAGAGTGCTTAAATTGACCAGCTGGAATCCAATATTCACAATTGCAATATCCTTTAAACTGCTTTAAAAATAAAAGAATAAATTACATGAGAGTAATTATCTTTTATGTAGTATGTATTGGTGGAAATCTATCTCAACACTGATGCTGTCTCTGACAAACATCACTGAGCCATTAGTGGTCTTAATAGCAAAGACCAGTGCTTGGACGCCTTTCTCCTGAAATCTTTAACTCACGTCAATATTTACAGCTCCTCTTTTGTGTATTCCATGTAAAACAAACCCATTTTGTAATTTATATCTTACATTACAAAACAAAAAAACAATTGGTCTTGTCAGGTCTATCAAGGCAGACTTTTAAGCCTCACTATCTTCCAGACATGCCATGCTGCAAATTGTTTCGAGTGGTAATTGGTCAGACAATGTGTGGCGTTAATGGAACAAGCTGTAGAGTGCCATATTTACCTGTCATCAGCATTGACATAATCATGGCCTGTTGTAGCTGGGTGGATGCTTTAAAGCACAATCACCCCCCATTTCTCTTTTTATCTCACATGTGCTTGTCACCCTCACACCTCCACCCTCACTGCTGTTAAAGATTTATGGGTTGGATATAGTATCTCTATACTGGAGAGAGGTTATGATCGGTCAATCATTCCCACATGTTTTATTAACCATTGGTCTACCAGGGGATGTGATGTATGGACATCCAAGTCAAGGCATAGTGAAGCCTGGAGCAATGCAGCCCTCTGGCTGTTGGAAACTTAGCTTCATAGAGGCTCCAACTGGCCACTGTGTGTGTGGCTTGAATGCTATGTGATGTGACTGTTGCTTCATTGATGTACTTCCCACATGTTGGCAGTGCTACTGTGAGCTGTATGTCACAGAGAGCCCAGAAGTCACCCAAGCATCCACCAGTTAGGTCAGCGTACTCTCAATGCACTACAGTGAACATGGCAGCTTTGAAATGTAATGCTTTGAAGCAAAGCAGTGAGTCTTCCTCAAGGGACTTAAGTATTGACTTTGACTTACTATACTGTGGTGCTACAGTATGTTTAGAGATGTATTCCACCTAGATTCTTTTAAGGTGTTTGTTTTGAAAAACCTAGAAATTACATACAGTCTACTGAACAACATGAGAAGCAAACTCGTCATTTTAGTCTGTGTGCGATATACAATACCTGGTCACTATCAGCAATGAGGTCATTGTTGTTTTCCTGTCTTTTGCCTTTCTGGTTCATTGACAAGGTCCAGGCTGTGAAATTGCTCATATAATTACCTGTTATGCTGCATCTGTTCATTGTTAATGACTCTAGTTTGGATCCATATACCTTCTTGACCAGAGATCAGATGTATAGCTTCAAGCGCTGACCAGATTTCAGTTCAGCACTCCCGGGGTTTACTGGAGTTTGGCCCATGGCTCTCTCTTTTTAGGTGCTCATATTTTGAATGAGAAGCTAATTGTTCTCCCAGTGTTTGGACGGGGTAGTAGGACTCCCTGAGAAATAATACGTATTGGCTAATGGAAAAAAGACAACAAAAACCAAACAATTGATATGAGAAATAATATATAAGAAACTGATATGAGAAATAATCCATATTGGCTGATTAATAAAAAAATGATATGATAAATAATACGTATTGACTGATCATTAAAAAAATGATGTAAGAAATAATTTGTTTTGGTGGATTACACTTGTGGTTTTTACAATGGAAGCATATTTTGCTTGTTTAAGGATTTTATACCTTGTGCTGTTGCCAAGCGCTGACTCATCATCAAAAAGTATCGGGTCTTTCTCTAACCACAGCATTGCTAATATTTGGTACAACATCAATCCCTCTTATGCAATACTGCATTAATACACCAATTCAATCAGGGGAAAACAGTTGGAAAAGGTATATATTAACAACATATCATCATATTTTGCCTCACTCACTCAAAAATCCCACAATTTATCCTGTTCCTTAGCAACTGAAGGGCGTTCGGAACAAAGTCTTGCACAAACTAAGATTAAGTGCCTGGCTGATTGAGTTTCAGATTTTCCACTTTGCCACTTTTGCAAGGTTTGTCTGTTTATTGTTGGTTGCTAGACGGACTGTGTTTAAAGTCTGAAAACAGCAGGAAGCATCATATCAGAAAAGGGGAATGAAACGACTCGTGATCAAATCAACTCGTCAAAGAAATCCAAAGCAATAAGAGTGAGAAAAAGGAGAAGTCAGATGAAGTACATCAGTTGATATCAGCAAGTGTTTTTTCTGAAGTTCCCTGCACTGACACTTTCGACATATTGATATAATGTGGCAATGATGTTTTCCTGGCTGAAGTCCAGAGGCGACCCAGAAAAACAGACTCTGCAGTCTGTCTTTACTGGAACAGGCTAATAAACAAGCTGATTTAGCATATAGGACACACGCAATCCAACTATCCTTGCTCATTGTACACAGAACAATATTAGCCTTCAGCCTCTCTTTAATTTCCCATCCATGTAGTTCTATTGTCTGTGTCCATTTTTCACTTACTGTGGACAAGACTCGCATACGAATAACTCTCAGCCTTGCTAAAGACCATCCACATGAAACAGAATATGCTCACTGAAGAGTATTTTAATTTTCAAATAGATGTTTTTATCTGTAAGTAGAATTTTGTCCGTCACATTCCCATTTTATGCTGTTGACGGACTGAATATAAATGAATGCATGTGAGTTTTTCCATCATGGGAATAAGCGCCTTCTTGTTGAGCATTTATCACTGAGTAAGTGGTGAGTAGCTGTTGCTCAGAAATAATACACCGCCGTGAGGATTGTAATTAAGGTGGCTTTGTGAATTTACATCAATAATATACAGCTGACATCATTTTTAATGGAATAAAAGTAGGAACAACGGCACTGAAGATCTTTCTCCCTCTGTTCAGAGCTGAAAATTAATGAAAAAAATTCATCCGTTTTCCCTTTGAATGTTTTGGGTTTAATGTTGTGTGCCAAGGATTTAATGATAATTTCATGAAGAAACTCAGACTCTTTTTTTGATCTGTTAAGAAATAATTCATCCTGAGGTGGATGTCAGGACTGTGCAGGGACAGTAGATGGTGGTGTCTTCAATCATTGTGCAGCAAACACAGACTTTAGGAATCAGCGTCAGCATCTCTTCGCTCTCTTCATCAGTCAGCTACATCTCAGTGGAATCAAAATCCTCTTAAAGAAAGCATTTAATGAAGTTGTTTGGATCAATACTAATTCCTTTCCCCCTTTCTATACTCTTACACTGGTGTGTGCAAAAACCACAGACGTATTGACTCCCTTTCATACCCTTTACTCTATTCATCAAACCCTCTTACGCTCAGCTTTGAGAAAATAGAAGCCAATCTGAAGAGAAGATAATTTTCTATAGGAATTTTTTGTTCTATGTGTGAAAGTATTTTTCAAGGATTTTGTCAAAACATCAACACTTTTATACTGTAAGATTACCATATTGAAAAAGCGCCTGGAAATCCTCTTTTCGTCTCTAGTTAGAAGCATAAGAGACTTATTTTTTGTGTCTTAAGTGGATTAAAAGACCAGTCATGAAGAAAGCCTTTTCCTCTTGGTCTTTGTCCTACTTTTCCAAGCAGAAGTGTTTTTCCTTTTTTTCTCATGAGTGTCAACATAAATCCTTCCTAAAGCCTGAAAATGTTGTATTTTATGATGTTGTTATGATTTTCACAATAAGAATGAGGACTGCTTTTGTCAGTAACAAACAAAAACTCAAGGTTACTAATCTATTTTCATGGATTTTACCGTCATTCAACATCTTCTTGCATTTTAAAACCTGCCTCGACTTAATGTCTTAAGTTTATGTTGATAAGATGTTGTGCATATTCCACTGTAGCACCACACCTCCTCCTCCTCCTTCTCCTCTGCCTCTGCCTCCGTCTCATCTCCCCTCCCTCCTTACTCAAATCCACTCCCTCTCATCTTCCCTCCCTTTGCTTTGCAGAGAGGCAGTCAGTGTGCCTGAAAGAGCCAGAGAGAGCCAGAAACTGTCAGATGAGCAGAGTAGAGTTTTCTCCCTCTGCTTCCTTCTGTTTTCACTTGTATCTTTATCTCTAAGAGGAGAAGAAAGGGAAATAAGAGGACAGTGCATTGTTTGGACCTCTTTGAATCCGCTTTTTTAAAAGTCTTGGTGACCCTGAAGAACAGTGAGATCTTTACAGACTTTCAGCTCTTCTCAAAGTCCCCAATTTTGACATCACCCAGACTGGATTTAGGGAGCAAGCGGGCAGTAGACGGGAGCCAGGCGGCGCCCGGCCCGTGCGTGTGGGCCGGTGTAGCACTGGAGTGGGTGCAGGGGAACTGGAGTGCAGGGCCGGGTGGCGGCAGAGCTGGTCCTGGCGGCGGCCACGAGGGCGAGGAGACCGGCTCAGGCTCGGGCTCCGGGTTCGGGTCGGGGTATGGTGGTGGCAGCACAGAGTGGGCCGAGGGCGGAGCAATGCTGAGTGCAATCTGGGAGACGGAGGGGCTGCAGACGGTGGGCATCGTGGTGCTGGTGTTTGCCTCAATTAAGCTGCTGCACCTTCTAGGGCTCATCAGCTTCTCAGAGGGTAAGAGACGGAGCAGGAGGAGAAGGAGGAGGCATGAGAGAGGAGAAAGAATTTGGAAAATCACACAGAAAGTGCTTTCTCGGAGAGATGTAATGTGTTGTGAAAATTGCGAATGCATTTTATTCAGTCGTTTCCCTCCTCAATTTCCAGCTTCTGTTGCCTTGACACATCAGGGTCACTCTTTGGTCGCTGGAAACAAGCGTTAAGTTTAACAGCAGTCTGAAAACTTGAGGAGTTAATGGAGGTCAGAAAACCAAAGAAGGAAAGACTCAATGACTCAGAATAAGAAAAAAACTAATGGACTGCCTTTTCTCATGCAGTATGAAAACAGAAATGTAATGTGTGAGCTTGAGAGGGAGGGAGGAAGATACAAGCAGAGAAACTGTGTCAGTTCAGAAAGATCGAAAAGCTTTAGAGGGAAGTTTCTGGTTGAATTTCTAGAGCTGAAAATTGAGACCACATCTCTTATTTCCAAGTGTCTGAGTTCCTATTTTTCAGTGTGAAAGGGTAGTTCCTCTCGTTTTGTACACATAGATTTTCAAAATGTGCCTAGTCCTCTTAACTAGCCCAAATGGCTCGGATACTACAGAGTCTATAAGATGTCTGTTTAAATAGGAGATATGAAGTGGTCGTGTGGAATTGATAAAAGATGTAAAAAGAAAAAAAAAGCTGACCTGACCTGAGAGGAGAGTTAAATAAGGTCTGAGGCATCTGTGACCACGGACTGGCGTTGCTTGTGTAATTTCCAAAGCACAGAAGAGTGTTGCTTCATTTGTCGGGAGCTGTGGAGCTCACTCTCCAAGTTATAGTTTCTCGCTTCACTTAACAGCGGCGAGTACAGACCTGCTTTCTCCTCGCTCTTTATTAGCTATCACAGCCGACATCTTATTGATTATTTTCCACGGCATGATGATACAGATGTCAAACTAAATGTGTCGAGCGCTGTTTGCCCATTTGTGTGATTTGTATTCCACAGAGGTGTCACGGTGTAAGATTACATGCTTGAATATCTCTCATCAGAGCCCATAGCTTTTGACAGACAATCAATAGAGGTATTGATGATGCGCATGTGTTTAAAGTCAAAGAGCTGTATGGAAAGCGAAGAACAATAATTAAGTGATTGTGTGAACTTCACATACACTTCACTTTAGTTTCTTTTTACTTTATTGATTGAGTGCATGTGGTATTTTTCTCACTAATTATCACTTCTGAGAAAATGGTGAACACTCGAGAGCCCAAGGTGACATCTTGAAGTGTCTTGTTTTGCTTAACCGGTAGATAATAACTCCAGACGACTCATTTCAAGTAGATGAAAAACAGTGACTCACTGTATCATAAAGGCTCAAACAAGCAGAAAAAGAACTGTCAAATGAATTTCTCGCCTATCTAATCATCCAGAAGTAGACAAATGATTAAAAACTTTACTCCAAATTCAAGACCTACTTGCTTTAAAGTGATATTCCTCACCACATTTTCTCTGCACCCATTTCTTTTTATATAAACCCAACAGCCGCAAGGATTTCCTTTGTTTTTGACACAGATCCCTTTAAGCAGCTGTCACCTTCTGCTATCACTAAAAGTGTTTATTTTTGACCTTTTGTTTTCATAAAACCGCATGGGGAAAGACTTAACTTAGCATTCATGCTTTGTTTAACATTCACACAGTCAGACATGATCGCAGCTGGGAGCTACCCAGTATGATCACATCCCTCTACGTCCACCTGAGCAGCTCCTCTGAGGCTTCATTGGCAATGAAAAGGTCTTACTTTAAAGCTGTTGAGTAAATACTGAGGGAATATCTCAGCTGGGCTGCAGACTCAAACTGGCAACTTTCCAGGTACAGAGGAAAGCTCGAGCTGAGGGTGTGCTCTGGATGTATTGCATGATCTCGATTGAAGGCTCAGCTGGCAGTGAAGAGTAAGCTTTGTGAAGATCAAGTCGCAGACTTAACATTGTGACGAGAGGGGGGTGGGGGTCATGTCTCGGCTGCAGGGACGAGACATTACTCTGATTACTTCTACGGCAGATTGTGAGGACTTCAGACCTGAACACATAGTTTGTTCCACAGCCTCTCTCTGCTTTGGCTTGCATCCATATTGGAGAACATGAAAAGATCATTTCATTAGCTTGAGCATTATCACCAGTGCATTTTTTATATTGAGCAAGCTAAGAAAAGAGATGGATCCAGTTAAGAGATAAGTGCTTGTTTTCACTTGAATCACCCCAAAAGTGGTTTGTAAATTCATATGCAGCTGGCTAACCAAAGCTTCGACTTTGTTGAAACCCTCTTAGGAGAAATTCTGCTGATTTTACAGAAATTTGGTATCACCCAAGTAGTTCATCTTCAATTTTCTCATCTGTTTTGTAAGAATGCATTGTGACACACACACACTCTCGTACTTTGCACACATATGTTCAGTTGTGCTCCCAACGCAGAGGCATTAGCCCAAACTGCTGAGCAAAGCCTCACAGGGTGCAGACTAATCAGAGTGTCACACAATGATAAATAATTCTCTGTTTCAGCCGTACACAGCAACACCCCAAACCCCAACCCCTTATCCCCCTTCTATAACACACACAATCACACACTTTAACAAGTACACAATAACCACAGCAGGGACGGAGCCTCGTGTCAATTTGGATCTGCCATTTGTTATTACCAGGAAGAGAGCTGAGAGTGTCTTAACACTGATATCCATCTAACAAAGTTCTCGTGTTCTCCATGTCCTTGATGGGGATTTATGGCCAGGCAGCAGAGAGAGTTAGAGTCGGCGCTGACCCGCGCCGCTTTTGCTGACAATCGCCTGTTTTCACTTACAGTAATGAGCTGGTCCCGGTTGTGTTGGGTCAGCGAGTTGGATCATGAGTGTCTTGAGTGGAACCAGTGATGCAATGAAGTACGTGCAGAGACCGAACCATATTGAGGATATAACCTCAAGTCTTATGACAATTTATAGTCAGAGTTACTGTGTCCCTAGTGCTGTGACGACCATTTTTTTTCTTGTTTGTCCTCATAAATCTAAAAACTGTGAAGTTTGACTCCAGAGTATAAACAAGTTATAAGAAACAGTAAAGAGCAAGACTGTTTTTTGACATGATAAGGTACTTTTGTGACTTTAAATCAAAGTTTTAGAGTAGCCTGTAGTTGTTTCTGCTGTGCTGTTCTGCTCTATCTCAAAGTAGGGCCCAGGTTGAAAAATACCAAAGTTCCCCTTTGAGTCAACTACATGTTGTCACCATTGCTAGTCAGCAGTAGCACTGCTCACTGGTTTAAAGGAGTATTCATATTTTTGTCACTAATAGCCCAGAATGCAATCATGTGTTGTGTACAAGCTGTAGCACAGCCACTAACCACTTACCAAGGATGTAGCTGCAATACACACTCTGCCATTGTGCTGTATCTCTCAACAACCTGGATGTAAACAGGGTGACGGATTTCTTCTTATAGTGCAACAAGGTCTAGAAATTTGGGTAAAGTTGTATGCAGGTGTTGTCTGGTGATTGGCATGTAACCACTAAACCCAGCTGTGTGGAGTCATCATATGCATGCTGGAAATTATCCCACAAGCACCAAAGGCTAGTGGAGCTAGCTATGCTAACTTTATCCAAATTTGGCAAACCAATTTGAAACACCCACTGACTCAGAAGTCTTTATTTTAGCTCTATCAAATAAATTGCGCTTAATTTGTGACCGTTTTTGCAGTGTTTTCTCTCCTTAAGGCAAGTTGTAATTTTAATTTCTGTTCACGCAAGTTGCTTCAGAAAATCTCAAATTAAAAACACTCAGAATGCAAGACGGGAGCTATATCAGGGTCAGCTGAGAGTATGTTGACTCTCAATTGGCAGGTTGGGGGTTCAATACCAGGTCCTCCTGTCCACATACTAAAGCATTCATGGGTAAGACACTTAACCAGAACTTTCACTCATTGGCTGTGCCAGCTGTGCAGGAATAGGATTGGTCCATTCTAATGGGCGTTTTGCATAACAGCCTCTGCCATCAGTGTGTTAATATGGCGTGGATGGGTGAATTAGATGTGTAATGTAAAAGCACTTAGAGTGGTCAAGAAGACAAGAGAAAGTGCTGTATAAACACAGTCCATTTACCATAAACCATGTAAGTGCTATTTACAACTGACCATTCAATGACTTTGCTGATTCAGAAATTTCCTCAAGTGATGATAGGGATGGACGTTTCAACTTTAGAAAAAAAAAGTCTTGAGTTCATTTGCAGGAAATTCTGAAAAAAATATTTAAGGACCTTCTTCAAGATTGCGATAACCTCAATTTGTTTTTATTGTAGCTCCACTGTTTATTATCGCACGCTTCAACTAGATAAGCCAATGTCAGCAAGCTTGCAAATGAAATTAAGGCATTAAGTTGATTAAAATGATTAAAATTGAGCTTGTGAGCTTCACAGCATATATTTAGCTCAAACCATTGCTTTACCATGGTGTTGCCAAGACTCTCAGTTTAGTTTATCATTTAGACAGTCTCTCCTGATCAATCCTCGGGAAGCTATTGGGGGCCAAATTTTAATGTTACAGACTGATTCAACACTCAGCTAAGCCTGCTGAATTTTTTACCATGCAAAATTATGAATGACCTTTTTGCTGTTGTTTGGTGGCATTCGGTTGTGATCTAACAGCCTGTCATCGATAGTCACATCATGTTGTTGTTGTTGTTGTTGTGAAAATGGCTCGACAGTGGGGACTCATAACGCTGTTTTGAGTCCAGAGCTCACAGTGTCAGTCACGGGTGTCTTCCAGTCTTTGCCTTTTGTACAGGTTCAACACAAACCACCAGTGAGCAATTTGAAATACTATGAAACTCTTCAATGGATGTTTCATTTTGTTAAGTGCAGAAGTGTGTACACTTCCAGTCAGCACGGTCTCATTAATGGGTGCGCTTTAACTCTGCTGCATATCAACGGGATTGTTTCTTTGTCGAGTCAAATTTCCATCTTCAAAGTTCAGCCAGCAGAACTGCTTAACATCTTTTTTCATTATTTCAAATGCTGGCATTTCAGATCTGTCCAGTTCATTTAATTTGGGAGATGAATCTTATTGTTGCATAACTTTGCAGGTTTGATTTACAGACCTAATATACTGAAACAGAGTGATTAAATATGACGTGTTTTGCCAGCATTCCATCCACTTCCAAATCTATTTAAAGGACAACAATCAACTGGCCTAATTATCCTTTTGGTCATTTTCTATGATGCCTTCTTAAAGCAGTGACATGATTGACTTAACCTTTGCTTAAGCGTCTAACATGTGGGTCCCTGTGGTGTCTTTAGAGGGACGGAGGGCATGGCAAAGGAGATTATCGAAAGGAACTGGACTGGATGTCAATTCTAGCCAGAAAACCAAGGACAAGGATCACTCCAGCAATCAATTTGGATGAAAATGTAACAGATAATAAACTGTGAAAGACTGAGGATGATGGATGCGCCCGTGCTGAGAATCTGATGTGGATGATTGCAGTGCTTAAAGGCTCCCAATGGTGGAGGCAGATTGTATTCTTTAAGATGTATTTAATTAAATGACCTGTTCGCTATGGCAGTGCAGGGGTGTAATATAACGCACAGTCCTTCTAACATACTGGTTTTAGATGTTATTAAACCCAAACTGTATGTGTTAGTCAGCGCTATATTTATATGGAGATAGTGAGAGCTAAATTAGAGGAAAATGCTGCATACTCCAAAAATAAAACAAAGGAAAACACAAAGTCTCATGAGCTTTAAAGCTGCATGTGTGGTATTTATTTTCCAATCAAGGTTACACTACCGTTCATTCAGCATAATCATAACTTTAATTAGCAGACAAGATGAATAATCATGTCGCCACATGAATCCAGCAACAATATTTTCCATAATTAAGGCAAGGACATAGGTTCTTATGAATAATGCAGGAGATCCCTTCCTCCAACTGGATTGAATATTCCCAGCCTCGTAGTCTAATCTAATATCCAGAGATGAAAAAAAATATATATATATACGTGTTTGAATGTTTCTTTTGTGAAGTCTGCGTATTGGCTCTCTGCCCCTGATTGAACCTCAGTGTCTAATTTTCATGCAAACCAAAAGAGATTTTCTATTCTTTCCTCTTGTAATCTATCTGATGAAAGTAAAGCGATAGAAATGGCCCGCTCTTTCTGCAAACTTCATCAGTTTAATGTAAAGAGAACTGGGACACTGGGATGAAAAGTGCTGACTTTTATATAGTGAACTTATCTCATTACCAGGAACTTCTATAGGATATTGAAACTGCACTGAACAGAGCTATAATGCACACTGAGTCATTTAAAATATTACCCATCATTAGGTGGGAAGCTGGTCAGACCTTACAAGCAAATAAAAAGTAGAATTAAAATTAGTATAAAAATAACAAGAAAATAATGCACAGAACAGAAGACACAAATATTGATTAGCACTGTTAATCATTCTGTCAAAAAAACGGGCTTCCAGCTGATTAGGATAGTAATGATTAAACATCTCATTGTCTTAAAAGCAAGCAAGTCAAGAAGGTAATCAGCCCTCTTCGCCAATTCTGATGCCAATTTTGGTTGATTTCATGCAGAACTGGCTTGCAGACTCAAACAGCAACAGATGCTGTTCTGCCCCAGCTTAGTTATCTTGTTTGACTTTTGGCTGAGCTACAGTTTTATAAAGAACATTAGATTCCAGCTAAAGAGCTTCTTTGGGAACTTGAGCTGTTTATGTGAAATACAAACAGTAAGTATCTTGTCTGATTAAATCCCATAAATCCGTTAATGCACGTTTGTGAATGCATCAGCGTGAGCTTCCTGTGCGCCATTGGGACTGAGATGTTTCACTTGGATGTGATCTCTCCTCAAAGAGTGTTTTTTTTTTGTTTAAACTGGATAAAATTTTCCAGCTTTCTCTTACCTTTTAATGTGCTCAATGATAGCAGTTACAGGGCAGAGGAGCTCTCCTTCCAAGGTTTTCTCTGAGACAAACTATTATTGAAACTCTTCCAGCTGACAAATGACAGCAATTAAAAGCATCGACTGCTCTTTCCCCTTGGTCCAATGAATGTTTCTGCCCTCTGATGGTGTGTCATTACGGCCAGTGTGAGCACATGCTCCCCTCCCATAAAGAACCTTGGCTTCAGTCCCAAGCACAGCAGTCAGTCTCGCTTGGTTCAGAACAGCAAAGGGCGACATCTTATTTGACGCCCTTCTTATTGCAAACACCAGACTAGCTTTTTAAGACTTTGAAGCACAGATAATTTTCATGACATGTATGAAAGAGCAGAAGCAAAAATTCATTCAAGCTGATTGAACTGTAGTTGATTCTAACCTCCCCTATGTTTGCTCCATTCAAAGTCTTTTTAAAGTCAGATTTATTTGGCAGTAAAGTGAAAAACTTCTGCTCCCAAAGATGAATAAATTCATATATCAGTGGAAAAATTTTAATTGCAAAAGAGTGTTTTTATACCCAGGCAGCTTGGGCGAACAGTTGGTCTTTGTAGTCTCAATGGTGGCAGCAGAATTAACACCGGCCACACAGTGACCCTGCCCCCCTTTGCTTTCTTAAGGTGATCTACATTTTTTCAATCTGCCATAAGGAACTGAAGCTTGTTTTATCAAATAACACCAGTGACTTATTGCTCTCTGAGGCTACAATCTTTATACTTGTTCATTTTTGCACTCTTGAAATGGGAACAAATGGCAGACCTCCCTCATTGCCCAACCATGTCATGAATCTGGTATGAAATGAGCATTACTTTGCACACAGCAGAGGGCTCTCTTTTGATTTGCTTTTCTTCTTTTGACTGGGATCTGTATATCTGACTCTTGCAAAATACAGAATTGTTATCAGCAGATGTCCACTGTTGGCAGCTCTGCCATTCTGGATGTCAGCTATGATTTGTTTTGGAGCATTAGGAAATATTTATATTCATTACACCTCAGGAAAGGCAGAGTCAGCCTTTGCAAAAGAGCTAGACGTCTCAATCTTCTTGCCTCAGGCAGATGCATTTATTTTTGCACTACATTTCACCTCTCCAGAGTATGAATTGGTATATTTCTTTTGGGATTATTCTACAAAGCGAAAACTGTGGTGTCACATGCTTCCTTAACATGTTGTAGTCACCTTTAGTTACTTTGAACATGATAAAGTCTATATTCTTTTAGTTTGATGTGGAAGTTTAAGATGCTCTGTAAACAATAAAGTCTTGATGTCCGAAATTTCACATCTGTAAAGCTGAAAACTCCTGTCACATTTACAGTTTTATAGACAACGTCACACTACATGACTAATTCCTTTTTACTCCAATCTGTCCATTTAAGATCAATTTATGTTTTAAATATAGACAGAGATCATCTTTAAGCAGATGTGTCACTGACCGAGCGATAAATCCAAACAACCCTACAACACTTACACCAATTTGGCATTCAGCTGGCAGCGTCAGGAGCAGGTCAGACTGATATCACACTCGCTATTTTATTTTTGGGACTCCTGCCAACAGAGATAAAAATCCACCACTGGCCAGGCCTGCCAGACCCGGCTCGTCTGCTGTCCTTGTCCCTGTCTTGCTGGGTTTAATTTCAGTTAATTGCCGGCTGCCAACTGTCTGTCACATTCATCTCTGTTTTGCTGAAAACACGAGCAGCCTCAGGACTTCAACATGGTGATGAGGTGTTAAAGTGAACCTTCTGTCCTCGTGCTAACCTTTTAAATATTCTGTCTGGGAAAAATAAAAGTCTCCATTGTTTTTGCAGATTGACATAGATTTAATTTGCCCGAAAGTCTTCTGCTGCTACATTTATGTAATTGACCATATGACGATATGACCTTCTCTAAACGTTCTGTGTGTACACTGTTGCTAATACTGAGCTGACCTTTAGAAAGATGGGAGAGTTTAAATTTGAAATCGACAGACGTATTGAGCGGTCTGTAAAGCATGTCAACAATCATTATCTTAGATCGAAATATAATCTGATTACATAAAAACTCCGTAACAGCCATCAGGGAAAGATTAAAAATTTATTTCATAGGTGTAGTTTTCTGAATTAATGGGACTTTTTTTCTCTTTAGCCTGCAATAGATGGGTCCTCCTTTTAAGGACTCAGTAGGTCTTTCATTTTGACTTTGATACCATCTGTCTGGAGATCTACAGGAGACAGATTAAGGTATTAAGAGATTAACACCTGAGAACCACTGACTTTGACTCTCTCAGTAATATCAACCAATAAATGAAGATCTCTCAGGTTGTCAAACACAGATAACGGTCAACAATTTTCTATTATATTTAATAAAAAAACAAATAACTGAAAAATTACTCGAAAGCCATAGTTATTAGCAAACTCTCAAGGGTTACTTATGCTGCGTTCCAGTTACCTTGGAAGTCAGATGTCAGAGCTGGGAATGACGTTACACCGGAGTTGACGGTGTTTCAATTAACAAGTTGGAAAACCAAGATGGACGCCTACAGTTACCCGACAGTTGGATTATGATGTTGTCGTCAAGTCGAGGTTGGTGTGGATCGTCCGACTTTCCAGGTTGGAAATCCGACTTCAGGGGGGTGTTCCAGATGAATTTCCGACTCGGAGCTCGGAAATTCCGACTTCCAAGTACAACTGGAACGCAGCATAAGCTTATGACTTGGGGAAATATGTTGCTGTTGGTGTGACAATACCATGTGCCAGCAAGATGACCCGGTATCAGGATAAATGATGTGGATATATACTAGTTACTGAGGTCCAAACCTTTGTCGAGTATTTGTTCACTTCTAACTGAGGAACCAGCTTGAAGGAAAACTGAGGAGTCATATTAAAGTGAAGGGAGATGGCAGCGCTGGTGTCGCTCACCAGATAAGATCTCTCACAGAAGGGGTTTGTGATGTCCCAGAAATGCTGACACTACGCCTAAAGCGGTGATAAAATCAAACTGAAGCCCAAGAATTTCAATATGAATTTGTATTTTCTCCAGGATATTAAAAACCAAAGTCTGCTCAAAAAGCCTGAAACTAACTTTCCAAACAAGTCTGACTAGTGCTGCTTGTTTCTGCTGTTGCAATCATCCATATATATATTTAATGACTGTTCTGAAATATTTTGCCCTTACATGGGAAGCTGTGGTTATAGTGCAGCCCTGTGAAGAGCTCTTCACCCAAAGATTGACTGCTGATTAGTCTTTGTTTTATCGCAGGGACTGAATACAGTCTATGTTAGGAGTGAGTGAGGATAAGATCAGGTGTATCATCATGAGGAGAGGGTGCTTATCTATGGGAAGTGAGGTTTGATGATGTAATTAGTCTTATCCCGACACACTAACCTGCAATACAGTCATAAAGCATTTTTAAAAAAGGGATTTTGTTTGCTGTTTTTAAATATCTTGTCAGATCAGGCTTTTCTTTTTGAAGCACCAAGTGAAACCAAGAGAAGTCACTGAGACTCATTCAATTAGTCTGAGTCAGCCATCATGTGTAACACAGAGCCCCCGTCACAGAGTGGTCAAAGATCTTCAGACCATTACTACGGCTGTGTAGCCTTGCATGCTGCTGCCTGATATGTAACACTACCATGTAAACTGTCAGAGGATGAGTTGTGCTCCCTTCCCTCGGCGCTGTGGCCTACTTTAGCGTGCCCCACCTTTTTTGGCGCCACTGCACTAAATTAACAGCGAGGAAGGAGCTGGGGTTTCACTGTATGGGTTAAGACAGCTGATGAAACAAACACAGAAACACAAGCTTGTGAGAAAAGATCCATCCCGCTGAGAGAGATGTTCGAGAAGCAAAGTGAGAGAGAAAGTTAAAAAGTAAATTGCAGACTTGATTGATGCTATCACTGACTGAAGTTAATTTCAGCTAATTTCACACAGATTAAACCTTGAATTCCTCAATCATAGAACCATTTAATAATTCTAATTGTAATCTCATGCTAACTAAGAGTCTTTTGCTCTTATTCTATTAAATCATCAGTCCCATGTGGACCCTCAGGGCATCAATTCCCTCTACTTTGCACTTACTGTACACTCACCCTTGTACTATAACAGGGAAGCAGCAAGCTCAGCAGCGGTGTTCATCAAAGTGTGCCTCTCTATTAAAAAAGCGAAGCCAACCGTGCTCGGATGAAGTCATTGTGGTTTGTTCATGTTTATGATGAAAGGTATTTTGTATAAGTCACTCGTTTCAGCTTAATGGATTTGATTGATTTTTTAGTGGATGGGGTTTAACCCTTTGGCTTCATTTTGGCTTTGCTAAATTGAGTTCTGGATCACAAACCTGAAAGGGGTGCAGTTTTTTAACCATGACTAACCATGTTTTTTTAACCAATCAGTCAAGACTCTCAGGGTTTCTACACAGTTGGAACTTCCATACTTTTCCATACTCTACTTTTTAGAATAATTTTTTTGGAAATACCTACTTTTCTATTTTGAGAAAACAGTATTTTAGAACAGTGGTAATAGTCTGGAACCTTATTTCTTATTTCTCATTCCTTCATACTTTTTAAGACCTGGAAATTGATCAAACTACTTCCATACTTTCCAAACTTGTGTAGGAACCCTGCAAGACTCATTCTGGGGGAACTGTTTTATTTTTTTCTTCAGGGTGAGTTGCTTTGTTACCTCATGGAAAAAAAGACCCCACAATCACAAATTATGGCTGTGGCCTACAAAACAGGACATGCTTTTCCCTTTAGAAAATGTGTTTTAGAGCATTTTTCTTTGTTTAATAGCCACATAGGTCCATTCAGTCTCATTTTCTTATTTAGCTGCGGGCTAAAACAGCTGAGGCAGCTTTCTTACCCAGAGCGTCCAATAAATTACATTTGTGATGAGCTGTTCGTTCAGCTACAAGCCGCCGTTGTTGCAGCAGCATCTGCTCAGCGACGTCTGTTTTTGTTCTTTCGAGGAAGGCAAAAGTGTGGCATGACTTCATGTTTGTGCACGTAATGATTAAATCAGTCATTTTTTAACTTATATACTTCTTCAGGACAACAACACCTTCTTCTGCTCGGGGTTTGTTTGTAATTCCAGCAGAATAATAACCTTTGACCTTTGCGGATAATGGCACTTGAGCAAGCACAGCACGAGCTGCACACATTCTAACACACACTCTCAAGCGTCAGATCCATTTTGTCAATACTGTAAAAGGGCAAACATTAATCAGACAGCCATGACTGCATGCTCTTTTCCTGCCCGATTAAAAGCTGTGTCACTCACACTCTGCTGCTGTGTTTCCACTTCAGAGATCAGTTTTTATTTTCCTCAGCCTATCACCAAAATTCACGCTTTTGATTCTTTTACTTACACGGCCGATTTTGCTCTTGAAAATACCGCAGTCCAACACATTGTCCTTGAGCTCCAAGCTCAAAAAGATGCTTCTGTGTCTAACAGTGATGCGTCTGAGTAAAGTTAAGTCAGCTTGCTGTCAAGAGATGATATCTCCTGGTAGCAACAGCAGCATCTGTCTTTTTCATCCTCACTGAGGGCACTCAGATGTCTCCTCTCCACTCAGGTGGAAAGGTGTGTGTCAGGCGAGTAATAAGAACAGATGAGAGCTAAACATCGTCTCTTCATCCTCCAAGTCTCAAAGTTATTGTGTCATTTTAAGAGGGCAGTAACATCCAGCAGTATAAGCTGACAGTGAGCTTTAACAGACTCAGGAGTGTCCTTTCCTGTCTGACAACTTTTTGTGTCCGTTTTACCCAATCCGACCTCAGGGCTGTTAACCATCTGCTCCATGAATATGCTGTGTTTACTTTGCACATTAACAGAGCAAGAGGGCCAAACTTACAGTCCTTTTTTTAAGCAGAGTGAGGAAGAGTTTGGCAAGCGTGAAAGCAGAAATTGAAAATCTTGCTTAAGGGCAGTTCATTTTTTCTAAACTTAGCCTTGAACTCAGCCAGCTTTGCAGAGCTTTTTCTCAGTACATTGAACAGATGAATTAAACAAATTAGAAATTGTATATTTTTTAAATCATAGAAAAAAGTTTAAACATTAAAAGTGACTTTTTGAAATTGGTGGTGATCATTTTAGGTTCGTGTGACACATCCCAGGATTTGTCAGACTGATTACAATCACAAAGGATGATCGTGGCGTGGGATGAATTTTTTAAAAGCCAAATATTATCTGTAGAAATATTTAATGCTAATTCATCATTAGGCTTGGGTCAGCTCTTATTTGCACTGGCTTCACATCCACCACTAAAACCATTTTTCACTTTTCTCTTGCCTCCTAGTTTAACAATGACTCATTTTATCCTTACAACCAGTATTTCACTTCACTGGGCTGCCACGTTTTCACCAGACAGCTATGATGTTTCCAGACAAGTTTTTTAGATTTATGACTCAATTTTTCAAAGCTTTTATTCAATGATGTAAGTGTTAGTGCTCTGTCCCTTTATTGCCTGGTTTTATAGAGTCCCCTACTACTCCCATCGGCAGTCTTGACGCTGAGTTGTCTCGCGAAAAATGTGCTATGAGCTCTACCTCGGCTATTACTTTTACCTGCCATTACAGCCTTGGAATTAATTGAATGTTGACATGATTGACAAATGGTTTCCAGCACTGGGGAGCACAAAACTGCTATCAATCCTCAAGCTCGGTTTTCAGAATAGCCCAGAGCAGGACGGGAAATGGGCTTGAGCACTTTTAGACTCGGCTGATAACTTATTACTCCATAACTTTCATCATCACAGGAGTGCTGCATAATAGACTTGTGGTTCAAATGTTTCTTTCTTTTGTTCAGTCATTACCAAAACCTCGTGGAGCCAAGATTAGATTACCAGTCATGTAATCACCTACTTTGATTACAAGAGGAAATTACTCTTTAGTCAAAGAGCATGCTTGGCTGTGTGTGAAAGGAGCTGACACCTGATGTGGGATTAAATTACACCCTCACATGAGGTCACAGGCTCCATGACATGGTTACAGCTTGACCCACTGTGTGCTGAGAGACTTGTAAATAAGTAATGTTAACCCAGTGACTTAGTTGCCCAGGACATACATGATATTGTATTCAGACAACCTTGAACAAGTACTTCTACAGCTGCTGCACGGATATGATCAACAAGTTTGTTTCAGTGGTTCACTTTTTATGTATTGCAAAGACTGTTACAGAAATCACAGCATCCTCCTCCTTGTATTGAAACATCCCTGGGGTTTCTCTGTCTGCCAGCTCATGGGAGCAGTCTTCCTGTAAAAATATGGTGTTGTTGTCCTGAAGAACCAGTTCCAATCGAACTTTGTGTCTCTATTAACTTCTAACTCCTCGCCTCTTGCATGCCCAGTTTCCTTAAATGCACCGAGGCTGTGTGTTCCCAGGGTAACCATAAAAACCTAACGCTGTATTTCCCAGGTTACCCCCAGATTGTCCACAGGCGTGGGGTGAGAGCTCGACTCATGAGGCTTTTTCCATGCTCCACAGCCAAAAAGGCATCCTCCAGTAATCAAAGCAAGTGGTTCTTTGCAGGCTTTTCTTCCTCTCTCTCTTTCTCTCTTTCTCTTTTTCTCTGTGAAGGTTTTATTGTCGTCACAGATGCTTTTCTTCTCTGTGCATTTCCCTGAAATGAGGGTTACACAGTTTGAGCTTTGCGCAAGATTGCTTTTGCTAAAGTTGATCTACAAGGGACAGTTCAGTGAAATAGTTATTGACTTTTGGGGTTTTACTGCTGAAAAAGTCAGAAAGTGCTGGCAGGCTGTGTGATTTGGGCAGATATTGAATGAACGTTAAAGTGCCCACTCATTCTTTCCTGAACTCTTTCTGCTGTTAAAGTGTTTTACATTTCCCATGTTAATTTATTTGCACTTCCAAGAAAATAGTAGCACTTGTCTGCAAATTTTCATTTCCTTCATTAAAAGGTGAGGGAAAATTGGCAAAACATGACCACCTTTAGACTATTTTAACAGTGAGAGTTAGGGAAACGCTCTATATTTCATCAGTTAACATCAACCATGTATGCAAAGCATTGGCTCTAGTAGCAGCAGGTTAATTACCTTCTGTCAGAAGACATGGCCTTTTGTCTGCCCAGGCCGCAAAAAGACCCTTAGAGCTAATGAGCCATTTAGACACTGTGTCACACTTCAGGTATGTGGGAGGCCCTGCGCCAGTAAGACAAGCCAAATGCTGTGCTGTGAGGACGGTACAGTCGTTGACAAGACCCAGACAGCATCTGCCAGCGTTACAGGCCCATTAAAAAGTTTCACAGGGTTCAGTCGCTCTCCTTCATGGAGGAAGGGCTCTCTGCAGCGAGAACTTTGTTCTTGAGTCATGAGAACTCTAATTACCTCTACTATCCTATTAGTGTAGAAGAAGGAGCAGCAGGCTTTCTTTGGTTTTGTGAAGTAGCGTTTAAAAATTAAAGGACTTGGTAAAAGGATGAGAAACAGGGGTATCAAAGGGGATTTTACTTTTTATCTATTAGCATTTCTCATTGAAACACAAAATGTCATTGACATAAAGAAAACCTGGCCAAGACAGCCAAGCAATAGGAATAGAAATAACCTTGAATAATGAATAAGTAATGTTCAGGTACGATTCACTGGTCAGATAATCATACTTCATAAGGTTATGAAATCATCTAGTTAAACTGACTTTAGGTTCTACCAAGGTTAGGGATTTCAACAGTGCCAAACTTTTCTAGAAAAGTTTTGGTTTGCCTTTCATATAAGGAAAAAAAAAACCTGCACGTCTTTATCGACAGCTGCTTAAGAGAAGAATGAGTCCACTAAAAGTGATGAACAAACTCCTACACAGTCTAGCCTTCAAATCTGGATTTATTTGCTCAAAGTTTCGTGACTCTTTACACTTTAAAAAGACAAACTATGATTTCACTACGACTTACAATTTACACAAGACTGGCATTCACACAAGCACCTCAAAGCAGGAGAATGCCAGTGTCAGACAGACTTGTACTCAGTCTGGTTTCCGGTAGATAGGAGTCTCCCAGAAGACACGCAGGAGGACGAGGAAAGGGAGTCATGTGTAACAATGATGGATGTTAATAGGGTTAAAATTACAACATGTATAAGGACAGATCCACAACACAAACAAGTGAGGCGAGAAGTAACATCATAAATCTGTCCAAGATGAACAATGTGGACATAGTTATGATGGATGGACGCATGTTCCCCAGAGGATGTGTCCTACTCGCTTTGATGATCCCCAAAGTGTATCTCTAGAGTACTATTGTGTTTAAGTGGTGGTTTTTTGACAGTATTTGTATTGACTATAGTCAAATATATGACTGACATTTGTGATCCTCTGAAGATAAACACAAATAACTTTTGCTGTTACCGGGTTTGCATTCATGGTTTTGAGGGAAATAAATGACTCTTCTTGCATTTACATCACTCATGCTCTCCAAATGATATATGTCACTCTGATTTATTCATGCTCTCAGTGTGCCTCCAATGACACCATGGTATTGATAATTAATTGGTTAATTTTTAAAATTTAGTATTTTGGTTAATTTTGTCACTGATATTCATTGTTCCCAGAGGATTATCCTGCTGACTTTGGTGATCCCTTAAGGTTTTGTCAAGCGTCAGTTTTCAGTTCCTGCTTGTGGTTTGATAAAAATAAATCACCTAACTATTTAGGATAGATTCCCTTGAAAGTTTCACAAAAGTTTATACTCCCCAGAGGATACATCCCACTCTTTTTAATGGTCTATTGAGCACATTTTAGAGCCATTATATGGGGACAGTTGTTGCTAAGATTAAGTTACCAATTTTTGTATGAATTCCCTTAAGCACTGCAGATATTTATTAGCACATTATGAATTGTAGCTTTTAAAAATGTATCTTCTACAAAAACTCTTTCCTGCTGCTGTTAAACTCCTGTTTCTTTCCTCTTCCTCTACAGACAGCGTTGAAGATGAGCTTGAACTCTCTGCAGTCCGCCATCGCCCCGAGGGCCTGGAGCAGCTCGAAGCGCAGACCCGTTTCTCCCGCAAAGAGCTGCAGATCCTCTACCGTGGCTTCAAGAATGTAAGTGAGAAGACCACTATGCATTATGTACAGCGCAGAAGACTTTGTTCTCTGCAGGGCATCCTTCCCTGGACTTTGATTTGATTTCATTTATTCTTTTTTATCACCTATAATAAAAGGGAGGTACTGTGTCTTTGGCTTCACTTCAGTGTGGTTGGAATTGCTTGATCACATTAATTCTGCTTTCATAACCATTAATCAAAATCAAGTTCAAATTTTAAAAGCACTATTTTGCTGAATCATCATGCACAAATGGTTATCATATCGAATTGCTCTTAAGAGGTTTTTATCCCTTATTCACTATGCCAAAGATAATTAGGTCATACCTGGAACTCATTGTCGGAGATAACTGATGAGCAATCAGGTCAAAGTCCTCCAGAGCAGCTCATAGAAACCTCATTGTCACCTCTGGTGTGAGGCATAATGAGATGACCCAGAATCAACTCAACCCAAATTGTCTGGCAGTGAAACAGAGCAGGATAGCTCGATTCCTGTGATGGTGGGAGTCCCACGAGGCTTTAGTTTCCTGTTGAGCTCGCACTATGCTCCAACAAAGTCCCTGCAAAGCCTGCCCATTAGTCCAGTTCCACTTGAGACAGAGGGAGAGGTAAGAAGTGCACTAATGAGGCTTTTAATTTGTGCCTCACACTCTGCCTGACTTCCTCTGAGGGAGAGGATGCTGCATATGTTAATGGACGCTCCCCCCCTCGATAGTTTTTTGTTTTTACTCCACAGATTTGGTTTTCTTTGAGCTGTACTCCAGGGGAGGCGTTGTCAATCACTTCTGAAAAGTCCCATGAACTGTTTGGTGGATTAACAGAAAAGTAACTTCAGTTCACCCTGAAACAGTGACATCAGTCTGTATCATAGTAACATCTGATTGTAATTTTCGACATTATGAAGATACTTGCATTAAAAAGGCAATATGATGAATCTGCAGCCTGCTGTTTAATTTAGTGAGTATTAGCAAAATTAGGCTTAATCCTTTTCATTCCTCTTTTTTTTTTCTTGCCAATGAATCTTATAAAGTTAGGATGCTTTGGTAAACAAAGAAATATTCTCCAGCCTTAAGATGAAGTCACGTTTCTTCCAGCTCGCTGTCTCCCTGATGTCTGTCACTGCCTCTTTATCACTAACTGTTATCATTCACGGCTTGGCAAAAGTCCCTTTGGTGTCTCATTAAAATGCATGTTACCTCTCTATCTGTTGCAGGCAGAGTATAGTGGCAGAGATGTCACTTGGTTCTTGAATGTCTGTCAACCCTGATCTGGCTGTGAGCCCCACATCTTTGCACAAAAGCAGACAAAGTCCAAAACGATAAAAATATAGACAGAGGTGGCTGCATTCACACGCATAAAAAACTCCATAAAAATAGTTCATCTTCACACGGAGGCATCAGAGTTGATTTCATGACTTGTTAAAAAGCGCTTTAAGAGTAGACTCCCTCTGTTGACAGTGTCTTCCCAAATATTTTCTCACGCACTCGTTTGGCTTTCTGCTCTTGCTTTGTCTCGCTGCTAAGCATCTTAAAGCCGCTGAAGCACGTCACTGTCTATTTGGTTTTGCTTATTCTTGCTCCACAGTTAGAAAAGTGTGTGATAAAGCATCTCTGTATTTCTATTTTCAAAGCTACTTCACTCTGCTGTGTCACCAAACAAATGTGGTAGAGATCCAAACTGCACGAAAAGAAACAGTCATGACGCTCTTCAGCCTTCATAATGCAGCTTCTAAAATGTTTTTGTCCATTGCAGAGGCCTTACAAACAGCCAGGGTCAAATAACTCATCTCTGTCTCACCCCAACCCGGTGACATTGGTTGGATAAAGGCAAGCTTTTAAAGCCAGCCAGACTAATAGAAGCTGGCATGGTTCCCAAGATGAGAAATCTGGCCCTTTGTCCTTGTCGTCCAGGGTTTCAGAGTAAATCAAATACTTCCTAATACCGCTGGCAGGAGAAGGTCATTTGTCTTGACAACAAACTTGTCATTCACTTGTAGCGCAGGTGCTCAAATGCATCCAGAAAATATGTTCAGCAGACACAAAAAACAATCCCCTGACTCTGGGATTTGCTCTTAAGGTGGAATTTGGTCAAAGGCCACTTGGAAGAAATGAGAGAATCCAATGTTTCATAAATCCCTTGACCCAAGATGACAAAAAAATGACATAACATTGCCCTCACGTCTGCTCAAAACCTGCCGGGCTTTCGTAGTTCACAGTGCAGGGCATTGCCTCGGGCGTGAGATTAAGATCTCGCTGTTTCTATTCTATCAGAGATGATGCCTCTGTTCATGGGTGTATTTCATTCCCTGCAACGCTCATGACTGTTTCGCTTCACTGGTCCAGAAAAGAAATTTCACAGATTGTATTTGTGTTTTTCTTATCATGGGTGGGCAAAGTTTAAAAGCATATTCAATCAATACTAATGCATTTTTGGCCACTCATGTTGACCGAGATGACACAAAATGATATTAGTTATATTAATCCGATTGCTGGTTGCATGTTGTTTTTCGTTTCGGTTGAGAAGTGGAAAAAGAAAAAACACACAAAACAGATTTGAGATGCGGGAAACGAACCTCTGCAAATGCACCTTTAACATAAATTTGCATTTTAATAAGTGGAGGGGGGGTTGGCTTGAAGTGACAGATGAATTTTCTCAACCAAGTTTCCTGAGATGCAGAGCTACAGTGCCTAGATTCTTCAGTTTGTTAATGTAGGTGATTTTATGTTCCTAATAATGAAAGTAATTTATCTTTACTGCGTTTTAATGTAGAGAAAAGTGTATTCGAAGTAAACAACATTCCCAAACACTCAGCATTAATGACTTCTCTAAAGAACAGTGAGTGAATGAAGTCCTGACTTTTAGCTTAACAGCTTCAAAGTTTATCCTGACAGCAGCTTAAGGCAGCGCAGGCATCATCTAAGTTTAAGTATTTCACAGAACTTTAAATTGAATTTGCAGGGGCACAGTGTTGTAGGTGATGATAACTTGATAACACACTGGCTCCATTCTCAATCGAAAAGCTGCATCCCTCACCAGAATCGTCATGAGGCTGGGAAAAAATCCGATATAATCCGATCAGTGGAATTTTTTACTTCAGTGTGAAACTCAGTTCAACAATCACAAAGTTTTCTGGCTGTAACTTCGACTTCAGGTTTGTGAGGAGGAGTTGGCAAGGTGAGAGGAAGAGGTTCACTTGGAAGACACTGTCACATTTAATCAGGGTTTTAATGCTGACAGCTGTAATTACCCACCTGCCCACAAACACACACACTCACACACACACAGGACCACTCTGACTTTACAATGAGGTGAATTACATGTTTTAAAAAGTCCCCCCCTCCTCTCCTAAAATGCTTAATTACATGACATTTCTCTGCACTGCTTCAACAAAAGGTTGACTGTTGACAAGCATTCACTGCAGTGTTGTAGAACATAAACAAAGCTCTAATTAAGAGGAGCACTCCCAAACAACAAAGAAACACTGTCTGTTTTTCAGGCGCACACAGATGCTGTGGAGCAACCTTGCTGTTCGAAAGGATTTGTTTTATGTTCAAGGTTTTCTCCCAGTGCTTAAAAGTTCTGCACTCATGGCTGGAGTAGTTTGGAAACCGCTCGGTAAACTCAGACGCTCAATGGAACAGTTAGAAACTGAGGGAAAGACGTCTTGGAAGGGTTATATAAGATTGAAATCACTTAGCCTAGCAAACAACAAAGCCTGTAAAAGCCATATTATCAAGCTGACACAGCTTTTGTATAAAACAGCATAATGAGACATTATGTAGATGCCATCAGCCTCACCTGTATTTTTGTCTAGAGAATGACAGAGAGTAGCGGCAAGCTAGCAGAATAAAAACTAAGATTGCATCAGGGCCAAGTAGCAAAAGTTACATGATCACATGGTTAAGATAACAGAAACACTTTGGAAGTTTTGACTCTGTCCGTTTTCACTCTGACTGCCTAATAAACCAGCTGGCATCGCTTCCTATGGATATACTTTTCTGAAAACGGTTTCTGCCCAGCCCAACCCTTCTGTAATGTGTTTGACCAGGACTACCACTACCATTTTGACTTGTTCAACCCAAGAGCACAAAATTTTAGAGCAAAAACTGTTTAGAGGGGTCTGGCTGCAGACCTCCACTGTCAGCACCCAAGTCTACTGAGAGGACCCCAGGTACATTTTTTTCTCATGTGCTCCAGTTTGTTTGAAGTGTTCATCCCGTTTTGTATTTGTCTTTGTTGAAGACATGAATACACACACACACGCACACACACACACACACACACACACACACACACACACACACACACACACACACGCACACACACATAATTACAAAAAATATATTCACACAAGACAAAAAAATCCGTACTTCCTGGTGTCAGTGCTTTTTATTTTTAAGGCTTTTACTCAACTTCTGACGTAAAAAAAAAATATAAATGTGCTCCTGGTATATTAGCTTATTTAGCTTTTTGAAAGGCTTCAAATCAACTTCCGACTTAATAAAAAAAAATAAAAATAGATAAAGTACTCCCGGTATGTTAGCTTTTATTTTGAAAGGCTTCAAATCAACTTCCAACATAAAAAAAATAAAAATAATAAAAAAAAACAAAGAACACGTATTCCCAAGAACGCGTATAGCTTTTATTTTGAAAGGCTTCAAATCAACTTCCAGTCCTCACAGTGGAGGTCTGCAACGAAGGGTCCTGACACTGAAGGTCTGCAGCCAGACTGTCCAAATTAATACTCAACCATGATTGCCCTCCAAGGTTTGTTAAATGCTGATTTAGATCATGCACACAAACTCGTCTTGGGAAGATTTAAAAACCAAAATTCCTCAGGAAGGAAGTCAGGATTAGGGATTTGTCATCGGACCCATACCCCAGTGTCCTTATTGTAAATTCTGTGTTTGATCAGACTGTTGAAAACATGAACATAGTGTCAGAAATCATTTGGTTTTACACTGACGTTATGAAATCTGACAATGAGGTCTTCACTGTTAGAAAATCTGTCACACTTAGGTCCATTTTTTCAAGCTAGTTTTAAGTGGATACTTTATATCTCTTCCCCACAAATGAGGGATGCCAGAACTTGACAAAGCTCTCTGGGAATGAAAAGTTGAATCTGTTTCTGTTATATCATCTAAGTCTTGGCAAGAAAGCAACTAAGTCTATTTCCCAAAGTGTCAAGATAGTGCTTGAAATTTTCAAGACTACTTTCCTTTTTCCCAAGATAAAATTCTTTTAATAGGATCAATTAATATGTTCCAGCAACTTAAAAAGCTTTCCCAATCCCCCTCAGGATGGCTTATATAATTAAGAGGCAATTGAGTCTGTCCACCATGGAGAGTTGTTTTTAACTGTCAACATTATTAGGATTTATAGGCTAGTTTACAAGAACAGCACCACACACTCCACAAACTCTCCGCCTTCATTAAATAAGGTCACACGCTGCTAAACTACAATATGGAGTCTTTTTTTGTTCTTATTCTGTCTCCCTAACTTCCCTAAAATTCTTGACCCCACCTTACCAAACTATATATGAAACTAGGTCTGCGAGACAACAGAAGAAGAGCGTCAAGGGACCCACACAGACAACCTTGCAGCATCCTCTTAGCTCGAAACACAAGGAGCATCCTTTGAAGCAAGACAACAAGGTTTTATCTTTATTATTTTCAGCTCCAGAGTTTCCCCAAAGAGCCTGTTCAGATTTGGTCACAGGAAGGAGGAAACCCAGTTTGATCTTTGCACGTTAGTTTCCGAATGGGATAAATAACGTACAGCAGCAAACGCTCACATTTTTTCAAAGACAGGAGGAAAAGTTTGAGACTCGTAACTTTCAGATGAAACCACAGAATCTGTGGATTCAGAGATGCACGGTTAAATTTCATTACTTCGCTCCCTTGTTCATTTTGTTGTATCCACCCCAGGTTAGCGCTCCTTATCATTGCGGTCTTAGGGGATGATTATTTTCCTGTTTAGTGGGATTCTCTATATAAGCAGAACATTTCCTCTGTCCTGAAGATTCAATATCCTGCCAGAATGTGCAGCCTCGCAGCGAGCAGAAATTGAACCACCCAGCTGTGAGCAAGGTCATCCACTATGTCTTTGGCTGGCTCTTTTCTGTGAAAAGATACAAAAGCGTCCTTCTCTCAGGTGTTATGTAAGAGTATTCACTGTTATCAGCTGAATGCTTCCAGACAACCACAGGTGGGTAGCTTTGAATTGCTGTGGACAAGATTTGTACAGAGACTTAAATGGTTTGCAGTGTGAATCAGACCGCACTGAACAAAAGTGTTTATCTTTTCGGTGCTGCCTGAGATGGTGAGAGGTACAAGTACCAAAAATGAAGTGTTTTATCCTTAATGGAGTAGAATATCACTTTCTAAAAGCAGCCTTCACCAGACAGATAAATAGAGGGATTAAGACAGGAACATGAAGCTCATTTGTTCACGAGAAATGAACTAAGGTTATGCACATTAGCAACGATTAGCTTCTTCCAGCTACAATAATTAACAGTTCTGGTCAGAAATTTGTCACTAAAGCTACTTAACTGATAAATAAAATAAATCTTAGGAGGACAACTATTTGTCAGGAAGGTGGTTAAAGGTGGGGTAGGCAGGAGCTTAGGAAGTGCCAGGAGAAATCTTGAATGTAAACACTTCCCCTCCCAACCAGTTTTCCCCTCAGCTCCTCCTCTCCCCTCCCTCTCTGCTCCAGCAAGCCCCGCCCACAAACAGACACTCCTGCTCACTCGTATCGCTCCAATTAAATTCAGATATAATGCAGATAAATACTTAAGATAATTACAAATGGGGCCCAGTCAGCGTGAAAGTACAAAGCATTGGTGCTACTGTAGGTGCAGACTGTCAGCAAACAGGGGGAGGGAAACAGTTTAGCGGCGCTACAACAGGCAGCAGGTCCCGTTTGACAAGAAACACTTCTGTTACACTTGGCTTACTTTGTTAAAGCAGTTAACCTGTCCAGCAGAAAGGTTACAGGGTCTGCAAGATCCCGAAGCATCCCCCATCATTGTTGACCCAGCTTCTTAGCTCTTGTCCAGTTGGTCTACCTCCTTTTTAAGTGCCCGTTATTCCACCAGAGTCTCCGGTATTTACTTTTTTTTCTTGTTTGTGTTGACAGTCGTGGCCAAAGGAGGATTCAGACAATTTTCTGTACTTTCTGGTTGGTTTCTACTGTCCGATTTTGTAGCACGCTAACTTTGTTCGGGCTCCTGAACAACAAAGGGGAGCAGCGTTTGCCTCACAACCAATCAGGATGGCGGAAATGGGGAATGGCTTTGTTTACAGTCAGAAAGAGCGAAGCACTCTGAAATTGTAAAATGTTGACTACACAGACATAACAAAACACACAGATATTGTTATATTGCCAAATGTCATCAATAACTAATAGCTATTGACTACTATTAAAAGCTTTTTTGTATACACACCACAAAAAGATGCTTCTTTAACGAATTTCTGCCTACCCCACCTTTAATGATAATGTCAACTCAGCTGTGCCCCAAGTTATTAGCCTGAACAAATAAAGAAACTAGCTTGAACTGGCTTTGAACATGCTCATATGGATGAGAAATATAATGGAGATTCTCTTGTTTTTGAAGCCAGCTCAACACTTCCACACTGTCTCCACTTTTCAACACCAGAAGTTGCAGTTTGGCACCTGCTTTATCCACACAGAACAAAGAGGGGTACCTCCGCTTCTGTTGTGGGTGTTAGCTAACCGGTACAGCGTAAAAATGTTAGCAAAGCACATTGCAACTCATCATTCGGTGGCTCCTTTTTTTTGTGACTCTGCAACTCTAAACGTACTGCTCTAAATGTGTTTCGAAATGCTGATGCAAAAGAGAAAAACACTTCAGAGAGAAATCTGAACTTTAGTTGTGAAAGTTTTTTCACTCAGATTTTTGTTTTCAGAACATTTTTGGGGTTTGTTGCGGCTTAAACCACACCCAGTTCCCCATCACTCTTTTGTCATCCAGTTAATCTATTTAGTGCAGTTTGTATACTCAGGGTTTTTAGAGTCATCCATAATGTGTCTTTGCATTTTGTCTTCCAGGAATGTCCCAGCGGAGTCGTCAACGAAGAAACTTTTAAAGACATCTACGCACAGTTCTTCCCCCAAGGAGGTTTGTGTCATGTATTCTGGCTATTTGTCTCTGAATGCTGCTTCTTATCTCCTCGGTGAGCTGGACAGACACAAATTGCCTTTCAGTCCTGTTTACTAAAGTGGCACAAAGAGCTCTTTAAGTTGAACTTCCATCAAAGAAAGTGTGTTTGTGAGGAAAAAAGGGGGACAAAGTATGAATGCAGTCGGAAATGCTCACTGTAGGCTCTCATCATTATGTAGATTGTACCCGAAGAACAAGGGAGGCAACATTAAGAGGCTTTGATTTATCTGCTCAGAGAGAAGAAAGGCAGTGCAGTAAATATAATGGCTCGCCAAGTAGGAAACAATGATAAAACTCTCAGCTCTAAGCTTATTGTTCTCACTTATCAGGGAAAAAAAAGAACTTCTAAGGAGCTATCTTTCTTTGAGAAACTACAACTTTCTTCCAGCCGTTTCCTTGTTTGAAGTGTTGCTGTCAATGCGGATGGAGCAGCAGATGTTTTTTTGATTTTGTGTGTTTGTTCTCGTCATAGATGCTTCAACATACGCACATTTCCTGTTCAATGCATTCGACACAGATCACAACGGCTCTGTGAGTTTTGAGGTAAGAAAAGTGTTTGGTCGTCCATCTGTGTGAGGCCCTGACTCATTACACTGGAGCATTATATAACCTGCAACCCCAGTCATTTTTGATTTAGCCCAAACACGCCTAATTAGACCGCTGTCAAAGCTTGATTAATATTCATGATGGGTATATATTTGCTTATTAGGACAGAAAAGCTGTCCTTACACAAACCAGGGCTTCTCTCGCTCATATGTAGTTTTCGGGTTTCCCTTAAGGGCTGATGCAGATCATGAGTCAGCAAACAATTCCAATAGCGTGTAAGCACTTTTGATGTTTTTTGATCTGACCTCCTCGCACGAAAGCTGATGTTCAAATTCCATCCTTGAATGTATTTCTTGTATTCCCAAAGCAAGTCTTGGTTTGAGATTATTTATATGAACATGATTCTCAGCGCAGCTTCTTCTCCCCGCAGGATTTTGTTATGGGCCTCTCTATCCTCCTGCGAGGGACGATCCAGGAGAAGCTCAACTGGGCTTTCAATCTGTATGATATCAATAAAGATGGATATATCACTAAAGAGGTAAGCTTTGAAATATAAGACCATCAATGAAACATGTTTATTTATGAATGTACATTTGAGTAAATATAGGTGGACTGAAACATATGCCAAGAAAGTCAATCTCATCTTTTCAGTCTCCTCTAAAAACCCACTTCAATGAAACACTTTTACATGAATCACTCAATTTGAGGTTGTTGGATTAGAGCATCTCTTGTGTATGATCCTATTAACCACGTCTTAATATTGAAGCTTCATAATTCTGATCTGTTTACTTCATTTGTCCCACTGTTCATGTGTTTGTCATTGGACTTTCTGCCTTCATAAACTGCCCATTAGTTTTGTTTTTAAGCTTTTAATTCTGTTTTATTATTACCTCACCAAATCCTTTTATATGAGTGAAGTTATCAATAAAAAGGAAGTGAGAAATTGAAGCCTGGATTAGCGCTAAGATTGAAACAGGATCGTTTCCATACCTAGATCCGCATTGTTTGCATGGCTAAAACCTCTGAAATTACAAGGGCGCAGTCTCCCTGGAAGCCTGGATAATCCACAGACTTCTCAGAGAACAGTTTTTATAGGGACTATTTCTTTCAGTAGGAAATACTTTAATTAAAATCCAGGAGCAGGAAGGTCGTGGATCAGAGTAACAGTTATATTACAGCCCAAATCTCTGAGAGGAGAGACTGAACATCTCTGGCACAAATTATCTTCACTGCTTCCCCCTAAGGGGTAACTGAAGAAGTGATTTTCTTGTACTTTGTGTGAACTGAACCTCTCCCGTGTTTTATAGGAAATGCTTGACATCATGAAGGCCATCTACGACATGATGGGAAAATGTACATATCCCGTCCTCAAAGAGGAGACACCCCGCCAGCACGTAGAAGTCTTTTTCCAGGCGAGTGTGTCTCTGTGTCTGCTCTTTGTTTGTCACCGAAAAGAGGATTTGGAAGAACCTCCTTTATTTATTTTCTTCCTCTCCTCCTCTCTGTCTCAACAGAAGATGGATAAAAATAAAGACGGAGTGGTTACCATAGACGAGTTCATCGACTGCTGCCAAAATGTAAGCTGGATATCCTCTTCTTCACTTCTCTTTGGGGCACTCTTGGCACACTTTCACTTTCTCATTATGTTTGTTATTTCTCTCTCTCTCTTTTCCTCTCTCTGTGCACAGGATGAAAACATCATGCGATCAATGCACCTCTTTGAAAATGTACTTTAACTTTTGGCCGACTGTGGAAGAGAACTTCATCTTTAACTCTGACTTGGACTCATACTGTGTACAGTGTGCTATGCAGACTTTTGACCATAGATACAGCATTGTTCATTACTGTGGGCCACATGTGTGAGTAGGCAACACGGTGAGAACACTCTGGAGTGATCTGCCTTTTAGACATTTTATTGCATAAATACAAAAATATGAAAATAAAAATGAAGTAGAGGAGGAAAGGTTTTTAAAGCTTGCTTGATCTTTTGAGATGAAACCCTTTAACTTCAAGGTTAACACCCACCACCGTTGTCTGTCTTCAATTGACTGAGTGCTGCTTTCTGCGAGCTGTTTTAGCCTTGGACGTTACAAAAACCACTCAAATAGAGATTTCTGCAGCAGCCTTGACTTGTTTCATTTATCGCCGAGTGAAATCACTGTGACTTTTTAAAGCAAGAAAAACAAACAGGACAAAATAAATTACGTCTGTATTTTTCACATTCCAGGTCGGCTCTCGATTCCAGAGTGTTCTCACCCCTGACTTAGCGAACCATCGTGGTCCTTGAGAGAGGGACATTTAGAGAAGAAAACATACCGTTGTAACATTTTGATCTGTACATACTTATAGATAAAGCATTAGGTAAGAACTCTGTGAGAACTTTTCAACTACGTCCATGTTTACTTGCCAACTAGAAACGAAACAACACAAGGATTGTATTGATGTCAAAACCGGACCATAATATGGATGGTTTGTCCAGAGAAGCACACAGGTAGCTACATTTACCACAAGTATAACATTAGATGATATCTTTGTCTTAATAAAAAATGCTGCTTTCAGTGTTTTTCTTTGAACCTTCTGTATGTATTTCCCCTGTAAAGTTGACCATCTATCTCTTTGTTTTGAAGCACTGCTGAGGAGTTTACACTGAAAGCAGTGTTGGAAGTTTATTTATATGGTATTATGCTCATTGTACAAAAGATTGTCAGTTGTACAGTATTAAATCAAAGTTTGCTCTTGGGTGAATCTCAGCTCTAACTTTGTTCTTGTAACTTACTGTTTTAATAAGAACTGTTACTGGGGTTTGGTGGCAGTGGCGGTGGTGGATGAACACTTAAACTCTGTATCACATTCATCATTTTGGGGGAATCAGCTGATAAGTTTCCTGGTTTTTCCTCCTGTGAGCTTCCCACACCCTCTCAGCCTGATTGGTCTCAGCTGTCTGTGATTATAATGTGTTCAAACACAAGGGATGCTGGGTAGAAGGGCTCTCATTGACTTCCTGTTGCTAACCGGAAACCACTGGACCACTCAGAGGAGTTTCTGGACTCTTTGCAAGTAAGTTACAGAGTTTGGCAACACACTGTCTTCTTCCCACTCAGCATTTTTTGGTCTAAAAGAGGTCAAATCGACGTCTAAATGTCGCCTAGACAGCTGGTCTAAAATCAGGCTACCATACGTCTAAAAGTAAAGGTTGTCTAGACCAAGTTTAGACTAGCTGGCTAACAGAGCTATATCTATACTACACTGTATATTGCTCAACAGCTATCATAATTATTCTAGTTAAGTACATGAAGATCAGTTACGCAACTCAGAGTTGCTTCTTGAAATAAATAGTTATCGAATAATGGGTTAAAGTGCAGTGTCTAAATTCCATCTAAAAATATACAGAATCTAGACGGTTGATATTATGTCTAAAAAAACTAGACATCTAATAGCCGTCTATCGCTCAGTGGGTTCCTTGACTCCACATTTCAAAAAGAGTAATTTATTAACATATAACACGTGATAAACTTTCACATAAACTTTATTTTCTCTGGGTAAAAATAGTAAAAAGAGATTGAAACTCCTTTGCGAACATTTAGACAGTTTTGTAAACATAAGGTGAATGATGGTATTCGTCTGAAAGTCCGGCATCAAATAAAAAAGCTGAATATTCCTGATAATTTCACTTTGAACTAGTTTCTATCAACATCTCGGCCTAAAATCAGGAATTGTTTAATTAAAGGGGTCAAAAAGCTTGTTTTCCTGCATTCTCTTTGGTGAAGAGGAGTTGTCTGATGCCCCCTTGTGGTGGAATAATGAAAACACACAAACAAAAAAAGAAAAACTTACAATATCTTTATCCAGGCATACCTTTTCTTTGTGTTTTTAAATGGGTTAAAAAGAAGAGGTGACAATTGTTATGTCAACAATTTAATACAGACAAATTTGATTGGAATGAAATGTACATGGCACATCACACTGCTGTATTTCCACACTGACTCGTAAAACAACCATCTGCCTTTCCAGTTAACAAAAAATCACTGCCCTCAATGTCAAATAGTAAAGTTCTCAAATTACCTGAGATAAAGTTGCATATAAACCAAGAAGATTGAGCCACACACCTCTTGGAGACATAAACATGATTTTTTTTTTTTACAACTATTACATCAACTCAAGGCAGATGGTAACATTTTGAACATATTTCTTGAATGCATACATGAATGACAACAAAGCCTGATGCTAGAACTGAAAACTGGAATGTCACACGTCGGCGTTTCGGAGAGTTTTGCAGATAATCGCTGCAGCTACGGAAGAGTTTGACTCTGTTTGAGAGCTTCTGAGAGACTCCAGCATCATCACTTCTCACTTTTGCAGATTGTTGTGGTCCAGTTATGAAGAAGGTTTACATTTGGGCCTGAAACTTTTTCCCCTTTGATGCCTCTCAGCATCATTAGCGATCTGTTCCTATCCCTCATTACACATTTAAATAAGGTTCCCTTTTGCATCCTTTTCATTCTCTGGCCCGAATCTGAATAATGCAATCCTCAAAAAGTCTTTTTTTTCCTTCTATCAGGACACGAGATGATTATTTTTTATCATCGTGTAGAAACAAACGTGTGCACTTCTGTGTATCCTCCAGAGATCAATCACTGCACACTGTAACGATAAGATAACTGCTCAAAATGGTCCAAGAATAAGATTTCTCTAAGCGGGAATGTGTGAATTAAATGCCTTGAATCCCTCTTGTTATAGCAGGAATAATTTTCAGTTTTAGTCGCATTTCCTTTGATTTTGGCTTTTAATTCTTCCAATTTCAGAATAAGCTAATGCAGTAAATACACTGTCAATCTTTATCTACATATATGTTCCATGAGAGACTGCAAATGTGGTAAAATATAGATGTCTCTGTAAGTCTTTAAATACTGTTACATGTCTCTGATGATTTCTTGTATAAAAAGTATTAGTTGTTGTACCACATATATATATTTATGTGTGTATTTGAGGAAGTTGTGTTTTAACAAAGACTGGAAACTTTATTGATTTTTAAAGTGAACATTAACAGTATTGCCCACAAATAACCCTTGATCCTAACCACCAAAGCTCAAACTGAAATCTATATTGACTGCACAGTGGAGATACAGTTTATGTCATATTGCTGGTGCCAACAGGCTTTATGCCAAACTGCACTCCCGCTGCTGGCGCTGATGTCATTCCGGGCTCCACAATCCACCACACGGAGGACTTATGCGGGAAATGCTGGATGTGTTGTCTGTTCAACCCTTCGAGCGGTTATTTGAAGAGACTGTTTGGGGTTTCCTTGAAATGAAGTCAGAAAGGCAGCTTTGAACTCTTGCAGTTTAATCTCAAAAAAAGCTTTCTCTGGGTCCTTGTCTTTTGTAAAAACACGTTGGAAAGTTTCTTCCTGTGGACTGTCCTTAAGATTTCAAAATATAGCCGATGGAGACTGACCCTGTGAAGTTTGTGCGTGGTCAGTTAGATGAACTCTTACACCCAGGCGCTGAGGAGTTAAGTCAGCAGCTGCCTGATCTCTCGGTGAACGTAGGTAAGGAAGTCCATGTAGGAAGCTCCGCCATGCAGGCTTTTATCCTCTACCAGGAACTGACGGAAAAGCATCTCTGGTTTGTCCCGCTGCCTCACGATCTGGAGCTGAAAGTGGAGGAAAGCAAGTTATTAAAGGCTGAACTGGCGCTACATGAATCAAGATTGAGATAAACTGATTGAAAGGTATCACAAATGGTTGTAATTACTGACATGCTCCACTAGAGGGAGACAGAGATCATTAAACACTTCGTAGACGTTCACTGCGATTTCTCCACATTTTTCCTTTCCTTTCATTTTTTACTTTTTCTTTTATTTTGGACTTTTGGGGACCCTTACCTTCATGGAGTTCGGTCTCTTGTCTTGCACCTCACTAATGATGGATCGGACTTTCTTGGATAATGGGTTGTCCAGTTCTGGCAGTGAACTCTGAAAAACACAATTACAATACAATTTTTTGTTGGTTCAAATTAGCTCACAGCTATCATTCAATCTTCCATATCTCAGTCTATTGTCAAATATTTAGAGTTAAAAATTACAATAAAAATTCTTACCGCTAACCTCTAAGAACAGATTGTGTTTCATTGCTTTATAAATACATTCAATATGTTTCATTATTCTGACCATGTGTCCTTGCAGGTGGCTGAGGGAGGGCACATTAAAGAGACTCTGGATGAGGTCTGGCGGGCTTGCTTGGCCGAGCCACAGAAACATGGAGTGGCCGTTTTCCAGCAGGAACATGCCGGCGTCTGTCAGACCCTCCTCTGAACAACGAACAGGAGCAGGAGGAGCCTCGCTGCTAGTGTCCATATTGTGCTGTTGATAAAAACACAAAGAATCTGCGGTTATTACAAATGAAAAGTACTGTTTAAGAACAAATTCAAGGTGAAAATTCAGGAATGTTCATGAGAGAGGTGGTGTTTTTAGAGTTTGTCCTCTACCAGTGGGATGAGACGTGGGTAGAGCAGCAGCTGTGTGTCCTCCACCCCCATGGCCATGACTGACAGCCTTTGGTGGGCTCTTTCGTCCGTTGAGAGCTCGGTGCTGCCAACCAGGGGGGCGCTCTTCATAAGGCTGTTCATGTAAACTGGCAGCACCTTCATGGCACTGGGCAGGATCAGCTACATGCAGAAGCAGACATGAAAACTTAAGATTGAAACCTGATTTTTTTTCACTTTGAATTCAACAACTGTCCCTGCAGGTGTCGCACTGCACTGACCTGGCTGGCAGCAGACGGGTTGGCACAGTTCTTCCTGTAGCAGGCCAGCATGTGGGCCGTCTGGTTGACCAGGATCTCTCGAACATTCTTCAGCGGCTGGTTCAATATGGCACGGTAAGCTGAGGGGGCAAGACATCAGAAGACAAAGGGATGAGGAGGGGAATAAAACATAAAAGATGAGAGATTGACGCAAAAATCCAGCTGGAGAATTAAGATCTGAGAGGACTAAAAACAGGAGCAGAAAACAAAGGTGCTTAAGCTGTACTTGAGGCTCGCTATGTGCAGATTACAGAAAAACTCGTCTCTGTTTGATGTGGAACATGTGGTCCTCATTTTATTGAGTCATATTTCTTTTTCTCATAAGTCTGTGAGCATGAGCAGATTATCAAGTGATGCATGGGGTAAATTCAGCTGAGGTCAGGACACCGCGGTAAATTTCAAGCCCTGACAAAGAGGGTTAACAATGTTGGACGACTCCCTCTTGAAATACCAGACAGTTCATAGATAACAGAAAGTGAAAGTACAAACTCCTCGACTAAGAGAGCTAAGAGTTTTTACCTGATTTGGCAAAGAAGTTAATGAGGGAGTCGGTTTCGCAGCTTTTGTAAAGCTCCATCAGCTGTGAGCTGCAGTTCAGACTGAGGTTGTGGACGCGGAGACGTCGCTGCCCGCTGATGGTCGTGTACAGCAAGGCACACTGGGAAATAAAGTGCAAATGTTAGTTACATCTAAAACTGGGGATCTCCTTTGCAATAAACTCTTCTTTAACTTATTTGAGGAGCAATACCTGCATGAGAGCCCCACTCTCCTCACTGAGTGTGTCGTCATGCTTCAGCTCCACGGTCACAGCCTTGTCGCAATCCACTGCCGCCATCTCTATGTCTGTGGTGTTGTTCATATAGACGGCACCAAAGAAGTCTGTAGCTCTAAAGCCTGAAAGCACACAAAAAGTAGATGTTATTAACGGATTGCCCCTTTAAAGTAGACTAAATTTAGAGTTTGTAAATCGTGTCAGTCAATGCTTTACCTGTGCTGGTTCGGACTCGCATGACGGCGTCAAACCCGATGCTCTTCTGAATGTCTTTCCTCAAGTCTCTGAGGAAATGCTCTCCGTCTGTTTCCACCTGGCATCATAATGTATACAGAGTACCAGTCAGAAACAAGCTTTAACCAGCAGGTGGCAGTGTTGTCACATTTTGCAAAAGATAAGCAGACGCAAGACTATTTAATGTACTTAAACATATGGTTTGGTGAGGGATGACAGCCTGATGAGGGAACAACGAATAAAAACACGATGAGATTATTTTATGGGAGGATTAACTTATTAACACCTGAACTATCAAAATATTCATGTTTTCAGTGTTCAGCCTGTATGTTATACAGCATTTTTACGAAAGAGGATTGGGGCCACAAGAAGAGAAAACTGATTACAGGTGGGAGATTTTTTTAATTTCCATTTCGAGATAAAAGTCAAAACTTCAAGATAAGAGTTAAATTTTAAAAAGTCAAAATGTCAACTTTATTCATGTCCACTTTAATCTTGAAATTTTGACTTTAATGTAGAAATTGTAATTTTTTTTTTTTTGAAATTTTGACATTATTCATGACATTTCGAAATCTCCATATTTCGATTTTAATTTTAATTTTCAATTTTTTATCTCAAAATTTTGACTTTATTGATATAATTCCGACTTTTTTATCTCTAAATTTCAACTTTTAATCTTGAAATTTCCACTTAATTGACATGATTCCGACTTTTATCTCGAAATTTCAACTTTATCTCGAAATTTCTACTTTAACATAATCCCGACTTTTTATCTCTAAATTTCAACTTTAATCACAAAATTTCCACTTTATTGACATAATTTCTACTTTTTTATCTCTAAATTTTGACTTTAATCTCGAAATTTTCACTTTATTGACATAATTCAGACTTTTTTATCTCTAAATTTTGACTTTAATCTCGAAATTTCAACTTTAATCTCCTTCCTGTAAGTATTTTTTTTCTCTTCATGTGACCCTAATCCTCTTTTGTAGCATTTAGAACAGTTTAGAGTAGCTTCTCATGCTTTTCCCACCATTCCCCTGGGAAATGATTATCACAGAGTGTGGGTACCGTGCAAAAGCGTGTATGGATGCAATTAGGTTTATAAAGCTCCAAATTCCTCTTGCCATGTATAAACTTGTAACTTTCACTGTTTAGACAGCTGAAAACTGACGGAAAAGTGTGTACTTCAAAGTTGTCAGATGTGTTTGTGAAAGGCTATGTCGTACCTGGAAGTTGTTATACTTGTAGACAGATCCTCCTGTATGCGAGGGCACGTCACCCATGGTTGCCAAGTCCACATACTGGCTTGGGAAGAGGAAGAGGTCCACACAGCAGCCCTGTGCCACACACTCTTTTGACAGCTGCTCGTACACTCCTTTTTGAGGCTGGAACAAAGTCTGACGGGAACACAGAGGGATATTTTCGGATGAGATTTCAGTCGGACACTACAGTCATAGCCATTCTTAATTTTTAAAAATTCACTAAGTATATAAAAAGCTTTATACTTTCTCTTTCTCGGTGTTGACAAGCTTTTTGTCATCCCTGTTTTTCAGTTTTCCAGGAGCGTCTGCAGTGGGCATAGAGGACTGGAAGATGAAGAGCTTTCCACTGCATTCTGCTGCCTAGAGGGGGGAAAAAAGAGCGTTGTATAACTCCAAGGTGTGTAGCATGTTCTTTACTTTGTTTTTGTAGCTTTACGTTAAATCACAGGGTCACTTGGTACTCTTAATAATAACAAACTTTAATGGGAAGGGTCTCCCCTGTGGAGCTAAATAAACTGATAAAGAACAGATAAAGATATAAGCCGTACCCCCGAAAAACAATATCAACATGAGCAGCCATGAATAAATAAATAAATCTCAGACTCATCGCTGTTGTGTAATATTACAACTGCTTCCAATTAAAAGCTGTGTGAACTTTTCCTCCACTGCATGCCAAAAGACTGACCTCACATCACTGGGAAAGTTTGTCGGACTTGAAAGTAAACATATCAGGAGGAGACAAAAGAAATCACTGAGTTGGTAAGTTGAATGAGTTTACACATCCATGCCAACTCATCTGAAGTGTTTTCACAAACTGAAGCAATCCAAGATTTCGATTGGCTGCTCTCTTTTTAAAAAAAAAAAAAAAAACAGCCCATTGTGTGTTTTGGCTGACCCGCATTTTATTAGAATTAGTCGTGCAGCGACAAGAGTGTCAGATTGAGAAACACTGCTGCTTAACAAACAGGAAATGTCCAGTGGTGCTAATGATGTCTGATTTCCAAAACAAGAGTCTGTAGCAGCCACGCATGGCTTCAGGAGCCCCTGACTAGCCCATTTAGTGTTGACAGACGTCACACTGTTGCTAACCTTGAATGCCTCAACGCCGGCCTGGATGACAGGGGCAAAGACCGTCTCGCTCTCGCTGGTGTCTGCAAACATGTCAGGGATCTGGTCCAGCAGGCTGGAGAGGAAAGGGACAGGATTATAGCTCGGTCATTTTATATCAAAGCCTGCTGCCTTGAAGTATACTTGAATTTATTGTTCTTAATATTATTATATTATTGAATTTCTCTTCAGGGATAAATAAAGTTCTTCTTATCTTTTATAGTGTCTTGCTCAAAGTACACCTCTTTATCAAGCAATTCACTCTTTAAAAAGACTCCTAATTAACATCTCCTAGTCATTTCTAAGGTTTCAACTCCAGAGAATTCCCCCCTGCTGCATGAGGCATCCGAGATAAAGAGTGTTAATGAATTAATTCATGAAGCGGTTGTATCTTACTTGAAGATAACGGCTCTTGATTCCTGGTAGTTCACAAGGAAGCCATCGAGCAGAGGGACGAACATCTCTGCTGTGTCTGACACGACCATCATCTGAGGCTGGGCCAGAGCGCTCTTCACGTTGTAGAAGTGAAGGATCTTGTTGTAGGTGACAAAGCCGACTTTGATTGCAGAGCTCTCCGTACCCTCCTCTCTGGTGTAAGAACAAGCATCATTGAATTACAGGTTGTTTCTGAATATTTACTCTAGGGCTGGGCGATATGGCAGTTCACCTCGATAACGAAAACTACTCCACAAGCTGCTCCCCCCCTCCCACAATAACTATGTCTACTTCAGCCACTGCTCCAACTTTTGAACCGTCCTCTGACATAGCACAGCATCTTAAAGGGAATGAGTCAATAGCCTATCTACAAACATCCCAAACCAACTTTTATTTATTAATTTTTTGACACCGAATATACTGACATGGGTAAAATGACGTCGGTTATTGTTGTAAATTTCGGCATCGGTAAATTTTCGGTTTATCACCCAGCCTTAATTTCCTCTATGGGCCAGTCGTTAAAGAAAAAAACATCCAATTTTCATTCTCTGGACCTCAAACCGTTTGCATTAACATTTTCACTGTGAGTACTACCAACATAATAAAAGTGTACTCCTCATACGTGAAGAATAGCTCGACTTCTCTTTTCCTCGATTCAGACTTGATATGCAATGTTATGCAAGCAACTATCTGGGATGAATTATGTCTAACAACTGCGCGCTGTTTCCCCCCTTTGATCCATTCAAAATCATCCAGTTCTTTCCAGGAAACTTCAGGAATTATCAAGAAATTTCAGACTTGTGAAACACAGTGTTTGGATTGTAGAGAATAAATGCCACGAGGAAATAAAGACATCATAACTCCTGACAAATACCAGAACCCTCTCAGCCGGGGCCGTGGACCTGGGACCAAAACCGTAGATTTAAACTTTTAACCGTGGTAGTAATTTAAAAGCATTCTTCACTGACACTTGAACTTCAGTTTCTCCTCTTAAATCATGCACACACGCTCGAGAACATGTAATGTGGCTTCAAACTGTTACTGTAGAAAACTTAAGGTCAATTATGAGCCCTCCGCTGCTCACAGGAACTTTTTGAATCAGAAATGATCGTAACATGTCTGCGTCTCCATCTGGATTTACTCTCTCTTTTGTCTAGGGTGATTTAAAAACTCATCAGGCACATACTTAAGAACTACATGAACCTTGTAAAATGCAGGGCGTCAGATTCTTTAATCTGAGTGCCTATTAAGACAAAAGTACAGAGTTTCAACACAGCTGAAGAGGGGGCTTATCTAGTGCGTGTTTAAAGGCTGATGTCATGGCAGATGACAGATCAGAATATATTGCTGCTGGCACTAATGAGAAGGAGCAAAGAAAATAAAGTTTCCAAGTTATTTTAGGAGCAACAAGGTGAAGCGTTTCATCCCTACTGTGAGATGCATCAAAAAGCCATCTCCTGGATGAATGTTTACCGCAATGGAAGAGTTGTCTCACTGCACAAAGAGTTTTGTTTTGGATGCCTTCAAAGATTCTGAACATTAATATTTCCATTTTGGGCGCCACCATGAATAGACACCCACCATCTGTAAAGCTTCACGCAGGACTATGCTGCTGAAGAGAACAAATGGTTTGCTTGGCTGGAAAACCAGTGGGGACTTGTTTTTTTGGGCATCTTCAATCAAGATTGAATTTAATGTTTCAGATAGGTTCTGGCTCTGTTCAGTCACCGATAATGTTCTGTATTTCTCTCATTTTTAGTGTGTACCTGGGCAGATTCTCCAGCAGGGTCTTCAGCTCTTCACATATCAGTTTAACCAGTCCACTCTTGATGTTGTTGTAGGACACGTCGATCATAAAGATGTAGGCAGGAGGGTTTGGAGTCTTGTTGTTCTGTGTGGGAAGAAAGTGGATTTTTATTTATTTATAATTTATTTTTGACTGGCTCTTTTTAGCAGGAAATGAGGACAAATGTTTTTTTAAGCTCATGAATACGCTTATCAAAGCCCAAATCAGAGGTTTTCTGTTTAGAACTTAGACTGCATTTACACATGCCTGGCTATTTTGCCTCTTTTGACTAACACGTTTTCAGAAAAGTTTTCGTTTACACTACCCTGTGTATGCCGTCAAGAGCATATCAAACGTGGGTAGCAGTGTAGCGAGAAGCTCAAGTCCACATTAGCCAATCAGAATCCCACATAGCAGCAACAACATCCCTTCCTTCTTTTTTGCGTGCTATCTGCCGTCGCCTACCCAAATCTACGTTTTCCTCAGTTTTTCTCTGTTTACATACCAAAGTGCTTACTGAGTTTTCCGAAATCTCCACTTTAGCCAGAGTTTTTAAAAAAGCATTGTTCTCATGGGCGAATTCTCCGTTTGCGTCTTAACAAAAGGTGCAAATGATGGTTAATGTCTCTGTTTTTAAAAATAATATGTATAAACTGGGACTACTAAGTGTAGCATTAAGAAGACCATGGCAGTTATAAATCCCTGGATCGAGGGCAGTAGGGGGGATTACTCAAACATTATGTTTCCACAGCTACAACCCATGACAGGACACTCACCTTACAGGCTTTTGTTTAATATCTGGCCTGTAGAGGCTGTTTACAAATGGTAATAAACAGAGAAAAAGTAGGACAGTGGAGTGACTCAGCTTTGCCCGCTCTCTCTGACCCTCTGATGTTGTTCCCGAAAACCTCAGTTCCACAGGGACACGCGGTCGATAGCTGCTGCTTTTTCTTTTTTTTTTATTTGTATGTTTGGACTGAGCTGAAAACTCTCTTTTTCTCTCTTCTGCACAGTTTGGATCTGATGAGCTGATGACGATCAACAAAGAGTGCTAAAAAGATGACTGTTCAAGAGCTGAATAATGATGCATGAACTATGCATAAAATTGACATATAGTCCAGATTCTTGGGATTAGTGTACAACCCAGAGTAGATAGCAGTACTGTCTCAATGCACTAGATTTTAACCATGGGGCATCAGGTGCATCTGAATGATCTACCAGACAACATAACCCATATTGCATTAATGTATTACAATAAATAGTCAACAGATCTTTGCGTGAATGTACTCTACCTTGCAGTATTCCAGGGTGGCTGCAAACTCATAGGACCCCAGGGACAGCTCAGGCCTCTCATAGAAATCCACCCTTCGGCCCATGTGATCGAGATGTTGGAAATAATGGACCGGCACTAAGGTGAGACCAAAAGAAATCATCTGTTATTTCATCCTTAAAATCAAAGCTAATAACTTCCCTTTTCTTATTTTACTGTCAGCTTTTTTTTAAACAAATTTAATATGTTGTTTTACCTTCATTGACACAGTTGCAGAAACCACACTGGAAGCGTCGGCCTCCGTCGATGAACTGCATGTAGGGACACATGTAAGCCTTGCACCGATTGCAGCGGATTGGGCCTGTCTCACCATGGTTCACCACATAGAGAGGAGTCTATAAGGCAACACACAAAAGTTTATATAAAAAAGGCTTACATGGACTCTGTTTTTACTCTTGCACATACTGTCCGTGTTAATTCTACGCTGTTGTTATGGCGCCCAAACAATACACACTGCACTCTCATATACAAAACATTATTCTATCTTTGGGCTGTTAAATACACACACCATGACACTGGGGATGACGGGGACTGTCTTAACCTGATTTATTTAAGACTCTCTGCGAGCTTTGGCACAACATTACTTGCATTTTTCAAAAATAAGCTCATGCAGACGAGCCGGTAAGTGGGTTTATTTTTAGACTGGAGACTTCGAGGTGGAAAGTAAAGTGTTTACAATGTCTTAAAGGTGGTTAACCCTCTTCAGCGAGGCAAACCTGTTAGATCACAACATCTGAGCCTAACAGCGTGCTTTTTGAGTCAGTTCTCAGGATCTACTTTTACTGTTTTGGTTTAACTGCAGTGTGAATAGACTCCGTGCTGCACCAGAAACACTCAAGTCTGATTCCTTTTGTTTAAACCTTCTGTCTTTTCCAGAGGTCCCGGCAGATCTCACATTAGCTTAATTAGCCTCAGGCCACATGAGAGAAAGCTAACATTACCTAAAAAGGCCAACATTGCCTCAAAAGGCCAACTGGTGTCTGGGACAAGGCGAGAGCAGAGGGAAAACATCCAAGACAGGATTCTTGGATGGGTCAGGAACGGGATAAATTAACTTTAGTCGTGCAGTAGAGAAGAAGCAGCAGTGGGTTTTTATTCACCCTCCATAACTGAACCTGTATTTTTAATCATCTTTAAAACATTACAGCAAAGTGGACACTTTTGTTTATCAAAATCAATCATTAAATAAAGCATTTCTTATCTTTTCTACATTATTGAGTGATAAGTAGTTCTAGTTTTCATTCCAACCACATATGTAGGATTTTAAGTTCTGTATAACTTACCTCATTCTTTGGCAAACTGGCAAAGGGTTTAACAATGGTAGCAAGGGGTACTTGGCACTGTTTGGCCAAGTCAGCAGTACAGGGAAGGGTGTAGGTGGTGCAACGCATGAACCTGGGACTGGCATTACCTAAAATACACAAAAATAAGGACCATTTATATACATAATATAAAACAAAAAATTCCGACATCACTCTCTTAAATAGAAACTTATACTTGAGTTCTGCAGGTTATTTGAATAAATCCAGAAATGGTCATAAACCTGTGAATTATGACTATTTCTACTGACTACTACAATTACTCTATCACAGGCTTTTTGCATTATATTACATTTTTAGTACAAAGTTCTAGTCTATTCTTTTTTTTTTTTTTCAACCTTATTAGGATGTTATTTCAAAAACCAGCCTACTTCAATATGCCCCCCTACCCAACATACACTCAATCAGTTGTCAAATTAATCCAAAAAATAATCTGTGATTACATCAGTACGTTCATTTGACAGCCCTAGTTAAAACAACAGCTGATACAGAAATAACTCTTGATTAGGTGAAAATCCAATTTGTTGTCTGAGCAGAAATTGTTGGAAAAAAAATTGCTGGGTTTGCGAAAAGATAGATCTCCTACTATAGGTATTTGACACTTTTAGAGAAGTTTTAAAGTTGTTGCATAGGTTACCTTGATCCTGGACTGAGAAGTCTGTGGTGACCAGAGGTGGAACCTGCCCTCTGACGTTTGTGCTGTACACTTGCCCCCCTTGCCTTTCCTGGTCTTCCCCAATCACTTGAGTCTGAAACAGACAAGTATGCATTACAGGACAATCAGGCACCTGTAGATTTATCCAGTAGATTATGTTCATGTTAAATGATTGAGCAGATATGTAAGGACAGAAAATCTGGAATGACATCTATGGTATATTGGTTTGTGAACATGTACAGCCCAGTTCAGATTAGTAGTCCACTCACAATGCTTGGGATAGAGTCAGCATCCAGTTTTTTCTGTGGTGGTCCTGCAAGTCCACCTGGTGCCCCAGGAAAGCCCCCTGGCATACCCGGCTGGGGCCCAGTCATTGGTCCCCCGAATGGACCTGTACATTAAAGCAATGTAACAATGTGAAGGTGAAAACTGGATGCAGCAATTCTTGGTGTTTTTAATTAAATTTAAACTGAATCATCGATACTAAAATAACTATGACTATGTACTATTATCGCTACCAAAGGGTAGCTCCGTCTATCTTTGTTAGAAAAGCTCCAATATCTCTTCCAGAACCCTTCCTTTCACTAACATAGTTACCTGCTTGCTGCTGGTATCCAAGTGGACCGGCAGCTCCAGGACCAGGCTGCTGGAAACCTCCAGGGCCTGGAGGAGGAGGTCCAGGGAAGGGTCTACCCATGCCTGCCATCGGTGGACCTGCCATCTGTGGGCCTGCCATCGGTGGACCTGCCATCGGTGGACCTGCCATCTGTGGGCCTGCCATTGGAGGACCTGCCATCGAAGGACCTGCCATCGGTGGGCCTCCCATCGCCATGGTCGCTGGGGGTGACTGTGGTGGAGACATGAGGGGTGATTGTGGGCCTGGAGGCATTGGAGGCTGACCCATTGCTGGAGGAGGAGGGCTCTGCATAGGACCTGGAGCTGCAAGATTGAGGTAACACAGTCTTATAGTCATTGTTTTGATTCTTGTCTCATCCTCTCCACTAAAATATAGTGATTCTCCAAGGCACACCACATTTATCACATCCTGTTGTTGGGTCAATAAATATGAAGCAAACTTACCATAGTTGCCCATGTTCATAGCACTCATCTGATTGGTGAGCTGCTGAGTTGGGGGTGGGGCCTGGGAGGCCATGCTGTTGTATGGTGATGGTGCAGGTTGTCCATACGCAGAGGAAGCAGGTGGAGCAGGGTATCTAAAGAAGACCAGAGCTAAATTAATGTAAACTTGGAACAGTGTGGACCATGAATGTTTTCAACACTTGACTCCCCGTCAGTTTGACATTTCAGTAACATGGCCCTTATAAGCCTTAATACTTGATTAACTGCAACTATTTTTGAATCATACAAAAACATCATCAGTCTCATTTCATTGCACTGACTACAGAAAGTAAGTTGACAAAAATTTGGTAGCAAATAGTGAAGATGTTACCTTTGAGGGTGTGCACCATTCTGCTGAATATTTGGACTGTACTGACTGGACAATGGAGGTGGAGGCATACCAGCAGCAGATGAAACTGGTGATTTCATAATACCTAAAGTGAGTAACAGACATCATCCGTGTATCATAAGCATAAATCAAAACATTAAACTGTTTGTTAGCTTAGTTTAAGGTAGATCTTTAATGTGTTCAGACAAAGTAATTACTTTCCAAAGCATGTGAATTTGGCTTTAAAAGGGATGTCTTGCACATCTCATTATGTAGTTTGCCTTTCAATGCTTGATTCAAACAGACACCTGATTCCAGAGCTGCAAATTGTGCCAAGTACACAATTTGGTCAAGAGATTAATGTTTATAGAGCCTTCTTTTTATCAGACCTCAATTGCATCCTTATTTCTGGGATTGTGGGGTAATTTCTTTGCTTTTTACATACACAGCTTCTGTCTGAGTCCTTGACTGTGAAAATAAGCCACTGTGGTTGCTTTATCTTTGCCTCTAGAGGCTATACTTCACCTACATCTTATGAAAGTAGGAGCAAATAAATGATACTGTCAAGATACACAAGTTTATTCTGTGATGGATAGAATAAATTTAACAATTCAAGCTGCTATTGGGGACGTGATACAGTAACCCAAATTCAACAACGCACTATTTCAGGCCCATGGTTCTTAACTATTTCTGTCATCCTAAAATGTGACTCACTTTTGCTTCTTGCTGCCATAGCTGATTCATTTAAAAAATGAATGGTCTGATCTCGCTGGGAGGCAAGATACAACTTGTCAGATGACAGAAACGACAATCCGCAGTAGTAGAGGTGTTTTACCTGTGGGTGGAGCTGTAAACGCCTGAGGCTGTCCCCCATAATGTCCATAGAGGGGCTGAGCAGGACCAGCTCCAAATCCACCTTGGTAGCCCCCCATCCCTGGCTGGGCCTGGGAGTAAGGGGGTGCAGCAACATAACCCTGTTGACTCATGTTGTTGTGATGACTGTTAGGGTCTTCTCATGCCAGAACAAATACGATCCACAACCTGTAAAGTTGAAAGATGGAATTTGGCATTGCATGCACACAAGCGTAATATTTCACCTTAATATGTCAATATTAATTTCTTCCATACTGTATATTCAGTTCCCTGTAGAGAGCCACACCAATAACAACTGACACTTGCCCTCATGCAATAATCAACATTCTGTCACATGGACTTTTGACATTGCTTCTTGAAAGATAAGAAAGCCTTATCCTTCCTTATATTATCTTCAACGTGAGATGTGTGTTTAAGTAGGCCTATCAGGAACTCAGCTTCTTACTTGCTGTAAATACTCACGTTTGCTTAAAACTATCAATGTCAAATCCTACTTTTCTGTTCATTCTTAAACACTTTTATTCAACTACATCTTTTCCCTCTCTAAGTTTTGCACAACAGGTGGTAAATGTGCAAAAATAAGTCATTTGTGGTTAATATTGACTGAGGGAAGCATTGGGCCTGTGGGGTTATTTAGGGTGTCAAAGCCTCTAAACGGAGTAAAAGTTGAGCACAGCTGGGTCAACAAAAATAACAGCTGCGTACTTACAACTCAATGAAAACTCTCTTAACTACATTTGGCACTTAATTAACACACTTACCTTTATAGAGTATATAAATAGAGAGACATTACACAAATATGTTGTCCAGTTAAATGGTGAAGGGATAATGGTAACTGCCACGTCAAAGACCGTTATGATGGCTAAACATCTGAGCATCCCTGTCTTCCTTCAGTCTCTATCCACCTAAAAGTACACACTTAATTCATTTTACAGTGGATGTTTTTGGCAGCAAAAGAAAGAGAAACTATCTATCTAAATAGCGTGTTAACATCACAGCACAACACCTCATTCACAGTTGATTACTCTATGAGAGAAAACATCTTGCTAGCTACGCGGAAATTACTCTAAAGTTTTCCCCCGCAGCAGAAAAGCATACATTTCCAAAATGAAACGCCTTAACTTGAAGACTAATCTTACATAAAAGCACACCATTGTTTTTTTTTTGTCTGCGTGTGTAAACAGAGTCGGGGTAATATTTACCTGAATATTGGGCAGAGTCCTCTCCCCTGTCTGCTGCCCTCTGTGAATTCAGAGTGCCACGTCAAACTCCACTCAAGCACCGGTCGCTATGTTGGTTACTAACAGCACCATTTTCTACACGCAGAGGGAGACGTACAACTTCCGGTTACGTACTTCAAAATAAAAGCTTGGTTAAGAAAAAAGGGTATTACACAAGAGTTTAGACGTCGACACGATACTTTTTCACACCATTTTGTCTTTCCTCAACGCGGCAAAGCAGTCCTAAATCTCTTTACGTCCTTAAATGTGTTCTTAGATATTAACAAATGCTCTTATAATAAGGAGTAAATAAGTGTACTTCTTGTTTTGTGATATGTAAGTTGAGCTAGCTTAACAATCTTGTGAGTCGTGTCTGGCGCTGTACGCATGCGTGAAATAGTGGGAACCCATACACGTCAGCAAATCAATGATGAGATGTGGACTTGTGCTGTACAGTCACACTGTAGTCCTTGCCCAGTACACTAGCTTTATTTACTTAAAAAAGGCAACCTTTGAGAATAAGATTATAACAAAATTTATCCAGCATATTAAGATTTGATTTGACCAGAAATGTTTTAATGTCCCCTAAGGGCAATTTGGTTAAACACATATAAAAGATGAAACACACAATTCTCACATCACTGAAAGAAAGCATCCAGCAGAAATAATATCAAAAAATACATGTGAATACAAAGAGTCAGCACAATTTCATTGTTCCCATCAGTCTCACCTACGGCTTATTTTTGGCTGTTGGGAAGAATAAGACTGTTTGCCAAACCAATGAGGTATTGTCCTTATAACTCGTGGCTATGACACGAGAAATTCACTAGTGATGGGCACGGCAGTTCTTTTAGATGTAGGCTACTGAATCACCAGAATCAGTTTACTAAAAAGATTAGTTCAAAAGATTCGTTCACTAAATCACCGAATCATGTAGCGCTTGTGGGCGGAAGCCTGCGACTCAAACCTCCTGAACTGATACACAGCTGAATGTTTTAGGATTCAGTTCAATTCATAGTTTCTGGGACTGGGAGACGAGAGTGTTTGGCTGTGTTGTTTTGGCAAACAGGTTCGTAAAAATGAACTTGCTAATAAGTCACGATGTTTGAAGTGTACTGTCCTATGGTATGCTATTTATCAGGTCTGCTTGGTAAATTGGGCTCAGTTAGTGATTCGTTTACTCAGAGCCGGCCCAAGCCTCAATTGGGCCCTGAGCAAAATTTGATTTTGGGGACCCCTATTTCTGCCAACAATATTATTTGTTGATCATTCACACACCAACTACAGTATAAATTTAATGGGCCTGACATGTCTTTATACATTTAAGGGGGTGGCCTAGGTAACAACATAAATAATACCAATGCAACCATACAAATAATACCAATGAATGAATGCTGTTCAGGGTGCCACATATGGTTTGATTGATTCTGATTTTCACAACATTCCAAGTGATAAAGCATTGTGGTTCCTGTAAAAGTGGCTTTGGCAGTAAGAATCATAGGCCTACCTCTGCAGCAGCACTGAAATACTTTTACTTTATTTTACTTTTACAATAATATATATTTGATCATAAAGAAAGCATCATTCATATGTGCAAAAAATATTAATTTATTTTTTGATTGCTCTTGAGGGCCACCTCCTGGCCACAGGAGCCCTAAGCAGGCGCCGGCTCTGCATTTACTGAACATTTAGAAGAATTCAAACTGAACATGCACGTTCCCTCGCAAACCACTGCAATGATAGGATGCTGCGGGTTTAATGCACTACTTGTTACATGCTGTGTCCTATTGTAGGCAAGTTGTTGTGGTGGCAGTGTAGCGGTAACAAAACAAACAAACAAAAAAAAAGTAGTTTTGTCCAACAAAAAAGATTCTAGAGTGTTGTGCAATGCATGATTTGTTCATCAAGTGATTCAGGTGTTGGTGCATGCCGTCCCTCGTTCGCCAGCTGCTCGACTGGCAATGCTGTTGAGCTGAAGTGAGAAACGAACGAATCATTTGAGGAAGTGATTCGGTTCAGTACGTTCACTTAAAAGATTCGGTTCTTTTGAACGAATTGTTTGCGAACGACACAACACTAAAATTCACAGTCAATACTGTTTTTTCACGAAAATAGCTCTACATTTTTGCAGTCTTCTCCTAGATCCAGCCCTAGATCATGATAAAATTACAGAAAATATGAGCCACAAAAGCATCTGATGTAATAATTAGAAATAAGCACTTCTGCTTTTTATCACTGAAATATACTTGAGGTTATAGTTTTGTTGTAAATTTGTCTTTGTACAGGCTTTTCAGGCTTTAACCTGGTTATGGTAGTTATTTTTTTATGCATAATGTAGCAGTCGTCTCTGTAATAGCTCTAGGATGTCGAACAGAGCGTGAGATACAAATCCACGAGCTCAATATGACAAACCACCAGTTGCATGCAACGCCTGCAGGCGGGTCCGTGCGTGATGACGCCTCCCGAGCGGGCTGGACTCAGACCGAACTCAGATGATGGGGATAATACAGCCGTGTGGTGCAGTGGAGGTGGTAACTGTAGTGCTGCTGGTCCGGCTGACAGCTTCATGACTGCGCTGCGGAGGTTTGGCTGAGGAGCTGTGCGCAGCATGGGCACCGGGGATTACATCTGCGTGACGCTGCGTGGAGGTGCACCCTGGGGATTCACCCTTCGGGAGGGAGAGGGAGACACCTATAGACCCTTAATAGTCACCCAGGTATCTATCTCTATGTCTGTACTGGTTACTACAAAGAAGCTGTATTATTCGGATGAAAGTTTCACCATAGTGACTCTCGCAGAAGTTTTCTTATTTTTCCCAAAGTTTTGTAGAGTAATTTAGCATCGGGAATAATTGTTGAAAAGCTGATCTATGTTTGGTGGAAGAGGAGTTAATGGGAATTGTGCGTGAGGCTGCATTTTTGTGCGCGTTGGCTGTGTTTTGGTGCGAGATTCCTCGGAACCCTTATATGGTCAAGGCCGAGAGAGCGTGTGAAGCTGAGGGCAGCTCGATCTGTTATCACTCACAGAGACTTCAGCGAGAAAGCGAAGTGTTATCGTGGTAACCTGTGAGTGAGAGGGAGGTGCATCAATGCAAAATTTCAAACCATTAACGACACCTGAAGCTGAGATATGAGGTGCAAGTGTCATTTCAGGAGGGGATTCAAACAAATGAGAGCAAGGAGTACAGGCGTATGCTGAAAACACATTTAAATTCCCTGATAATGTAGAAATGGACTTGATGCAGTCCATGGTTTTATGACGTATAGCCAGTTTACATATGAAAAGCACATGCTGCAACACTGGGATGCATTATATTGTTTATGGCACTAGTCTTTTATTTGAAGTTTTGTACCATTTTAGTTTTATTTAGCTACAGAATACTTACATTAACTCCACATGAGCTTAAGTTGTGTCTTACATGTTGCATCCTTTGTATGCAGGTCACTAAATCATGCAGATCCAGCTGTGCTGAAACTGTGCCTCAATACAGTGAACTTCTATAAGTAAAAGTTAGTGTATGGATCATAAAAGATGAAAATAAATTAGGCTACATTCAGAAGTTTTACTGCGGCTTGCTTTTTCCAAGCCCAGTGTAAAATACCCGTTGGTCCTAAAAAATTTAAGGTCTAGATATGAAACATGTCACATAAATGCACAAATATATGCAGCTATCACAAGTTACGTCAAACTTATCTTGCTGTTGTAAATGTTTACTCAGACGAAAAGCCAGATGCCTTTGTTTTAAAGAGTAGCTGAGGCTCTATATATGGTATGGCAGTGCACAGTCACAAATACTCAGGCTGCACAGATCTCTCGTCAACTTGCAGGGGAAAATGTAAATGTTTTCCCAAAGCTGAATTCCTGTAAATTCAAAGCTCAGCCAGAAGAAGGTTAATAATAGCAAAGACAGAAAAAGGAAACCAGCATTTAAGTCGAAATTTTGATTTTGCTACTGTTGTAGGACAATGATTAATATGTCCAATTACTCCAACTGGTGAAAGGAAATGACAAAAATGTTCACTTAAACTCTCTAAACCTGTTATTTATTAGCAAAAACACCCCCCAAAGTCTAACGTTTTTTGGAAATATTATTGAGCATGAGCTAATATAACCCTCGTAAACTGGCATGCTAAAACTTGGCAGCAGCAGGTCTGTCCCCTTCTCTCTGAGAGGGAATGCCCCCTTTACCAATTTTCTTCCGAATTGTTTTTCTTGAAAAATAAAGTCTGACATGTTGGTCTAATACATTGAAATAGCTGCTATGATGCATGAACCTCCAAATATAACATCTGTGTTCCTCAGTCCTCATCTGGATCTCCAAACATACCTTCAAACTCCTCACATGGGAGGCCAAGTCTGTTAGTTATAAGGCAAAAAAAGCAAACATACCAACATCATGACAAAAACCTAAATCAAGAGGCCCTCCTGGGTCTGATCAACTGTGATTTTTATTCAGGATTCTTTTTTAAAGTAGTTGAAACTGTGTTTTGTTTCTCGGGGAAAGTGATTGTTCAGTGTACTGACAGGCGGTACAGAGTAAGAGCACGGGGTATCCACTCCTAAAAGGTTCTTTCCTTATAAGGGAGGCAGTATTTTTCTTCTCATTTGGAGTCCTGGCCTGAGTACAAAGTCGATGAGGTCACTTCTTTTTTAAAGCTACAGAAACGGCACAATGCAGAATTTCTAAAAGAACTGTGCCACAAATACATATTAAGAAAACATGTAAGAAGTTACATCTGATTTATCGCACTATTATGCTGGTTTGAGGTGTCTTTGTTTAAAAAAAATACTGAGATAACATCAGTATTAATACCCAATAGCTTAAATCCTTCCAACCTGAACTGGAGACATTTTGCCTGCTAATTACTGAAGTATGCCATGTTGGTATGTGGAACGTCAACATGTATCAGATCAGTTCTGGAGCTCTGCATGACAAAGCAAATATCTTAATGCAAGTCAGACACTTTCCAGACTCTCACTTAATGAGAGCTTATCTTAAACGTATCTACACTCTGTGAGAAAATATTCACAGTTCGAAGAAAAAGTCCTTTCTGCGTGGGTGACCTTGACCTTACAGAGAGAAACAGGCCCTTGTTGCAGATGCTTGGCTCTTAATTGCACGCCATAGGAGTGTCATTAAGCTGCTGAGCAATCGGTACAATAAATGCTGTTTCTGCATTCATTCAGTGCATTTAATTTTCAGAGTAAACAAAGTACTCCTTCTCAAACTAGGGTTTATTGGCATGAGGATATTCAAAACAACAGTGCCATTTTTTCCCCCTTTTCTGTTCCTATTCAAATTGTTGTAAGTTGCAGCATGTGAAAACTCTTTGCCAGATACCCAAAGTAAGGACATTTGTATGACTCAGAGGATTATGTAAAAAATGGACATCTTGTGCAAAGTATGTAACAACATCATCTAAAAGTGTAGGGTTAGCTTTGTTGCCTCAGCAAGAGGAATCCTGGTTGGAGGGATACCTGACTGGGTGGGCAGGAGTGTGTCTGTGAGGAGTTTGCATGTTCTCCTAGTTTATGTACTCCTGCTCCTTCCCACAATGCAAAAACATGCTTGAGAAGTTAAATGATGAATCTGTAGTTGTGGATATGTATGGGGATAGTTGCCTTAAAGTGTCTGTAGACATTAAAATATAGTCAAGTGAAAGGAACATCTTAATAATGTCACTTCAGAGCAAAAATATCATCATGATTTGTGAATATACCTGAATGATTTCGAGATTTTAGTTTGATGAACAGACAAATAGGTTCTGTAAAAACCATCTGTAAAATATTATAATCTGCTGTTTGGCTGACAAATGAGCTTTTAAAGAGTTTTAACACCTCATCTTTCTGTTTATCTTTAAGTTTGCCAGATTTGAAGGAATGCTGACCTGTCTTGGCAGTCAAAGAATTTAGTTATCTGCCAGCACATTCACTTTAGTCACAGTTAAGCCTTTTCCTTGAGTGTCTACACCTCTCTTCCTAGAGGAAAAAGAGAAGATGAGTAATCAAGGACTATGACTTTACTTATCCCCCCACATGGTGTTAGTTTTACCTGTACTGCAGCTGGAAAATATTTGCCCGAAATGTAAAAACATAATTGCTTAAAGCTGCAAGGGTCAGGAAACGCCGGGAGCTACATGAACGCATTGTGCAGTCTTGTGTTTCCTGTGATTTTCTGTTCTGTTTAAACCTATTAAATAGATAATTTGAAAATGAGCAACCCAGGATAAAACCTTCACGTAATGCGAAGTTACTGAGGCCTCACACAGTGCCAAGCATGAATTCTGATAGTTTGGAAAATTGCATCTTTTGGGAGGCACTTTATTTGAAATAGTTCTCGGTTTGTTTTTTCTCTATTTGGAATTACTAGTGACTGTTTGTCTTTAAAAGCAGCACATGACAAACAGGATAGAGGTGGTATCTTACTCATCTGAACATTGTCTCACTGTGTATCTCACTGTTGCGAGGAGAGACAACGACAAATGTTTCCCCTCCTTTTTTGGAGCATGAGTGCGTTGCTGTGGCGTTGAAGACAAACCGTCCTCCCTGTAGTGAAGAGGGAGTCCCTGAGGACAGGAATACAGGCTGCCTTATAGGGCCTGTTTGTACTCTGTTAACTCTTAAAATCTCACAGGGGTTTTATCTGGAAGCTGCCAGCTCTGTAAAGTTACTCATAAAATGATTTTGTATATAGGACCCTTTTTTGTTGCACTGGATGTTGCTTTTACTTGAAGCAGGTATAAACATTCAAGGTTAGGTTTAAATTGCAGGTATAGGGCTCCTTGTATGTACTTTTTTGATGCGTGATGATAAAAAAGCCAAATTAGCTTTTGCTGTAAAAATGCATGATAAACTGTTTCATTTGAATTAATCTGTCTCTTGGTCTGACTTTTAATCTCTAAACATGCATGTATTGTCCTTTGCCCTGCTTCATAGAAGCTGTGTTTCCACTGCCATCTAGTGGCAAGGTTACTTTTCTGCAAGTTGGATGCATGTTGGAGGTTATGCTGCATGTGTTGTTGGGTTTATTCTCATCTATAACCATAAAAAGATCCACCATGAAGAGAGTGACATTGAATTTCTATGGGTTGCAGCGTTACAAATATTTATATAAATTGATAACTGTTGCTTTTTTTCAAGTATTGGAAAAACTCCCGAGCTTTCAGCTGCCTTACATTAAGGTTTTCACTTTCAATTTCACATAACACATGTGGCTGTTTTGTGTAAAAATCTTAATATATTATAAATCAACTGCTTCTGTGGTGAAAAAATGGGCATTAGCATGACAGTCTGGTCATTTAGTCATCTTTAGTGCCATCAGATGTTGGCTTCATACATTCTGATCTATGTGACCATTACTGCCTTAATGTGTAAATTAATCCTTCAGAGGAATTAACAAAGGGAATATGAAGACTCATGACCTTGTTACGCAGGAAGAATCAAGTTTTAGACTTCTCAAGTATGTTTTATTTTTCTAACAGCTTTTTGTCTTTTTTAATAGTGAATGTAAATATACAAAAAAAAAAAAACACAAGCAAAAGAGGGGGTCATATATTGTGAGTAAAACACTTTGAAGTGGTTGCCAATCCAAACAAACATGCAGACTGTATTTTCTCTGAGCTGTTTACTTTGTATTATATGCAGAGTTTCTTCCTGAGAGTATATCCTCTAATTGCAGCGTACTGAAGTAATCATTTTTGCCTGCAAACTGTATGAGTGGCCTTTTGTGCAAAATTTATGGGGTATTTCTCCTTATTAAATCCCCTTATTAATGAACCGTTTTATAGGCTTCAGGAACCAATTACAAGAGAATGAAACCATCAGTCATTAGTGTAACTGTGTAAAGAAGTGCCCTCTAAATGAGTCTGCACAGAGCCGGCCTACAGCAGTAATAAGGAGCTGCATGGTTTAGATACAAGGTAAACCTAGCTGACGTCATTGGTCTAACTGTTTGTGGAGTGTAATGTGAATTTAGCTGACTGTTTCACTGCTGATCATGCATGCACAACCATTACAGTAAATTTTACAATGTTACAGTAATTATGTGGAGAACGCCGATACTTCTGCTATCATATCCTCATATAATGTTCCACAAATATCAATAATACTGTTAAAAAACCTCCTGGTTCACTCTATGGAGAATCTCTATTCACATATTCAATGATTGCACCCTATAAGCATTCCTAAAAGGCTTCATATTGACTATAGAACCATCACTAACAAAACCTGTTTCCAAAATCCATCTTGTGTTTGCCTGTAATGATTAAACTTGCAAAGTGACAAAACAATCCATTTAGGTAAAAAATATATATACTTCTGTTATTTTTACTGGAATCCACTATATTTCTGGGACTTACTTACCTGATATATTGGTGTAGTGGTTAGTGTTTTCTGCATCAATTTGATGGCATCTAGCTAGAATACCAAGCAGCTGATTCAGGGAAAGAATCACACCTAAGGCAGCCTGTATATTCGTGTTTTTTGTGGTTGCTAACAGAAGATGATGATACTTCATAACAATGTATGTTTGAGGTTACCATGCTGACTTGGTGTTTGAAAGGCTTGCTTTAGTTTTTTCTTTTTTTCCTTTTTAAAGAAGGACTTTGTCTTTCACAGGTACAAGAAGACAGCTGTGCCTTCCTGGCTGGTGTACGGGATGATGATGAGGTGGTGTCACTCAACGGCGAACCATGTGCTGACCTCACCCTTTTGCAAGCCTTGGAGCTCATTGACACATCTATTGACTGTCTGCAGCTGCTCTTGAAAAGGTAGAGCCACAACATAGCACTTATCAAACAGCTGATGCTGAATTGATGTTGAGCCAGTCTGTTTTGCAAAAGTACAGTATTTGTGTGCAGTGTCAGCTGAGCAGTACAGCACTCAAGGCCCAACAGCAAGGCAAAATAATAATTTTCTCTCATGCATTAGCATTTAGATAGCATGTTGTTTTATGACCTGTGCACCTTTTCATAGTTCAGTGAGCCTCTGACTGTCTGAGTAAATATGTGCACTCATGTGACTTTATGAGTTGCCTGTGTGTTGACCTTCCAACTGTGAGGCCAGTGTGTCAGTGTGTTACAGATTTGTGAGTCTGATTAACATGCAGCTGCTCGGCTGTTGCTCAGAGGTTTTTTTTGCTCATGGGCTTAGAAGGGCAGTATGTCCTCATATATTGCAAGACATGCCTAAAATGTCCACATCATCATATCAGAATGAAAAATAACAAATGAATCATGAAAGGAGGCACTGTCTTTTAATGAACAGTTGTTTTAATTATTTTTTTCCCCTTTCACGCTGTCTTTTTTCTATTTTTCAAGATACAGCGCCATCCCTTCAGATGACAGTGAATCCCAAGAGACCTCCTGTGGTGAGAGGGACTCCTCTGGTGAGGTTCTTGAAAGCACAACCCTTCACATTGTCTCCTCAAAGCACAGCTCCCAGAGCCCGAAGGAACTCTACATATCTGAGTCCCAGGATGAAAATTACAACATAGAGTTGGACATTGAGTTTGCCAGAAAGCCTCAGCTGCTTAGCACTAAGCTACATACCACCTCATGTAGTGATCAGAGAGACCAGGAGGACGATGATGGAGAAACGCGGCGGTGCCTCTCTCCTGGGGACATGGTGGAGCTCCAGGTGTCCCTCTCTGAGCAAACTCTGGATGACGTGGGATGCACATCTCTTGGGAGTGCCCTTGGAATTGCAGGAGAACTTTCAAACAGAGAGGCCATCTTCACAGTCCCAACCACCATCATCACCACCGCATCTTATGACCTGCCGAGCTCAGTTAGAGAGCCACTCAGCCAGCACGGAGTGGTGCTCAGCTCCCCTTCCATGCTAGGGCAGGTGGAGGTCATCTTGCAGCAGCCAGCAGCATTGGGAGCAGGGAGGGGCATCCTGAATGTGGGTGGAAGTGTTGGATCCCAAAGTGAAGGAGAAGAAGGAGGAGGGCGCTGCGAGGGAGTCCCTGGGTCATTGACTGTGTCATTTGGAGTTCCCTCAGAAGAGGGGACAGGAGGAGAAGAGCAGGACTCTGATTCTGATTCTGAGGGGGATCAAGACAAACCCAACAAACACAGAGCCAGGCACGCCAGTAAGTACCTATGAGCCTCTTCAATTTCTTTATGTATGTGTTAAATCTTTTCTTTTGTGTGTCATTGAGAAGGTCGTGCAAATCTGTTCATTTAAAGAAAAATCTGCAAGCTAATAGGTCAACAGTAAAATGCATTTGTCAACAACATGTGTGCATTCCTAAGCCTGATGTCCGGTGTGTGAACTCCTCAAAATAGTATCTGTCACTGCAGTTGGAGGAGGGCGCTCAGTCCTTCAAATGGGACTAGATACATCCGGGTCTGACCTGGAATACTACTGAGTCAAAGTCATTGCAGATAGGATGGTAAAAGTCAACAAAAGCTATCATAAATGTAAAGAATCAAAGAATCAAATAAAAAAAGGCACTGCATGGATTATATCTGGAAAGCATCTTATAAAATATCTCAGAGTATTCATTTGAAGCGGCTCCGTGATTTATATGGATACTCAGGCGTTCCTTCAGAGCTGTGTTGAAGACATAAATATAACACGAGCACGCTGATGATGCCTGCAGAAGTGGCCCTTTGACGGACACCAGCATGTGCTCCCCCAGCCCCGTTACCTGATCCTTTCAAACTGGGTGCTTTAACTGAGCTAAAAAAGTGAGCCCATTGCTCACTCCCGCTGTCCCCTCCACCTTCAGGTTAGTCTTGCAGGAATAAAAAACAAGATCCTGCTGATTTCTCTATAACAGGCTTGCTTTGCTGGATCATTTGAGGTCATTTGTTGTGTTGTGTATGTGCTGTATGTTAGATGAGCTTATGTATCAGAGGATTTGGCAGATTTAAGAAGAACAGAAGGCTGTAAGTGGACAACTTGTGGACTTTCACACAAGGACTGGTAAAGAGGCTCGGATCCTGTGGATTTATTGCATGCGGTCTATCTTTAATCCTTCTCGGATCCTATTCCTGGCTACTTTATGGGGGACTTTCTGATGTTAATTGTCTATGAACAAGTCAGTATATGGGACATGGGTCAGAGATTTTCTATTATTGCTCTATTGGTTGTTGTTTTAAATTTAACAGAGTGAGAAGATTGACAGAATGCAATTTTAAAAAAAGAGAGGCTGTTGCTTTAGATGGATAACGATTGTGTGGACTTTACATGTGTGTGATTTGAAAGTTTTTATGTGAAGGTGTTGGTTTATGAGTTACATAGACAGCTTATTTATTGTTGATAGTGCAAATGGGTCACCCTGTTGTCATGTCAGAGTTATGCTTTTTAACTACATTGCTTTAACCCCCTTTTTTGCTCTCAGTATGAAGCTATTCTTTTCATACAAGCTATTTTTACTCTTTACTCTAAACTGGGTTTGATACAATAATTTTTCGGGATTTGCTAAAAAGTTAGATTAAAATACAAATCCTAATAAAGATTTAAAGGAAGCTGTGGTTGGATTTAAGATCAGGCTTAAAGTTTTCCTTGATATAAAAAAAAAGAGAGAGAAGTATAAACAAAATCATCATTTTATGAAGGATAAGAAATCTAATTTTTCAATCTATATGTTTTCTTTATAAATAAATATACCCCAAAGGGATTTAAGATTTGTTTGGTTCTTTTCTCCCTCATTTGATTTCCAAGAGGAGCTTTTCCTCAGATTTCCCTTGTATTGAAACACCCATATCTCTCTTTTTTGTCTCTACAGGGTTTAGGCGTGGCGAGAGTCAGTCAGAGAAGCAGCTGAAGGAAGCCAAGTCCAAATGTAAACGAATTGCTCTTCTTCTTACGGCTGCTCCGCCCAACCCCAACAACAAGGGGGTGTTGATGTTCAAGAAACATCGGCAGAGGGCCAAGAAATACACACTTGTGAGCTACGGCACAGGAGAAGACGAACCTGACTACAGTGACGAAGAGGACGAGGAAAACGAAGACAGAAAGCAAGGAACCCAAACTGTTGAATTCACTCTTCTGGCTCCAAACAATTCTGAAGCGGATAAGCAGTTTCTTTCTAATGCCCAAAGTGGAAAAAGTGTGCTAACTATTAACTTGGACAAGGGTCTGCTTGAGATTGAGAGGAACCTGAACAACCAAGCAGAGATGGAGTGTTTGCCTGAAACCAAGGGAAAGGGTGCTCTGATGTTTGCCCAGCGGCGTCAGAGGATGGATGAGATTTCGGCTGAACATGATGAGCTCAGACGCCAGGGGATTCCTGTTGAAGGGGTGATAGAGGCAGAGAAAAAGATTACAGAGCACTCCTACATACAGTCCACAACAGAGAGCAATGCTTACATGGATGTAAATATTCACCAACAAAGCCAACAGCAGCAACAGTACCAGCAATATCAGGAGCAGCAGTACTATGAGCAACAACAGCGGTACCAACAACAACAGCAAAACTACCACCAACAACAGCAGCAGCAGTACCAACAACAACAATATGAACAGCAGCAGTATGAACAACAGCATTATCAACAACAGCAGATGTACCAGCAGCAACAGCAACATCAGCAGCAAGAATATCATCAAGAGCAGCAGCAAATGCAGCACTACTCTACGAACATCAACGGCACAGTCCATCAGCAAACAAGTGAAATGCAGAGCTCTCTCAGTAATCGTACTGCAAAGCCATTCTCTGCAGAAAACATGGGAAATACCACTTATTCTCCCGCAATGAGTGGGACCAATCAAGATTCTATGGGCCAAGGAGAGCAGATAGCTTCACGGGATGAGCGCATTTCTACCCCTGCAATCAAGACTGGTGTTTTGATGGATTCAAAGAAAAGAAACATGGGCAAGCCAATGTTTACTTTCAAGGAAGCACCGAAAGTATCACCCAACCCAGCATTACTAAACCTTCTCAATCGGAGTGATAAGAAATTGGGTTTTGAGTCAGGGCCTGAGGAAGACTACCTTAGCCTTGGAGCTGAGGCTTGTAATTTTCTCCAGTCTGCAAGACTTAAACCCAAGATTCCTCCACCAGTGGCTCCAAAGCCTATGATCAATCCCAACTCTCCTCCTTGGTCCCCACAGATAGAAGTGACCAATCAGGACATGCCTCCACAAGCTGAAAATAGTGTGTCCACACCTGCTGTAGCCCCCACCGCAGACACTACCCTTGCTCCAGAACTGGAGCCAACCCCTGCACCTGCCCCTGAGCCCGCTCCCCCTCCTGCCCCCCAGGAGGCTCCAGCCAGTGCTATGACAGAACAACAGCCCACATGGATTCATCAGCCAGAAACTCAACAGGAACCTCTGCAAGTGCCAGCCCAAGAGGAAAATGGTCATATGAATACCACCCAGCAGCCTGAGCATGCTCCTGTGACAAGCTGGTCTACAGCACAAACACAAGCCATACAACAGCCACCTACTGATGCATGGCATCCAACTCAAGTGCAGCCACAGGAACCACCTCCAAGTCAGTCCCCACCACAGCCACCTTGGGTGACACGCCAGCCTCCCCAGACCCAGCCACAGGTTCAACCCTCCACAAATACTTGGACCCCTCAAATTCAGCCATCCTGGAGTCAACCTCAAGAGCAAGTGCAAGCCCCAGCTCAGGTACAGCCACCCTGGGCCCAGCCTCAAGAGCCACCTCAGCCACAGTATCAGCCACCCTGGGCACACCCTCAAGGGCACCCAAGTCAGCAGCAGCAAATGCAACCAACTTGGAGTCAACCTCAAGAACAAATGCAACAGCAGCAACAGGCCCAGTGGGCACAGCCATCACAAACAGAGTCTCAGCAGCAACCACCATGGGTGACACAACAACAGCAACAGCCTCAGCCTCCTTGGGTTCAGCAGGTTCAGCCAGAATCCCAATCACAACCCCCATGGGCTCAGCAACCACAGCATCAGGCCCCTCAACAAGCATGGCCACAAGCCCAGGCACCAGGCCAGCCTCAGCCACCTTGGATTTCAGTGCAGCCTCAACAGCAACCTCCAATGAATACATGGCCTCCATCACAAACTCAAGCCGAAGTTCAACCGCCTTGGGTCCAAGCACCCCAAGCACAGCCTCCTGCTCAACCCCAAGCCAATTTAAATCCATGGGCACCAGTACCTGCACAGCCTGAGCCCCAACCATCATGGGCCCAGCAGCCACCAGAACATGAGCAGCATCCCATGAATTCTTGGGCCCAAGACCAAAACACTGCCCAACAGCAGCCACCTTGGGCTCAACCTGTTCCACCCCAGCCAGCACCACAGTCAAACTGGCAACAGTCCCCTTCAAAGACCCCACCACAGCAACCAATTAATACATGGCCTTCAGCTCAGACACAGCCTCAGACACCTGTAAGCACCTGGGCACCACAGGCACCGCAGACACCTGTGAGTGCTTCTGCTTCAATACTGAACCCTCGTCCCTCTCCGAAACCTTGGGCTCCACCACAAAGTTCGTCCCAAAACCGTACACCTCCACCTCCACCACAGCGAATGCACTCTTTTACCATTGGTCAAAGAGTGTCATCACCCATCAATCCAATGGCCACTGTGTTGAATCCATCATCCCAAGGTTCATCTTTTGAGATGCCGGCAGTAAGAGGAAAAGGAGCTGATATGTTTGCCAAGAGACAGTCTCGGATGGAGAAGTTTGTCGTGGACTCTGAGACTGTGCAAGCAAACAAGGCAAGCCGGCCAACATCGCCAGTTGCTTCATTGCCGAATGAGTGGAAGTATACACCAAATGTACGTGCCCCACCCCCACGGGCTTATAATCCCATTCAGTCCCCTTCTTATCCCCCAGCAGCAACAAAGCAGCCCCCACCTGGTAGCCCCTCATCCAAAGCCAAGAAAAAAGGCAAAGATAAGCAAACACCTGCTCCTAAACCTCTCAATGTTATAGATGTTATGAAGCATCAACCCTATCAACTTGATTCTTCTCTGTTTCTCTATGGCCCGGCAGCAGAGGCTGCCAAGCAAGCTGCATCTAAACCTGAATGCCCCCCTCCTAACCCACCTGTTGAAAACCAACCAGTGCAATATGAGCAAATGGCTCCTGTCCAGCAACCTGGACCATATAATGCCCCATACCCCCAGCAAGCCTATGGGATGCCAATGCAACCAATGATGCAGGATGGCCCCTATCAACAAAACCCAGTTAATGTTTATCCTCCCCCCAACCCCTATCAGCAACCTCCAGGTGTTCCATACCAGCAAGCCTATCCCCAACAGTATCAGCAACCTGCTCCACCCCCTTACCAACCCCAAGCTCCTCAGTCTCCAAACTCTCCCTACCAGCAGGCCCCGTACCAACAAGTCAATAGCTCCCCCTACCAGCAGGCACCACAGGCTCCTTACCAGCCAGCAAATAGCCCTCCTTACCTTGCTGCTCCCTCAGTACCTTACCAGCCGCAGCCACCCTCAAGCTTTGCCACCCCTAGTTTTAGTGCAGCAGCAGCAAGGCCTGATTCTGCATCAGGTGGCAATCCTGTAGCTGCTCCTAAACCCAAGTTTACTGCTAAAAAGAGCTCAGCTCAGGTGTGGAAGCCTACAGCAGTGGAAAAAGAATGATTCTAGTCGAATCACACTGTATGTTTGATGTTTTCTTGAGTTAAAGGAGTGGAGCTCCCTCAGTCCACAGCCAAGTGGACTATTTAGAGCACATAGACTTGCTAGCAATGACCATCTCAACCTTCATTTGCACTTGTTATTGTTGTAAGGCAGAACTTGATTGATTTCAAAGGTGAGGGTTGGTGTGAGTGACATTGAGAACAAACTAAGATGTCAAAATACGATTGAGATGTATGTGTGTCTTTTGAAATAAAAGAGCAGCGAATGAATAGAACATATACAGTATGTTTTAACAGATTCATATGAAATTCTACGTATGATACTACAGAAATCACAATAAATTAATGTAGTCTATAAAGAATAAAAACTGGTGGTAATATAAGAATGTAGGGATGCACTGTGATCTGTAAGAATTGAAAGAAAGAAGTGATAGAGAAAAGGAATCAGTGATTTGTGATTGATTCAAGACTGATAACAGGAAGTTCATTTTTTTAAAAGGAGAAAATACTACATGTGCCTTGTGTTAATACAAATAAAACAAACCTTAAAATTATTAGTTAGTCTTTAAATAAAAGAGAGTAAATAAATCAAAGATAAAAATAAAGTAGGGAGGGGAAGGGTGTGGTTTGTGGGGTGTAATGATACCACACTGAAAGCTAAATTTGTAAGGTCAGTGAAGTCATAAGTTTGAATATTATGTAACGACTCCATGGGATTAAAGGTCAGATTACAGAAAAATCCTTTTCTTAAAAAAAGCCAAATTACTGATTCTTCAACAGCTTCCCCCAGAGTCTTTACTATAGTACCACATATGTGGGTTAACTTTATTTTAAGCTTTTTTTTTCCAGCTGTTGCATCATGTTAGGAACTATATTTAAACTGCCTCATGGGAGGGAGTGCCGAGGTCCAGAGATAGTAGGCTTAAATTTCAGCGTAAGCCATTAAAAGCTACTGAACCTCAGACCCTTGTAGTATTTTTTTTTTTCTGATAACAGAAAAATATTATGAATCCTCACTCATCTTGCAACTTCTGCATTTTTTATTTATTTGATTAGTGGTTAATGATATATGAAAGAAGAATTACTGAAAGGATAATCAGCCTGTTAATATGAATGATTATATTTTTGGTACAGGGCTGTTTTTGCTCTCTGTGTTCTTTTCTTTTTCCTTCTCCTTTGTGTGTTTCTCCTCATAGTGCACTTTTCTGTATGATTCACTGCAGTGCCATTAAAATGTCTTTTATCCTTGTTTGGCTTTCCTTTCCTTCTGTTCCTCAGGCATGCTTTTGGGCTTCATCTGCTGCTAGTCTGTTTTTCTTTCATCTTTGCCACATTTCACTGCTTTTTCACCTGTGCTAAAAGTACTGTCAGAATTATTCAATAACAAACATTACCGTCATTAAACAATCAGAATTAAAACACACACCCTCAATCGTTTTGCAAAACCAGCGTTGCGAAATAGATCCCTTATTTGAACAATAAAATCAAATCCAATGCTAATGCTGTGCAAACATCGGCCAGGAACACCTCATTATCGAAATCACCTCAATTTACGGGCATGGAGGTGAATGCTGGAGCAGCACATTCCTGCAGAATGACTACCTAGTGATGCATTCGCAAGGGGTATTATTAGATCAGTGACTTCACTGAATGAGTGCAGCCTCACTGGTTAAATCAGGAGGTCAGGAGAGTGGGTCACTGCTGAAATGTATATGGGTTATGTCATGCATTTTCCAAAAGGGCAGTTACTTGTTAAGAGGAAGTTTGGATATCAAATTGTGTCTTAATTTGGCTGATTTCTGCAGCTATATGTGGAGGGACAAGTTCCACTGCCAAATTGATAGAATCTACTGTAAATTACATATGTGATTTTAACTTAAGATCATAAAAATAAAAGCTGTATTTGAAAATAGTGTCTAAAGAATGGGATTTGAACAGATGTAATTATGAGGGAATGTTAAATAGAATTAAGGCAGTGACTAAAGGTAGACTCAAGACTCAGCAACTGCACATTTCAGGTTAACTTAAGGAGGGCTAATGCTTATTTTAATGCATGTTTTAGCCAATACTGTGTCCTACAAAGTTAAAGAATAAACTGGAATATATTTCCTTACAGACCTTAAATCACATAAAAATCCATGTCCATACTTGACCTATTGGAACATCTGTTTGGAAATCAAAGCCCTTTACATGCACATCATCACAAATACCCACATGCTCAGATAAAATTTGAAAATATGTTATCTTCTTGAGTGACATAATGGACCACATCAATAACATGAGGCAAACACATACAGTGTTTATAGCAGTTATCCTTGTAGACTAAAATATGACTTGAGGTTGTCCACTAATCTCCTTATTGATTTGTGTTTGTGTCCTAATCCAGGACAAGCTGACAAGATACCTGAGTCAGCTAAGACTTTATTCCCCCTTGACTCATTTAACTATCTTGTTTTTGTCTTTTTTAAGACTGCACTCTTTTCTGCTCTTTAGTTTTTTCTTTCCTGATTCATTATTTTGATTCTATTTTTGCTTTAGTTTCCATCCGCTGATCTTCACACATTTCACCAGATGAGGGCAGCACTGCCTTTTTCTGCATATCTGCCACATGCATTAGAGTGTCCTCAAAGACAGGACCCCTCCGCCACAGAGGTGTTCTCACCCTACATAACCTTTGGCCACCTGGGCGCTTGACAGGATATTTTTATATTGAGCATTTAACAGTTTTACCATGTGGTTGCCATTCTTGAAGAGCACATCCTTGCTCTGGGAACTCCATGCAAACTTTCAAGCTTGTTGTTAGACAAAATAATGAAGCAGTTCACTTTAAAACTACAAGGTTTTTGTCTGGTTATTTGTGGATTTCCGTATTTTTGCTAAAAGAATAAAACAGGCAGCAGTTTCAGATATAAAATCCAATGTTAGAGTATTACATCACTCCAGAGAAATTTGTTGATATAGAGCTGCTCTCTTGTCCAACATTTCAAAGACTAGTTTCATTTGGCCAGAAGGCCAGTCAGGCAAACAAAAAGGAACCCTTACTAAAATAAGCATGTCTGGATCTTTCTTTACAGGCACTTGGCAGGAGCTATTCCCTCTCCCCATTAGCCAGAGTACCATCCGCCACAGGCCAGAGGTCAGCCTCTTCCTCCCCCAAGCCTCCTTCCCGAGCCTCCTCAACTCCCCCAGTGAAGCAGACACACCGACCAGAGAAAGGTCACAAACCCCTGACACCCTGGGAGGCGGCCTCCCGTCATCCCCTGGGCCTGGTGGATGAAGCCTTCCCAGATCAGAACCTCCAGCAAACCCTCGCTTCAAACATCCGCATGGCAGCCCAGCGGAAGATCCTGCCTGAGCCGCCAGCGGAGTGGAAGGCCAGGGTTTCCTACCAAGCCCCACAGAAAACAGGCAGCCAGACTTGGAGTCAGAGTCAAAGCCACAGTCCACGTCGGGCTCCACTGCCATCATTTATGTCCCCGACGAGGAGCACCATTTCCAGTCCTGGAGGGTGTGCTGGTTATAGATCTCTGCCCAGACAGTGGCGGCCTCAGAAATCTGCCACAGAGGGGAACCTGGGGCCGTCAGTGTCCTATTCTGAGTATAAGAGGCCCTCTGGAAACCAGACTTACAAGTCTGTGTACAACAGCAACACTTGGAGTTGGAAGCGGTAGGATTCAGTTCAAGCTCTGGGACTTTGAAATAAGACCAATCAAGTGCATTTTAGACATAATCCTTTAATCAACATCTAAACAAGCAATAATACATAGAGTGAGTCTATTGAGCGTACAAAATGAACTTGATATTTGGGGGGAAAAAAGTGGTAGAATTCTCCTGTTTTTACCGCAAATGTTTAAAAATACTTTCTACTTTTTTTCAAGTCTTAATAACAACAACATTTTTGCATGCAGTACCAATAGGCAAGAGAGATGATTGCTCAGTGTAAGAAAATCTTTAAAAAAATGATTCTAGTAATATAGTGGTTGGTATACACAATCTCACTGAAATGGAATTGTAGTTTTTTAAGTAAGGCAATAAGTATGTTGTTAAAAAATGGACAAAAAAGGAGAAGTTTACTATCTCGTAGCTTGTAGCTCATAGTAGGTTGCAATCAAGTATTTCTTCTTGAGTTGTTTTGATTTTGTTCGAGCTGGTTTCATTTTCTGCTGTGACTGTACGTATCTAGCATGCTGGTTCTTGCAGTGATAGTGCACACTTATTTGAATATTCTTGGTTGATTTTGAATCCGTGAAACTTGAGGCTGTTGTGTTCCAGATCAGGTCGTCTTCTCGCAAGCAGAACACAATTAGAGGTGCGTCAGATGTGTGAGGCTCGAAAACTTGGGGAAAGGTTAGTGCTATAACTCAGAATGTTGTGGGCGGACATGTTGTTATGTAAGCTCTAATAAGTGAGATTAATTCACTTATTTGCCGGGAGAGTTTTAATTAGTGCATTAGCATGTGGCCACGAATTAGACAGAAGGGTAGAGTGAGGATGAGAAGCTGAGAGTGAGGCATCCTTTCTGTCAACAATTACAAATCTTTCTCGGGGCACAAGGTGAACTTATTCATTGTAACATTGCAGCCCCTCGTGTCTTAAAATGAGAGGAAGTAAGGGTAACACTTTACAATAACCATAATTTATAAATGGTAAATAGATGGTTTATTCATGTTTAATCATCACTAAAAAACAATATTTGGTTTTTAAACAATCTATAAACATTACTTAGATGGTTATTGTAAAGTTGCAACTGATGTTTGTAATACTTTATAAATGATTAATAATTGGTTTATAAACCACCTATAAACATTACTTAGATGGTTATTGTAAAGTTAGGGTTAGGGTTAGGTTTTTAAAATTGTAAAATTTACAATTTATTAATGGTATATATGCCATTTATAAATAATGATTAAACATTAATAAACTATCTACTTACCATTTATAAATGGTCTACTTACCATTTATAAGTTATGGTTATTGTAAAGTGTTACTGAAGTATGGAGCTTTACTTGGGAGTGAAAGATAAATTTGATTGCATCGGTTGACTGGCACTTTTGAGAATTTTCTGACTGAATGTTGTGGGATTAATGCTTGTAATAGACTTGTAATCATCTCCAAAGACTCAAGCTAGGTTGCGTATACATATTGTCCTGATGTGATTCTCACCAAGCACTCTCATAAACAAAAATTAAACCTTTCACTCTGCATTTAGTTTTTTCCGGACTGACTCACTTACTGTTATATTTTTTGATTGATGGAAACACCAAGAATCGATTTCTTATGCAAACAAATCCAAATATTGATTCTCACAAAGCATTCAACAAAATAAATACAAACAAACAGCACGACAGTATGTCACAGTACGTCTCACTGTGTGTTTGTGCTATTTGCTCTCAAACATGAAACACTCGGCTCTGGGCCATTTGTTGCTCGCTGTACCATCCCACGAAGCTTTTTGTATGATGTGTCGTCTGGAACAGTCACTCGCTCCATATCCAGGGGAAGGGGGGTATGGTGGGGACTTGTTCCCATGGTGACCACCAGTTACATAATAACAGTGGGTGTCTACTGTGACTGACCCATTACAGAGTGAGAGATAAGGAAACAAGGGGGAGATGATAGACAGGCACTATTTCCATACCAATTTAGATTTGGAGAAGCTGTGCATAATTCAAATGTTATTTAAATGAGAAAGCTTGAGAACGAGTAATCAAAAAGCATATTGCAAACATCTCACTTTTTGTATGAGGTTCTTTGCACTACAGTAGAGCACATCAATGAACTTCCTGTTTTATCATCCAACCTCATATCTCCCTCTCCCGCGAGTTAAAACTCCACTTTCTTTGACTTTTTAACCAAGAGCAGAACACTTCCTGAATAATTTAAATTAGCAAGGTTTAATTAAAGCATAGTGACTAAACTGTAAGGTAAGCAGACTCTATCAGGCTTTTCTCCCACCTATAGCTCATGATAGCACTTAAAACCAATAGTATCTGATTGGTCAGCAGGCCCTGAGGGGACCATGATCCTGTGGTGGATGTTAGCGGATATATTTGTTGTGCAAAACAACTCGAGCAATAATGAGGAGAAATGCTGCTGACACAACTTTGTGTTAGATGTTATAGTTGGACTGGGGTTTCTGACTGAGTTTATAACTTTTGTGCTTTTCAGTGGAGGTACATTTGCAGAAATAAGATCGCATTACATTGTTGTCCTTTGTAATGGTAAGCCATCTAGTACAACCATTACTAGTCATGAAACTAAATTATCTAATATATTTTTGCATAAATTTAAGTCAACAATAACCATTACTTCTGATAATTTTACAATGTTTACTGTTGGGTCATAAAACTAAGTTGTTTAATATACTTTTTGCATAAATCTAAGCCAACAATAACAGCCAATAATCACATTTTAGCTAACTGTTCATGGATCCAAATTTTACATAACTGTGTAAACCGTTTGTAATTTAAGCTGTCTATTTAAACTCTTCTTACCTTTAAGCCATAAACTAACATTTACAGGGTTCCCACACAGTTCGAATTTCCATACTTTTCTATACCCTACATTTTGGAATTATTTTTGGAAATACCTACTATTCTATTTTAGAAAACAGTGTTTTATAACTGTGGAAATAGACTGCAAACTAATATTTTTTACATACTTTATTTTTTTATTTTCCATACTTTTTAAGACCTGGAAATTAATCAAATTTATTTCCATAACTTTCCATACTTTTCATACTTGCCTAGGAACCCTGCATTTAGCTCACTTAACTTTTTGAAAATTTATTCTCTAATTTTAACTTTTCTTTACAAATTAAATTTATAGTCACAGAAATATTTCATTTATTTTTTCAATATCAAATTAGTGAAGACTTCTCATGCTTCTGCGCACCATAGCTAAAGCAAAGTAGCCCAAGGCTAGACACATGTACATGCGTACGTGATTAACTGATAGATCATCCAGAGCTACTGTAATAGCAGGAGCACAGAGAGAGAGAGAGCAAGAGAGAGAGATGGGGCAAAGCAGTGCACTATATTTAGTCTACCCACTGCTTGTGCACTAAATACCAATGACAACAGACAACATGCAGTCACTCTGTCAGTGTGATCAGGCTTCAGCCCTTTCTGCCCACCCGCCCACCCACCCCGGGAAAAGTCCCAGTGTGCTGGAGTGCCAGCACCCACACAGGTCTCTCTACCTAGTCTGACACTCTCTCCTCTCACCTTTCTGACTTCCTGCACCTGCTGAGAGAGGCAGAGCTTACGACTCCCCCCCTGAGGGAACTTCAGGACAGGTAAGACATCACTTGGGCTCCCCTACAGGTGTGCTGTCTATGTCCAACTCAAGACATACACTTTAAATCAAGCATGATTCTCACTAACACAAACTTGGTCCACGTCAATCATACATTTTACCTTTAATTACCTTTAATTAGTTGAATTGAATATTCCTTTTTGTCGTTCCTGTTGGCCTTTTTTTAGATAATACCCTGACAGCTGCCGTATGAAATAATTATAAAGCATATCTTCTAGTTCTTTGAAAAGAAGATCCTGCAATCAATTTTCTGTTGCTAAAATTAAACTCTGCAAACTTACAATTCATCTTCAGGGCTTAAACCAATCTTTTCCAAATGATGCTGGAGTGATTTGCATGCTGAACACGCTTTGTAACTTGCTGTGAAACACTCCTTTGTTCTATCAGCGCACTTTTGTAGTGGGATAAAACATTTGTGCTGTGCTCCTTTACAAACTTTCCATTGCGCTTTTTCATCTCTCTGTTTCTGATGTGTGCTGTGACAGTGCCATGTTTTCTATCTGTGTCCTTTGTATAATTCCAAACATATTGATTCCTAGACCCCTGACACAGCTGGTTGCCATGTCTGAAGAGCATGTGCTCGGTGTTTAACAGCCCAAGGTTATTTAAAGGGATGTGCTATGTTAGCCCTTTTCATTGCCCAATAAATTCTGTCTACTTCGGTGGGTCTTTGTGTGACATGTGTGTGGTCAATGTTAGCCAATCGATGGCAAACATGCTGCCGTGTTGTCTTGCTTTTGTGTCCTGTATGTTTGAACAGGTTGTACTGATGTGAGCTGTCTCCTGTGACTTCTTGCCTCACTTTTGTCTCTCCAGGAACAGCCATGTCACAATACTCCACCATGACGACCAGGGAGAGAAAAATGCAGGCCGCGGCGATCTGCAGGGAGTTTCAAGCCCAGGAAGGTAGCCATATCAGTTCCTCTTCACTTCCTAACAACCTAGCGCCTGTGAGATCTCTGTTTCCCTCTCGTCCTCAAGTTGCATCCTCCATCTGCTTCTGTTTCTGTCTCTACCTCTTCTCACATCCTGCTTATTTCATCCCTTTGATTTAACACCATAACTAAGAGTACACATTTCATTCTCAGACAGATTTGTTCCCACCCTGTTTGACACACATGTGCATTAGACCCTGCTGTCTGAGCCCACCATTTCCCAGGGCAGCAGTTGCCAACCCTCCCTTCTATGAACCCTACTATAAATACTATATTGAATACATTTATGGGCCAAAGTAACTAATCCCTTTGTCGTTATACTTTGACCAAGCTATTTTAGGGTTAGGCCAACTGCGTGGCTCAAGATAGGGAGGGTCTGAAGGCTACTGACAGCTGAGAGATATTCTGGCAAATTATGTGACTCACACTTGGATACAGGCCTGTGACATCTCCATGATCAGCATGCAGTAGCTAGCACGCAGCGCTAACCACAAAACAAGCACCGGGCATGAGTGGATTACAAGGGGAGATAATTCCTCGTTCATCATATTGGCAGGAGTACCAAGTCAGCAATCCATGTAAGAGCTTTTTTGCTGCAGTAGGGCTGTTTTATGTGTGTGGTTTGATGAGATGGAGAATAGGTAATCAGATCAATTTTCAAAAATATATTGTGTACACAAGCTTTTTAGCATGACAGCGAATAGATGTATATAAACTCTTTTAATTTTGTCTCCTGTGTCCAGATGTGGAGATGGATCTCGGGAAGAAAGTGAGCATGCCTAAGGACATCATGCTGGATGAGCTATCCTTCGCCTCGAACCGGGGCTCCAGGCTCTTCAAAATGCGCCAGAGACGCTCCGAAAAGTACACTTATGAAAGCATCCAGAATAAAAACAACAAGCAGCTCAATGTAAGCACAAAGTCAGATGGATGGTTTCAGGTTTTGGAGCAGCACAAACACTGAACAAAATGACAGGATATCAATTTCAAAGCCTGAGCTTCTCAATACGACCATATACTCACTTCGATAAAGGTGTTATTTGAACATTGTCACACTACTTGAGTGTGTTTGTCTTTACACAGCCGTGCCCCCTCCACTCCATCACATAAAAAAGAAAATATGAGCACAATACCTTACATCCTGACAGAGTATATGTGGAAAAGATTAAGTGCTTGAAGTGTTTATTTGACTCGTGCTGCAAACACAGAGTGCTATAGTCGTCCAGCTGGTCATAAGTAGCTTTATTAATTCCCCTTTTGTATATGAACTGGAGCTGTGCCAAGTTAGCGTTTTCTTTTCCCAGCAGCACTTATCTTAACTTGATCTGGTCACACATTCAACAATTCATGTACCGAAGCTCTTAGTAAAATCAAATCAAGATAAAATCACCAAGTGTGTCTTTGTTATATCTCATTAATTAAGGACACTGGTGATATCCTCTTTCCTTTTAGTTGTGGTACCCTTGTGTACTTTTCTTTGCGCTTTTCAAGTCCACAGATAAAATAATTATTAAGCTCCAGGGGAATTTTTTTTACCCTCCTCATCTTTGAAGTGAGAGGGACTCACATATCTTTGGTTTGTTTATTGCTCGAGGCAACGGAGGGATTTTGTTTCAAGTTGTCAACATTTCCTGAGGAAGTCCTGGAGTAAGTCATCATAAATATGTTTCAGAGGGGATGAAAGCTGGCTGCTCAGGCTGCAGTTTTATTTCTTCCCGGCTCTCCAAAACAATGTCTCTCATGTAAAGGGAAAAGTGTGCACACAAATGATTTTTCAGCTTGTTCTAACTGTGGGAAAACACGTAAAAAGGCAATCAAGGTTAACTGCTTCGACTCAGAGAGGAAAGAGACAGGAATCTGCCACGCTACTTTAGATGTGTTTAATGTGCATGTAAGTCGCATTTTCCACTTTAAATATAAAAATATGGAAATGTCAGATTGAGTTAAGAGAGCTATTTTCCCCATCTGTCATTAAAAACATCTAAGATGTAATGAGATGCTAAATTGTAATTAGCTTCACCACATGGTCAATGTAATTGCTGTGACAGGAAAGTGGATAGAGCAGGAAACTGGGAGAGAAAGAGGGGGAGTAGATTCTGCAAATAATCTCTGTTTACTTATGTGATATAAAAATGTAGGTGTTGTCCTCCAGGTTCTGATTTTTCAGTATGGGAGGTATCCTTTGTAGTCCAACTAGTACTGACAGATAGTGTGTCAGGCCTAGGTGCATATGGGTAAAACCTGTATGGAGAGCAAAAGCAGATGTAACACACACTTAAAGCACCAATATCTTCATGCTAGTGTAGACTACTTGTAAAACATCAGAAAGTGATGCGACAAATGTAGTTTATTGTCTTCTTAAAAATCATAATCATGTTGTAACAGCAAATATGAAATCTATGAATAATAAGAATCTCACATGAAAATAGTTTGGTAACACTTTAATTGATGCCTATCTCTATAACGCATCATAAATATATGTATAATGTGTTATAATCTGGTTATAGCTCTGTATAACTATAGTTATAAACACTCATTAATAATCATGCTTTATAGCAATAATCATAAAACATAAAAGCATTTTATCATGACTTACGAGTTCAGGCATTATAATATGTTATTGCTTGTTGTTATAAAGCCTTATGATAATTGAGTGTTTATAACAGTTACACAAGTTTATAAGCATATTATAACACATAAATATATGTATAATGCATTATCTATGTTGGCATTGTCAGTGAGTTCTTAATAGTTATAACACATTACAATACCTGAACTTGTAAGTCATGATAAAATGCTTTATAATGTGTTATGATTATTGCTATAAAGCATTATGATCATTTATGAGTGTTTATAACTATAGTTATACAGTGCTATAACATGATTATAATGCATTATACATATATTTATAATGCTTTACTTGACACCTATCTCCATAAAGTGTTACCAATAGTTCTCTTGTTCAGCTTTCAGAGTGAATTATCTGTGTGTTATAACATGGGTTGACTCCAAATGATTGCTGGAATAGCTGGTGGATTCAAATCTGTTTGCTGGAAAAAACAAATGTGATACTCTGCCAATAACGTCCAGCAACTCTCCTCCTCTGCTCTCTAGTGCCCTAAATGATCAAATGCAGGTTAAAGTGCTCAAAAAGTTAAATAAATGCCAAAGAAAATTTGGCAGCTCCTATGCTGTAGAAAAGAAAAAATCACTCTCAAGATGCACCAAACTTTGAAGAACTTTTCTTTTCAGATCAACTCACCACTGTGATCTTTCTTTCAGGACACAGAGGTCTGTCAAACCGAAAATGGAAATGCCACAGACCACCAGACTGCCGAGAACAACTTGGAAGCTGAACAAGCACCAGATACAAAAGTTGTGCCAAATCCAGACAGTATCGCCCCGGGTAGGTGACACTGGTGATACAATGTTCCCGTGTACGGGAACACCAATACATTTAGAGGAGCCAAAACCATTACAGTGGTGATATAATGTAGCCAAAGCTGGAATAACAGACCGGTTGGCCTCTATTTAACTCAGTGACCTTACTTAGTCTCCTTTCAGAGTGCCAGTTCCTGTTCTAAAGTTTAGCCTTAAGCAGTGTTTGTTATCTTGAGTTTTTACTCTTAGATTTGACAAAGTTTAAGCTTCATTCTCTTCTCTTTGTTTGAAAGATTTCTTGTATCATAAGACATGGTTCTGCTCCTGGAGGAGGAGCTCTGTTTTGATAAGGATTGAACTGATTCTCGTTGTTTGTACTCACACAGGCTTTGATCACGTAGGGAAACGTTTCCCGGGTATCTGCTCGCCTCAGGCAGAAAACGATTACATGTTATTCCTCAACCTTCCCTCTCTTTCTTTCTATCTTTTTTCCCCACTCCTTTGTTTTTGTCTCCTCCTCCTCCTCCTCCACATACTCTCTATATCCTCTTATTCTGTACCTGTTTTCTTTGCTCTTTGTCCTTACAATCTGCTCTGACCATCTTCTCTAAAAAATTGTTGAGTTTACCCACAGGGAAGTATTTCCTGTTTGCCTCTCGTGCCACTGATACCATCAGCTTTGCTCTCACATCCTCCCCTCGTGTCTCAATCCTGCCTGGTTGACACAAAACCAGTTCTGATTTAGGGATGAGTATATGTCTGGTCTGTACAGGGTTGGGGGATTATTTTTGGACCCCAGGACCAGACACCACCATACAGTGTCTGAATGAAGTCACTCCAGCTGTAAGGGGAATCAGGCCAAAGTGCGTTAGGTATCGAATGGTAAGAAGTCCTAAAATAGCACACATGTCCACCCCTGGGTGCATGTCAGATATCTCCTGCAAATTATTTTTACCAGGCTTCATTGAAACTTTTCACTTGTCTAAGAACTTTAATGGTCATAATTTTCAGATTATATGCTGAGGTATGAAAAGCTTTTGGCAAAAGTTGGTGTGGTGTTATGTAAGTCTGATAACTGTCAAACTTTCTCATGCTGTTTTTAAATCAAAGCCTGGGAAATATCAAATTCATCTTTTATTATCAGATCATATCTTTCAGTGAGGCCACAATTTAATGCTTTAGAAGTCTAGAAAACCCCTAAATGTGCAAAAATCCTCCTCTTCGGCTCGGATGCTTTTAGGATCCTTCTTTCATTTCCACACAGAGCTGGGTGTGTGACAGTCCTCTCCCACAAGAATATCGACTCAGCCAAATGTCCAGCCACACTAACAATATTTCACCAGCCTCAGAAAATCTTTTACTCAATGTTTTGTAATAGATTCCCCAACAAAAAAATATCTGTAAACTTCCCCCTGCAGGTCTGTTTGGTCTCTCCTGCTTCCTCCTCAAAGCAAAACATAAACTCAGGAAGGGGGATTGTTCATTGTGAGAGGTTAGGACGTGACACGACGCCCTGTGTTATGTAATGCTCGGGCCTGCAAGCCCCCCCTGAGTGAGGCGCTCAGTTTGAAGAATAGTGCTTTGGAAAGGCCTCTCCAGTTAACACACGTGGAGTACGCAAGGAGATGTACAATCAGGTGTGCACATGCACTTTCTCAGAAACACGGGGAGCTGTCCTTTAATTTTCTTAGCTGTGAACATTATTCAGGGATAAAGGGCTGAGGGGTAGGAAGTGGGAGGTCATGCAAATTTGACTACCCAGACGGCTGTGAATGAGACACACAGCATCCAAATACCAAAATATTATAAATATATCTGTTTCTTCATCAGTTTGGGTAACATTTAATTGTCTCACATGTTTGATATTTTTTCTACTTCCTTCTTCATTTATTTCCCCTCTCTTTCTCTTCACACAAACACACGTCACTATTTGTGAATCGGTGTTTTGTGCAGAAGAAGAAATTAATAGACACATAAAACTTGCAGTTTCTGCCACATTTTTTAACTGGATGTCACATAAACCCTAAATACAGAAAGCATTAAAACTTTTCCCCTCAGGACTCAAAGATACTCAGGACCGGCTGACTGGTAACTTCCAAGAAATCTAGATCAGTTCCCAGTACTTCCTGTTTGTTTGTAAAATCTGACTCACCAGCTTCACGTCATTACCAGTTAGATTTGCAGAAATACTAAACTTTGACTCCAGGAATGTTTCGGGTAAAAAAAAATAAATAATCCAAAGATAGATTTATGTTGACACAGAAAAGCCTCATTTCCAATCAATGTCTGTGTTGTAAACCATCTCAGGGTATGGAGGACCTTTGAAAGACATCCCTCCAGAGAAGTTCAACAGCACAGCTGTGCCAAAGTCCTACCATTCGCCCTGGGAGCAAGCCATCATCAACACCCCCAGCCTGGCTGACACTCTCATCACCTGCATGCCTGCACCTGAGCCCAAAACAGACCTGCCAGGGTTCAAAAGCTTCAACAGGTACCAGTATTCATAAGAATATCAAAGTTTTATTCTTTTACTGCCATTATCTGCTAATCCAACAATTGACATCTTCTCTCATGAAAACAAAGAAATAAACATGAAACTCCTTTCACTGTGTCAACAACAGAGTAGCAACTCCATTTGGTGGCTTCGGCAAAGCCCCCAAACTCCCACCCATCAAGTCCCCCAAGGTGGAACCCCTCCCTGACTTCCCAGAGCTCCAGGCGGACACAACAACCAGTCGACCTTCCTTCAACAGATCGGCTCTGGGGTGGGTGTCAGCGGGTGATCCTATCTCCGTCTCAACAGTTTCTCTTGAGCCTGTGCTCATCCCTGAGTCAGAAGACCTTTGAACCCTTGCTGTGGTTACTTGGAGATGCTGTCTTGTTGGTTAAGACAACAGAGGTTATGGTGAGTAAGGTGATGTGTCAGTGAGAGTAGAGTCAGGGTCAGAGAGAGAGTACTGTTGGCCTTGTAGGTCCATGTTGTCATGTTTACAGCTGATACTTGACTTCTCAGAGATGCAAACTATTAAGCTGTGATCAAAGAAGAATGACTACGTTGTACAGTCAACAGAGATAGCAAACAAGTTTCTGAAATCTATTGTATATTAATGTGCATAAAAATATTTTATCTTGCAGACACATGATTTTGCTCAATAAAATGATGTATAATGCACAAAGTCCAAGCTATCTTTCCACTTCTTCATACTTGAATTTCATGTCCTGCCCTAAGACTTGTTGATTAAATTCAAGATGCGTCCTCCTCTCTAGGACATGGATGCAAATCTGTATCAACACGCCCTGCAGTCATGATTTAACAGTGAGTTAGTCTGGAGGCTCACTTGAATAAATGATGCCTCTCCTGTGCGTTCCAGTCATATGCAAAGCATAGCGCTGTGCAAGAGGCCAAAGATACATGTGAGCCACTGTAACATGCCCCAAGGTTAAACCGCCTGACAAATCAAATCTGCTTCGCTGACATGAGCCGCTTGACTGATGTGTCTCTCACCTTTTGGCGATGCCCAGGCGACAGGATGGGATTGATGGGGGAGCAGCTTGATGAGCTGTGCGCACTCCTTATCTGTCTCTGTGTTTATTGCTTCAACATTTAAGAATTTATGTTAGAGATAACACGATGGAGAGAGCAGACATGACTGATTAAAAGTTACCAGCTGGCTATAGAAGAAGACGTGTGCAGAACGCAGACTTAGACTTGGCTCTGTTTTTGACAGGAAGTACTCTGAGACAAATAAAATAAATAAAAATTGAACAGATTTGTTTTAAGGTGTTATCCAAGTCAACATGTTAGCAAAATCGAGGCGATGTGAACTTTATTTTAATGAATAATTACTTAAATAATAACTTAGTTTAACATCATGTGATCCACACAAGGTGTTCCTGTATGAAAAAAGTTTTTTTTTTTCTTTTTTATTAAGGTTGATGCCAAGTTGAGGTATTTTTATTTATTTATTTTTTGCATAAAAAAAAAATGCATTTGGTCATTGTGAAAGGATGGTGCAGGATTTTATCTTTATGGTCATGAGGTAGGTTTTTAAAGTTCTTTTTGGTTGGTTTTACTCAGTGTTTTAGTAAAAATAAAGATATTCATGATGTAACAAAAATGGGCACTAAGTAATATGAATTGGTGAAACTGTTCTCAAAATATGTTGGCTCTAGTTGCGCTGGAAGATCTTGTTTTCCAGTTCTGATCAGTCTGAATGACGATTTGCGAAAGTCCTAGGGTTGCTATTTTTCTGTATTGTCACACTCAGGTTGGGAAGCTATGATGTTATACCACTGAAAAGTGAATGACTTATGCATGAAACAATAAAATATAAGTTTGCTGCACATAAGTAAAATTCTGTATATCATCAGTTCATTGACCTTGGGCCATTTTTTTAATTCAAAACAAAAATTTGATGCTCATTAGCTATAGGAAGCTACCGTTATTGTCTCAAGATCGGTAACCTCAGCTGCTGCCAAATTTCAGCTCGTATTATCAGTTGTCTAATTGTAGCATATGTAGTTATAATGCACCTTGATCTTCCTTGAAATACTGCCCTGTTTCTCTTACAAAGTGCTGATCAGTCATATTAAAATTGTCTAATTCTCTGCAATTTTGGGACTGGCAGCTTGGAACTGATACATGAAGCATTGTGGCAACATCCCATCCTGAGCAAAATGGCCGCTGTTTGAATTTGATTCATCACATCTGTGTCTGAAAAGAGGATGTGTTTGATCAAATAAAAGTTATTGATCCTTTTCCTCCTTTCAAAATCAATAAGATTCCTAACAGTCTCCTTTCCTCCGTGTGTTTCAGTACAGCATCAGCATTCCTCACCTCTGTTGGAGACACTTTGGTATGTGTAGCTCCCAGTGCCACTCCCTTTTTTGGGTCCTATCGAGCTGCCTGTGCAGGAGAACTGCATCCGACTGTGCCAGTCGCTCTGCCAAGCACCACAGTAAATATTGAGCAGTGTTTATCAAGGGCAGGCATGAACTCTCTTTGAACTTTGATTGTAGCCATTATCAAAATGCAGCAACGGAAATATTATTGGCAGCAGACTGCGGGCTCAGTGGGGGTGGGGGAGCCAGACGATTCGATTATTAGACTCTAAATGTAACCAGTTTCCCCCTCAGGCGTGTTAGCTTTGGCACGAGATGGCACAGCAGGCACTGGGCACTGGATAATAGACTGTTTGGTCTACAGTATGCTCTTGACAATATGGTGTCCTGGTGGTTCAAGTCACTGTCCCATACTGGAAGTTATTTACAGAAACAGTCTCTTTTAGCAGTTTTGTGCGAGAGACTAAACCTGTCACGCTCAGTCTATCTGAAGCAATCTGGAGATGAGCATTAGGAGTTTAAGCTGAAGGCATGCTGAAGCCAGAAGGAGCTCAAATACAGTAAGATAGGAGCAGGACACAAACAGTCGACAGGGAATCTACATCCAGATGAAACAATAAGATGCTTTTTTTGTCATCAACAGGTGCAACAAGTCATACAAACCTTATGTATGCCTTCTGACCTACCCGTCAGACACATCCGACCTGGCTCAGGGTAAACCAGAGCATATGGCCGTCAGCATCTTCATCAGCACTTAACAATGGCCTCTGCTGCTGTTGCATTCAGCATCATGTTTTAAAGCCAAAACTCCCTCGGGTTCCCATCTGCACACACAGCACTGAGGAGTGAGTGTGCAGCATGCTGCTGACACAGACAACTGCTAAAAGGTTAAGCCACATGACCAGCCGATAGCCCTGAAGGATTTCTTTAAATGTGCACGCTTCATGTGTTGTGAAGGGAAAAAGTGCAAGGGCACTGACTTGTACCGAGAGGCAGACATATGGTTTCTCACACAGGGACACTTCTGAGGACTAAAATCATAAGTGGAGTTGTAATTTCTATTTTATCTAATTGGGTCATATTTGCCCCGGTTCATGTGTTTCGTATCAGGCGACAAAATACTTGATGGATGTGCACAGCAGGTTTTCAGTCTCGCAAGTGCAAAGCCAAATGGGATATCTAAAAATATGGGTGCAAATAAAGCATGCAGGGGTCAATAGGGTGGTGTTAGGTTGCGTGAGGTGGGGCAAAAGGAGAACGGGGCATGCATACCACTCATGACGCAATGGAGGTGAAGTACACTGAGTAAAAAGTTCAATCCATCAAGTGCCAGAACTGTTTCCAAGGGAGGATTCCTACCTTTCTTCAAAAACAATGGTGTTCTCAGATTATATCGCTTTAATTTACGTGGCTGTGGTTATGGAGAGTAATTATTGTACCATGTGCGCTTATTCTTATACAGTTCAGAGAGGTTAACAACCCCAAAAAACACCACTGTAAAAAAAAAAAAGACTTTTTGCAAGGGCACACACCGCTAGGCTGATAATTAGCTTGTTTGGACAAATGAACATCCACGTCTGTGTTCCTGTTTACTTGCAAAAGCCCTTGAGACCAATTAGAGCTGTGTTTTCTCACAGTAATCCAAGCCTCTGACTTTAACCTCAGGGGATTCATCTATCCTCCTAACTGGTCAATATATGTTAACCCCATCTCTTTGGTTGGAAGTGTGTAAAGAATTATTAACTTACAGCATAGCTAAGTAAACAAACTGGAGGAGTGAGGCTTTTAGGTGGAGAGCAAAATGCTCTTTTCTCATTTAAAAAAAAAGCTCCAAATGTGAGGAAAAAAAGGAAGAAATAGCCTACTTTGGATGATTTGGCTGCAGAAAGAATAATTAATGTGCCTTTTCTGAGTCAATAAACGGACAGCATTGAGGACAGCATTGAGGGCAGCAAAGTAGCATGCTTTCACTGTGCGCTGCAGCTACCGCGGATACGGCAAACACAGCAGAGGAATATATCACAGTCACCCTTTTGGCTGCACTCCAGAGTTAATGTAACATGGTCAACTGCCAAAAAATGATGCTTATGTCATCCACTTTTCTGCAGTAAAACAATGAGTGCAGCGCTACTCCTGGAGTTATAGAGGGAAGGTAAATTACTACAAATGGATAGAGAGTCAAATAAATGCACGTAGAAGGGTCTTTCCTCATGGATGGACATGATTCCCAGCTTTCCTCCATGCTGTATTATAAAATAGACCCATGCTGGGACATCATGCTGGGATTGTGGTAATGCTAAGTCATGATGATAGCACACAAATTCCTTCCCAGTGCATAGTATGTTAGCTGGAGGAGAAATACTCAACTATAGATTATTTATGAATCTTTCGACCAAGATGTACCGGAAAGTGTTTAGAACATTAAGTCCTTACTTAACATCACTGATTTAATTGTTCCAGGGAAACCTGAGGAGTGGTTTTGTTCCCAAATAAAGAAAAGAAACCCTCATTATAACCAGATTTTAATCCGCAGTTAAATATAGCGCAGATCGCTTTGGAGGCGTTGCCCTCTGTGGCCCCTATTGTGGCATTCGAGCATGTGTAATCTCTTATGTAACAAGGGGGCATTCACTACTGTGTGGGTCCTCATTAGTAGTAATTCAATAGCAACACAACAAACCATGTTCACAGAAAACATGACAAGCTTGGCTTTGTTTAGTCGATCCACTTTGTGCCGAAAGTGACAAAAAAGGCGTTTTAAAGTAAAGTTTAGCCGCCTTGATTGACAATCTCACAGTTTGAACCTGCACACAGAGGAATTCATGACAAATATTTCACATTTCTTTGCGTACTTGTATGGCTTTTTATTAGTGCAAGCTGTTCCATTTGAGTTATTTGCATTTCCCATGATAGCACACACGTCCACGTTTGAGCGCGCACAATGCAGACAAACTAGGGCATTTATTATTATTACCCAGACTGAGACAGGAGCAGATGAAGTTCAC